GGAAACAAACGAAAAAGTTTAGTATCTTTCTTGAGGATACAGCTACATAAAAGTTTTACCGGGTGGAATCGGGATTCAAACTCACGTAAACATAGGCTGCATATTATATTAAACTTGTAGGCCTACAGATAGATAAAATTCTGCAACAATCTATTTGATAAAGACACTTGAATTTTTTTTGGTGTTTTTTTTTGTGCAAGCCTACACGTCACGACAGAAAACAAAACTTTTTCCCGTATGCGGAAGCGTTATGGGGACATGAGGGAAAAACAACAATAACAAACAAACAACAGAAAAACAAAAATCCTGCATGCAATCGCAACTTACAGTACACCAGCGTTGCTCTTCTCTTTGAGTTTGAGGTTTGAGTCAAGTTTTCGAATCGTGTACTCAGATGTAACTCTGATTCTCAGCTGTCAACTGCCTTAAAAACAGTCAGCCATGGAATGAACACGTTTCATAACTCAACAATACTGATAGTGATAGTATAACAAAGATAATTGTTATACTACATTAGATGGCCTTGAAATTAGTAGAAACCAGAACGGTAACCGAGGCCATAGTTTGAAAGGTAAGGTGTTTACGTAGCGAACTTGAATTATGGGCTCAGTAAGTAGACAGTAGACGCATATAATTTTAGACGTCACTTGGTCCAATATATCTGAACACCGACGCGTGCCACGTAGCGCGTGTGTGTGTGGGCTATATATGGGTCCTATATCATATTATGTGCCTATGCAATAATAGTGCAAAACATATTAATTGTGTAATTATAGGATATACGTGTAATTACATGTTTATAATGTAGCTTACACAAAACACACACAGACACGCACACACACACACAGAGGGAGAGAGAGAGAGGAGGAGGAGGAGGAGAGAGAGAGAGAGAGAGAGAGGAGGAGAGAGAGAGAGAGAAAGAGGGGGGGGGGGAGAGAAGGAGAGAGACGATGGAGGGAGAGAGTAGAAAGAGATACCACCCCCCCCCCCTTTAAAAAGGTTTTTAAAAAAAGAAAAAACGAGAAACAAAGAAACAAAATCCGATGCTGGAAAAATAACTAAACAAAATCGTACGGTATACTGTTGCATAAATTAATGTTAGACCGGTGTGTGGGAAACATATTTTATTGTATCCCGCCTGAGGACTTTTAGCCTAGAATAATATGTATTAAAACCTCTTGGATACCGCCGAGTTATGTCAGATACAAGTGTTTTCTGGTTTGACCTTTGTGGCGGGAACAGAAAAGTCACAAACCATAACTTTAAGGCCCTGAATAAGTGAATGGGTTGTGGAGTAAAAGAAAAAGACATAGTTCCAGATCAATTGTATTATTATTATTTTTTAAAGAAGGGAGAATGAGAAATAGAGAGCGAATAATAAAATAGGCGAAGGACCAATGGAAGAATGGAAGGGGGAACTACTCTTCAATCTAGACTACGGCTACGTACATGTATGGAAAATCGAAAGAAAAGTGAAAGTAGCAAACACACCGACATGAGTATTATATCATGAATGAGAATGAGAAATATTCTTTACTCCACTCTGCTGCTGACCATAGTCTATAGCCACTGACTATCCCACGCCAACGTCGTACCGTTGAAAAAGGACAAAATATTGCCAGTGATCTTGGTACGTGATGTAGATTCTAGATCTAGATCTATATCTAGATCTAGATCTAGATCTAGATCTAGATCTATATCTAGATCTAGATCTATATCTAGATCTAGATCTTCTAGATAGATCTAGCCCAGATCTAGAGATTCTATCCAGAGTACCAAATGTGGTGATCTTGTAGTTCCGTTCGTTTAAGTCCATGATCCATTTGTTTACATTCAGAGAAGAAATTCAGAAGTCTTGAAGACCAAATACTATTTGAATTAGGCTACACAAAGAGCAGGGATGCAACCTAACTGCAAAACATCAAATTAGGATAAAATTCAGGGGGGCATGCCCCCTTGAACCCCCCCACCTCCATATATTTTTTAGGTCAGGGGGGCAAGCCCCCCTGAAACCCCCCTGCTTGACTTTAACGAACGAAGCTACAAAATCGCCCCAAAGGTTCCTACGTTGCAGTTATAATTATTAAGCAGCATGAGAAAGAGTCAAAGTTTGGTGTTTTCTGACTTTTTATTCAAAATTTCCGTCACCCTTACCTCTCTCAAAGGCATTTTGGATTAATTTTGAGGTGTTTTGTGCAATGAGACCTCCAAAATTAGATTCCTGACATAATTTTCTAGAAGTGACTATTTGGACTCTTGTCCGAAAAAAGATGAATTATTCGGACTCTGAATTGAGTCCAGCATGACATCATTTCCGACTTCCGACCCTTGTTCCAAAATATTTCCAGCATATACTAACTTTTTTTCCATTATAATGATAGATCTAACCGTCGAGGCGTGAGCTTTAATATCCAGTTACTAGCAGATCTAGATCTAAACTGGCCCTCCCTGCGTCATTAGTATGAACAGGGCGACGAAGTTGAGCTGACATTGCTGGGGGCAAAGTTAATTATGTTGATCAATGAGATTGCGTGTAGCGATCTCGCACTCTCGGCTTGTGGGGGAAGAAGTGTTGGGGAGAGGCCCCAGCTGTCGATTTTGTACGATATATAAAATAAAATAATTACAGAAAAACTATCACACACAAGAAAATGAAATCAAACATGTGGAAAGACAGATGGTGGTGGAAGTAATGATGATGCTATAGTGGTGGTGGAAAGACCCCCTCGTTGTCGGTTACCGTGTACTTAGACACTGATGTCCACACTGCCATAGGTAGATCTAATGAGAGTGCAGTCCTTTGACTTTTGACACAATTACACAGTCCTAGTAGGCAATTCTCGTTCTAATTCTGGTTTTACGTAAAATCCCTCGACGACATTTATGTAATGTAACCTCCTTACACTCACATAACTCACTTACAAGCTGAGTCCGAATAAATAAAACCTTTTTTTCGGACCCGAGTCCGAATAGATAAAACCCATATTCTGACTCGAGTCCGAATAGATAAAAGTTTCGAGTCCGAATAGAGCTAGCCATTTTTCAAAATCTGGAAGTCGATACTTTTAACTCAAACATTGTAAAATCGTGGCTGATAGATACCGCAGATTCAGTTTAATGTCTTGTGTAGTAAACACTGTTTTTTTGTGCGTGTTTTGTCCCAGACGGGCTGGTTTGGGGATAGGGGCTCGCTCACTGGTGTACTTCCACTGTACCGGTTTCTAGGTATGGGCTATTTTACGCGCCACTGGTGTACCGGTGGCTAGAGTTCAAAGGGTTAAGGTATGATTTAGCACAAAAAAATGTAGTGTTTTACGCACCTATCAGTACCATTTAGTTCATTCAGGAGCTGGGCTTTGACCCTGGCTGTCAGGGCCAACCTGGGCTGAGAGGGATGTTAAAAAGACCGAGGCACTTGATAAAACTTCTTCCTTCATAGGAATCAAACTTTGGTCTTTTGCATGGGATTATGAAGTGCTTAACCGCTACACCACAGACATCGGTAGTAGTGACTTTTAATAATGTTTCAAGTGTTCAAAAATTCATAACATTACTTGTGTTCATAATGTTGTTTTGTTTCTTTTCTGCCTGCCAGTGCTGAAGAAAAGGCTGAGACAGCAGCATGCAGACAGACAGCCACCATGCAATGCCCCTTAGAGATGCTGGAGATCTCTGTGCTGAGACGGATGGCAAGGAGTGCATTCAGGACAACATTATGGATGATGATTCGGTGGACGATCAAACTTCTACCTCCCTGTTTGATATTTTTTCTCCTCCAAGTAGTATCAACCCATCATTTTCATCCATTTTGGATGATATTGATCTGGATCTTGAGTGTGAGGAGGATGAAGATGTGTACCAAGACAGCATTAACAACTTCATGCTGGATGCTATTGGTGAAAAAAGCGGACAGGAAAAAGGAACAGGCAATATTCAACCTGTTAATGAAAAAGAACAAGACAGTACTCTACTACAACCTGAAAATGGAATGCATGAGCAAGACCAGTTGGATAGACTTTCGGATGGAGCTGTACAGTTTCGAATTTCAGTGCCGATTATAGAAATGAAAGACAAAATGATTATGAAATGTTATTTAGAAAAATTGAATGGTCTTTCTCAAGAACAAGCTCAGATTTCTCAGACTCAGAGGTGTAATACATCTGAAGTCAACAAAGAAACGTGTAATGAAACAGGGATATCTTCCTCTATAGAAACAGAAGAAGTCAGGATTCTTTGTCACAAATGTCAGGTTCCCTTTTCTAGCCTCCAAGCGTTGTTTTCCCATAACCAGGATAAGCATATTGTTAAGAAGGAGTCAAGTGAGTTTGTGTGCCCAATGTGTCGGGAAATTTGTAAATCTTCTGTTGCTATGGCAAAGCACTGTAGGCTTCATTGTTTTCCCCCCCCTAGAGAGCCTGATGTGCCTGAGAAACGCTTTGAATGGCATTTTTGTGAAGTTTGCCCTTATAAAGCAAAGACAAAGGCTCTTTTAACCCTTCATGTAAAAACAAAACATAACCCAGACAGAAAGATTTATGTCTGTGATATTTGTAAGTTTTCCTGCTTACAAGAAAGAACATACGTGATTCATAAACGAAGGCACGAGGGGGAGGGAAAGTTTGCTTGTGATCAGTGCGGAAAATTGTTTATGTCTATGAGTATTTTGAAAAGACATGTAATCACTCACAACAAGTCAAAACCCTACATTTGTCCTATACCAGAGTGTGGGAAAGCATTCACTATCAAAAGCAGACTTGGAGATCATTTGAGAACTGTCAGGCACAGAAATAACTTTAAAGATTCGAAAGCAGCAGTGAGTTTACCACTCTCACTGGAGTCAAAAATGACAGATGATTTAAGTTTAACAAAGTGGAATTTATCCCAGCGAGACACGGGTACTGACTTGTCAAAAGGTGAACCGTACGAAATATGTGTTTATGACATCGTTCTGCCTGAGAATGAGACTCTTGAGAGAAAAGAGGAAACCGTGGTGACTGCTCCTGGGCCAGGCATAAGTGAGGTCACCACTTGGCGAAGTTCTTTGTGTTCCCCCAAAGAAATTACTACAGGTACCGTTCATGAAAAATCGGAAAATAAAACCCCCCCTGACAATTGCAATTCCAAAAAGAGAACACCAGGGATTCCCCAGAATTCTGTACTTCATTATAATCCATCTGTTCCACCTTCCAAAGTTTCCCAGAGTGTAAAGAAAAAGCGCTTTGCTTGTACATGGGAAGGCTGTGAGAAGGTGTTTCGGGATAATTATAATCTGAGTGTGCATTTGTGCACCCACACAGGGGAGATGCAGAGAGCATGTCCTCAGTGTCGATATAGATGTGTCCAGAAGTCAGCAATGGATGCTCATTTGAAAACACATCAGAAACGACAACAGGAAAGATGAGAAATGATAAATGAATTTTGAACAAATTGGTTTGATGATGCAATACTACTAAATACTAGTAAAGTTTCGATTTGAAAAAGTTTGTTGAGTTGAAGAAGCGACATTGCAGCAGAGGTGGTTATGCTGTGTCAGGAAAAAGTAAGATGCTTTGTACATGTTATATGTTAGTGTGAGTATAATGTAGAGGAGTCTTGCTTCTGAAATCTGCTGGATCGCCGAATTTACTTGGGTTTAGCCATGTTTTCTGTTGAGAGAGGGTTGCTCAAATAGTGATGATTGTCAGAAATGTAGAGTTGGGAATACCATGCTTGCGGCTAATCCGCTAATTTCTCTGTTTGAAAGTTTTTCCTTCTCATCTACCTATTTTAGGTTTAGTTTTAGTAAGGGTTCTATTGCCCTTGCAGCACAAAGAGGTCATATTAGAGGTGCTACTAGAGATGAGCATCCAAAGAAAGGGAGGAGAGATAATAGATAAGGACAATCGAAGGCAGTAGCAAATCGCACCAAAGTACTCTTAAATGAACCATGTTAGAAACGGCAATTTGAGCATTGTGATTTTTCTTTGACATTGTCAAATTGCTTACTTTGTCGAACAGTCACTCAAAAACAGATGAAAAAGTAAATCAGTATACTGCTCGGTGCTCTGTGTTAGTGTAGTGACATGAGAAAACCCATTGCTTTTGAAAGCGGCATCATGACGTGCTCATATGTGGGGTCTGTGTGAACTAATTTCGCAGAGGCAATAGGCCACAGCCAAGAAGAGGTTGCATGACTGATTTACATTTTTGCTATCCTTGCTTCACTGGGCCTATACTCAGGATGCAGGCCCATTGATGTGTGTGATAAATGTAGACAAAGAGTACACTTGCGATGCTTTTCTCTTGCTAGCAACCAACATTTGTGCATTCTTGTCTCTTTTTGCTGTTTTGCTTTCATGAACCATATAAGACTTTGCACAGTGATCATTTTGTTTTCTCTCTCTCTCTTTTCTGGCATTGTGGTGTCATAAGCGGCTGACAGCACACAGAAACTGAACATTCGCTTGTGTCCTTGAAAAGTGCTGAACGTGGGTCAGTCACTGAAATGTCCCAGCAGATGTGTTCTGGCACAATAGTTGGCGGGACATTTCAGGAACAAGTGGTCCATAGTCTCGTCCTCCTCCCTGCAGGCTCGATTGGATCCTTTTGTTGACATAACCCTCAAAATTCTATTATAATTGGTTTAGAATTAGGATAATACACGTATTTGGCTTATCTAATTTTCTTACAAAGACAAAGAAAAATCAGGAATTTTCTTTTCTTTTGGTTTATACAGTGGAATCCTGTTATAACGAGAAGGAGGGGACCGGTGCAAAATGTCCATTATAGCAGGATTCTCGTTATTAGGGATCCAATAATAAATTCAAGGGAAATAGTAAAGTAGGCCTTCTATGAGTTTGGTGTTCTGTTTATTTCTTTTTGTATTTCCCCTGATGATGATTTTGTTCAACATGATCTCTAGGTCTTACTTCATCAAAAATCGAATCAGGTTTCTTTCTCTAGCACTAGCAATGTTGACAGCTCGGCATTGGCGATCAGAAAGAAGGGGCTATGGCTCTAGGCTAACTCGCCAGCTGTGTTGTCCCTCACCTCACCACACCCTGGGGTGCGTTGCGTCTGCTTGCACACGTCACACATTCACTTCATCTATCACAGCATTGTGACCTCTCCATCCCGCACCAGAGAAGTGAGGAGAGTCACGGTATGCTTAGGCTAGATAATCTAGACTGGGATGGCCTATCACCCGATGCGTTCTGCTTGTCTGCGCATGCCACATCCTCCCCACTCATTCGCTCCGGCCTTCATTGTTGGTTCCCGTGGGCTCTCCCATTCTCTGCTTTGCTGGATCACCAACTTTCTCAACTGGCGAGGTTTTCTATGTTTAATTCGTCTGTGTGCTGTGCACAGCAGCAGCAGTATTCCGTTATAACCGACTCGCGTGACTGTCTTATTGCGCAATAGCGGTATTTTATTTACAAAGATAAAGAAGGCAAAAAAACGGGGCTTTAGAATAGTGTCTTTATAACAGACTTCTCGTTGTTTCAGGACTCGTTATAAGTGGACTCCACTGTAGCGGTTTTCAGAACACTGTTAATCCAAAAACAACAGTAAACCAAAAAAAAAAAAAAATTCCCATTTTTTATTTGTTTGAGTAAAGCCAGCTAAAGCGAAGAAAATCTGACAGTCTGGCAGATTTTGGTTCACGTGGACTCCACTATACATCCTTTGTATGTATAAATGATTTATGAAGCAGAGACCTCGTTACTTAACTAAAAATGATGATGGTGCTCCCTTTCCTCCCATCAGAGGTTGTAAGTTTATGTCTTTCTACATCCACTACCCCCAGAGGCCTTGCCCCTGACTGAAGTATCTTTAGGCCATTCCCAAAGGGGGGACATTTCTCGTTCATGCACAGTAGAATTGTAAATGGGCTGATTCATCAATGTCACGCTCATAACTGTGCCTGATCTACAACAGGGAACTGCTGTTTTTTCTTTCCTAATCCTTACTATTGTCTTTTTCCTCTACTTCTTTTGTATGTTTGTCACACTGTTGTGACCCACTATTTCAGGGGTGCCTTGATAGTCGAAGTCGAAGCAGACTTTGTGCTGATGAAGCTACAGAGGTGAGCAGAGTAAGTCTGATTCCCTGTAAGGACTTCCATTCCTTGGCGCTCATATAATCATAATAATAATAGATAGCATTTGTATAGCGCATATCCCCGCTCAACAGCAGGCTCTATGCGCTTTACACTATATTATGACCTTGTGCAGTTGTGAGCGCAGTAAAACCTCTACTAAAACTAAACTACATCCACCTTATTGGAGAGAGAGAGAGAGAGAGAGGGAGAGAACAGTTTATTTATTTTAATCTACAATATTCCATTCTTTTTTTTTCATTTGTGTTGCAGTTCTGCTTCCTTTTTTTTGTGTGCTTATGATTCATTTTTTTGCCTCCCTTGCCATGATTTTGTTCCCTGGATTTAAAAAGCGCGTACATGTAATAAAACAGCATTATTGCTATTTCTCTGTGGGTGGTTGACAGTTGCTCTGGTGTTGTTTGCTCCTTCTTTCCTACCAAACGTCAATATCTTCCTTATCTCCTCCTTTTTTTCAAATTTTTGTGCTTGAATGTTACTCTCTTGCAACACCTCCAATCTTCGGAACTTTTACGACCTTATTTTGTTGCGAATGCTGTTAAAAAACAAACGCTAACCAATACTGATATTTTTTCTCCAAGCCACAAGAATGTCGCCAAAAGTGTTAAATATGTATAATAAACTTCCTTTGAAACAGTTTCACCTCTTTGTATATATATATATATGTATTTTCACAGTGCCTGTCCTTATTTGAAATTAGGCTCCATGTGCTTTACAATTAATTATATCTCAACACACCAATAACATCTGGTAACATTTTCAGCTTCCTGGGAAGCATTCGTACAAGCTGCCATTTTACAGATGCCTAGACACTAGCATGCACTTTTCCTGTGTGAGCCACTACCACCTATTCCCATGTTGGTGAGGTGAAGAATATTATAAAAATAATTTATGTAAAGTGTCTTTCCTGAGGACTCATCAGGCCTGAAAAGAGATTTGAACCATCAACCAGAAGCCTGCCCGTTAAGCTACTGACATGTTCATAAGAAGACCAGGTTGAAAAAACTGCATCGTATAAGATTTTAACCCTATCCCTATGTCGTGTATTACTGTCGTATCCATATGACGTGGGGAACTCTGTGCCACCACTTTCTAAAGAGGAAATTTACTCATTAATCCGATCCGTACGCATTGCATTGCAGTCTGTCAAAATGATTTTTTGAGAAATACTTTTAAAAGTTTCAAAGAGATCTTCCTATACAACCCCAGGGGTCCGAAATGACTCAAGGGCGTATGGATAGGGTTATTGTGTAGTTTGTGGAAACTTTGTCTTTTATCAGCTCGTTATGTTTCAACAAGTTCAGTGATTTGTGCAGTGCTAAAATTTTAATGTGCTGTCTGCTTTCGAAAAACTAACAATAGGGACCTGAATTTTGTTTAGATTTTGAATTAGGTCTATAGAAAGACTATTGTAACCCACTATTACAAGTTGATACAATGTAGTACAGAAGAACAAAAAAATGAAGCCGAAGTGGACGGAGTTCTTATCTAATCTGAATCAAACTTTTAAGTGGATACCCCAGTGTACATTTTGCAAAATCTGCATGTCATTATTTTATGTATGGCCCCTGAAAGTCAAAGGCTACACCCCCAAAGTCAAAATTTGACTCAAAATTATGGAATTTGAGTTGTAGGCATTTTTAGCTTCCTCAGTTTCTCCTACAACTATTTCATCGCATAAGACCCCCCCAAAAAACATATCTTTTCCCCATACCTGGCATGTTTGTCCCTGCCATTTCCTCATAAAGTCAGTATTTTATATTTCTTTATCGGCCGTTTTCTCAAAACGCGACTTTTCTCTATACTTTTTTTTGAATAACTCTACCATTTTTCATCATATCTTCATGAAATTTTCACAGAATGAAGACAAAATTTCAGACAAAAAATTTGTCTGTTGAATGTTTTATATATATATAGATGGAATAGATTTTTGTTGGTGGTGTCTGGAGTGTGGATTTCACGGATTTTTTGCAAACTTGAATGCTACCTCAGGAAAAAATTCATTACAAATTTTCTAATTCGTTTAGGAAAAAAACAACACATAAAGTTTTAGATATAATGTTTGTAAACACGCATGCAAAAAAAAAAATCAATTTCCATGAGCGATAAGTGCGGTATTCATTACGTAAGACATGTCAACAAAATCCAATATGGCCACCGTATCCATGGAAAAGAAACTTTTTTCTCAAATTTGATTGCGGATTTTAAGACTCCTTACTATGCTTGTTATATGTGTGAAATTTGGTAAAATTTGGTCCAGTAATATGCGAGATAGCCTTCAGGTGTAGCGCCCCCCCCCCCCCAAAGCAGAACAGGAAAAGTGACAATTTTGTTTTTCTGGTAAATAATTTATTTTACATATGTGAACTAAAGAACAAAAGTTTCCGGCATTTCCAATCCACTGGGTTTTATGAACGTCATAGGCACTTCTCCTTTGATTTTCTTTGCCTCTGATGAGATGATCTGAAACAGAAAAAAAAAAGAACAGTGCAGAAAATCATATCAAGAAAAAGAAAGCGATGCTACAAAAACTGTAAGCACGCACATTGTTGTATCTGGTAAAAGTACTTGTTAAGTTGATTCATAGCCTTTGTTGACAAACAGCATCTAAACTTGAAAACGTTGATCCAACTGTTAGCTGTTTTTCTCATAATACTGAAATGCACAGATAGATCTAGATGATGAAAAACTGGCCACAGTTTGTCTTTACCAGTCTACCACTTATTGAGTCAAAAAAGCGCCCATTTGCTATTTCTAAGGGCTTCAAATCCCCGACATTCCACCAGTCCCCCTGTACTGCAAACTTCATGCTCGTGCCAAGGCTGGCAAGGCAGGCCACTAAAATATCAAGGAAATGAGATGATTGCATCTCTTTCCCTCGTTGCACAGATCCACGTAAACGCACGCTGCTACATGTAAACAAATGCTTAGGAGCCCCCTGTGCACAGTGTGTTTAGGTGGTGACTACTGTATTTAATGGTGTTTTATTTTCAGACAGAAAACACAAAATACAGTGGAGTTCATTTAAGACAAAATCTGTGGGACTGTCTGATCTTTTCCCAATTTAGCTGGGTGTTCGGTTTAGAGAGATTGCTTAAATGCAATGATTGTCAACAACAGTGCAGAGCTGGGAGGGTCATGCTTGCAGCAAATTTCACCCTTTTTTTCTAGTCTTTTAAAAAAATCTACCTCTTTCAGTAACTGCAATCTGAGCTGCAGACTGTATGCATTCTGCTTTGCCTTAGACATTGTCCCCTTGCTTAATCTGCTGATCAGCCACACAGAACAGATGAAAGAGCAGATCAAGAAATCAGAATAAAAAGTCCATAGGCAATTACCTCAAGAAATAAACCATGTGCCGGCATGTGCTCATGTGTAGGGACTATGTGAACTAGCTTTGCAAGGACATTAAGCCATGACCAATTGAAGTTTGTGTAACATATGAACAGGCACTATCTTTGTGCGATAAAGCCTATGCACAGTATGTAGCCTGTTTGTGGTAAATGTAGCCAAACAGAACATTGACAATGTGTCTGTATGGCCTGGTATCCACACATGTGCGTTCTTGTGTCCCTTTCTTCGATTTCGCAATCCTGAAGTCCATAAGATGTGATAACTTGCATAACTTGACGGTTGCTAGTAAAAGTTTGGATGACAAATGGTTTTTATACAAAGACAAGGAAGTAAAAAACATTTTAAACACGAAAATTGGGTTTTTTCTTGTTTTTCTTTTTTGGTACAGCGCTATAAACTGGATTATCCATGTTTGGGTTTAAGCATACCCCACTATATGTGACACTTAACATTGTAACATAACAAAAGATTTGATAGACTTACGTCACTGCTTGTGTTGTCCAAGATGACAGACAAATCTTCTTCCTGAATCTGTCGTTTCTTGGCTTTTTGGGACAAAGTTGGGTCATAGTGCCGCTCGAGTGTCTGAAGAAAAAACACAAAACACAGACAATCACTGGTTAGGTCCTTACATTTTTCCAAATTGACAACTTTACATAGACGTAATCATGAATTCTACAATGGCAATCTGTTGACTGGATTTTGAGAAAATGTTGCACAAAAAAAAAAAAAAGCGAAAAAAACACAACAACACCCAGTTAACAGACACAACTAGTATGGGGTTAAATAATTTTACAGATGCTTTGAATAATAAATATTTTCCAAGTGAAATAATGAAAATAAGGGGGCGGGGGGTGGGTGGTGTAATGGAAAAACAGCATCCCAGCTAGATGTAGCACTTACAGCAGAGCAAATGGACATTCTATTTGAACACCATGCATTATTACACAAGCAGAGACAACTGCGGTGTCATATCGGTCCAACAAAATCAAATGATGTGTTCAAATTTCAGCTAATTGATACAGGCGTTTCCACTAGAGTTGAATCTGTTCAATATGAAAATCTCTTTCATGAAAGTTAAGCATTTTATAAAAGCAACTCAAGCAGTCACGTGTTAGGTCTATTTAAAACTTCATCTAAGCTGTCAATTTTTTCTGAGCAAAAAACAACCCCAACCACTCACTATATTTGTGGGTCAACGTGATAGAATCATGTACTGTTCAAAATTTAAGGAACGGAGAAACCAGTGTTTTTGCGATTGTCGTGCAATTTTTATTGAAATGTTTTTTTTAGCATAGAAACCTCCATTAATTTCATTTTACAGAACACATTTCAGGGTGAATTTTGCTGAAAAATTTTGCTTAAGGCCAAAGTATGTTATTTTGGAGAATAAGTATCTGAATTCAGTATCAAAAGTTATCAAACTTTGGTAGCAATTTTCTCATTAATTTCACATGTAACATCAGTTAACCCCTGCATTCTTAAATCACATGTGTGTGTGCCTGAAGAAAGGTACCAAAAGTCGGATTTTGACCATTTTGAGTTAAGGGTTGTACCTTGTAGAAAATTCAAAGCTGAACACTGATTTTTGAATTTTTGAGAAATTTCAAGAAGTATTTGAGATATTGGACATTTTGTGAGGTATGGTATAAAGATAAAATTTTAAGAAAATGAGCTTTTAAGTTTAACAAATTTGAGAACACATACAAACTTGAAAAAAACCAACAACTTAAACTGTATTCATGGAAAACTCATTTCCAATTTGGCATTTAGTTTACATTAATATGATGATTAGAATTCAATGTTAAAACATAGCAGGGAAGAGAAAACATGCTTTAAGAATAGATTAGAATTCAATGTTAAAACATAGCAGGGAAGAGAAAACATGCTTTAAGAATAGATTTTTAACACCTTTTAACTCTTTATCTCCGACGGGGTAAACCTACTCAAGGCCCTTTTTTGGTGCTAAATCTAAAAATGACTCATTAAACTTCATTAAATGGAAACTAGCAAGAGTATTTTGATAGTTCATTCTTCATCTAATGAATGAACTTCTTGTATAAGAGATCTGTTAGTCGGCAATGCCGAAAAGTACTTTGATGCCGAAGTCGTCGTAAAGGAATGTGCCCGAGCCGCTGTTAGCGGATTGTCGGAGATAAAGAGTTAAAAGCTGTTTTCATTATATTCATTTTTTTATACTATACCCTCAAAATAAAATACTGAGAAGTCTAGTCAATTAAAACCCTTTTAATATCTTGTTACAAAATGGTGGAGCTATCTATTTTTTATGGAAACACATTTTCATTAAAAAAACCAAACGATTCTTTGTCATTATCAGCCTGTAGCTCGAAACAGTCTGTAGTGACTTTTGGTACCTTTCTCCAGGCACACACACATATCTCAACTTCTGTGCTACATAGACAAATAATTTTTTCACCAAGTACAAGAAAAATAAACATATGCTTTAATTTGATAGCAACGACTCAACATTCTCAAAAATCGTCAAGTGCCCATTTCCACCAAATACTGTGACACATTTCAAGTAAAGAATGCTGGTGATATAAAATTACAGTGGAACTCGGATTCAACGAGATGAGATAGATTCCCCGCGTTTTTTTCTTCTTTAAAATCAATAAAAATAACCCGGATTCAACGAGCACTTAAATCAGCGAGTTCGGATTCAACGAGCACTTAAATCAGCGAGTTCGGATTCAACGAGGTCGCTTCCAGGGTGAACTGCCCCCGCAGACGTGGCTTCGCTCATTTTTCTCCCAGAACGAACTTTATCTATTCCCAGAAACCATCCATTGCAACTGCATTGTCAACCATTATTCACTTAGCCGATTGCATGCGACCAATCAGCGGCCTTTTTTTTTCATACCAGCTACCAACACATGCGTTGTTGGCTCGCGCACGTGTCTACTCTGGCGTGTGTCGGGATCAGATGGGCGGCCTGCACACATGTAACTGTGTGTGTGTGTCAGGGAGGGAGGGGGCGCACTAGCGATCCGGGCGTTGAACGTCGCACAAACGCGTCAGTCTTTTTTTCCCCTTGGCAACTGATCATTATTAGAATGATAAACTAGTCTTGACGTAGATCTTCGTAATGAATTGTGCGCTTATCTATGAAATCAAAAGTTGCCGTTATGCTAGGATGTACACAGCAACACAACTTTGTGGTAAACAATCGAGATGACACAGGAATGCATTTGAACGAATCGTTCTTTTTTTTTTTTACACAGCTCATAATATGCGGGCATTTCAGGCACTATTTGTGACTTCTCTTTATACACAACTTGCTCAGCGCTTGTAATTATCTACACAAAACCTCATGTTTGCTATAACGAACACTCGGATTCAACGAGATTTTAGGTCAGGCCCGGCGACCTTGTTGAATCCGAGTTCCACTGTATATTTCGAGTTACCTGAAGCTCCCACAGACAGCTGTCTAAAGCTCGGCATTTTGACATATCTTCTTCATCTTCCAGGTATGGGTCACTGTCAAGAACTGTGTAAGAAAGCAAAAGTAATTTGGACACAATCTCACTCAGGGCTTTGTATATATGCAATTAACAGTAGGCCTACTCCTTTAGTCTTAGTAGAGGTTTTTATGGTGCTCGCAACTGCATACATAAGGTCATATGAGTGCCAAGGGGTGGATGTCAACAGAGAAGTCCTTACAGGGAATCAGACTTACTATGCTTACCTCTCTAGCTTCAACAGCACAAAGTCTGCTTCAACTATCAAGGCACCCTGGAAATAGCGGGTCACAAACATACAAAAGAAGTAGAGGCAAATGACGATAGGATTAGGAAAGAAAAAGCAGCAGTTCCCTGTTGTAGTTCAGGCACAGTTATGAGCATGACATTGTGGGATCAGCCCATTTACAATTCTACTTTGCATTAGAACGAGAAATGTCCCTCCTTCGGGAATGGCCTAAAGACACTTCAGTCAACCGCCCATTTTAAGACACCCCCCCCCCCCGAAAGAATATATTTAAAACAAATTACCAATTAAAAAACCAGCAACCAGACATGACAAAAATATGAAATAAACAGGAAAAGATAGAATATGGGTTAAAAGTATTTAAAATTAGCAGTGAACGTCTCTATGCCTGTGCTCATTTCCAACTTGATCAAGGAAGGACCACTGATACTGATATTACTGATACATTCAAGTTCTAGACCAGTATGTGAGCCTCAACCAGATTGTCTGAAAATTTATATGATCTTGTAGAACAAGTGAATAATAGGCCTATTAATGAAATCCGTCAATGAATTGCACTTTTACCAACTTTAACATTACAGTGCAACTTAAAATAGGGCTTGGCACAATAACACAATAGAATTGGAATAGGAATCCTCCATCATTATAATGATCTATAAAGATATAGATCTAGTAAAACATGTGAGTAGACCTAGGCCTTGAATTTGAATAAATCCACATCAGAACAATCGGTTGATAGACAAAATTCAAAATGGCCACTCGAGCACGAAATGAAACTGAAGAAAGTAATTTACGCCGTTGTCCTTCTCCGTATTTTTCTTGGGTTCCGACAATTTATTATGTCGAAAACACCAACCTTAGCATGAAAACGAAAGTGCAGACTAAGCCGACCGGAGAAAAATGGGGCGCTGGCGATTGGCAAGGCCTCTCACATAGACCATGCAGGAGGGCCTGGCGATAGCATCGGCTGAGTCGTGGTTGTTGGACTTCAGATGATTGTCAGCAAACATGTAGGTCTATTCTATTTCTAATTCTACTGTCTTTTTCGTCCTTGCCGTCTCCACAACTACATCCTTATTAAAGTCCCATTCCACATTCTGACCAGATATTGGCTGCACTTCATTCCATTTTCTCCATATTGTATTGATAACCAGACAGATTGTCACTGTGAAAAGTACCAGTTACATCACAGAAGATTTGGGAGAAAAGAATTAGGTAACTCAGCACAACTTGTTCCCTAGAGAAATGAAACTAAAAATATTGACAGAAACCAGAAAAATTTGTCAAACAGAAAATCATACTGACAAATGACAGTAGATAAGTGAGGTTTGTTTCATACGCAGCTGGGAAATCTCCAAAAATGCAACCAGTAATGAAAGAGAATCTACTCAACAATAAATGTAATTATATATGGCTCACTGCATGTAACAAGCTATTTAGGAGGGATTGACTTTAAAAATTCCTCACGGGTGATAAAAAAAAAGTAATGCCCACTAACAAAACAACTACACCTAAACTTCAGAGAATAACTTACCCTGTCCACGGAGGACCACAAAATAGCTGAATTTGAATCAACCCCTCCCTCTGTACTGATCCAATCAAGGAAAAAAGCGTCAACTTACCTTCAGCGCCAGAGACTCGGTGCAGAAGTACTTCACACGCTGGATGCCGGCTGATCAGGTTCAGGACAAAAGGAACGGCAATGTGAGCCCCTGAGGCAGGAGCATGCAGGCACATACGAGACAGACGCTTGGCGAAAGCTGCTATCAGGTATGAGGGAAGATGTCTGTAACAAAGCGGAGGAACAAAAAAAAGGAGCGTGACCAATTTGTGTGACAGAAATAAAGAATTTCAAACTATGAGGAAAGAACTTTTCTCCTCAAACCCAAATTCATTCAATAAATGATTCCACAATGCCACCCCCTCAAATGAATAAACTCGTTTTATTCATCTTTATGAAAACCAACTGTCTTTGCGACCTCGGATGCTAAAGTCACACTGATTATTGTAACCCTCATTGTTTTTGTAAAATGCACTTTCTTCATCGTTGACAGCTTTGGGTATTATTGTCTTAAACACTCTTATCATGAAACATAAGTTCGGAAAAAATCATCAATATCTTGTAAATGCTATCATTTACTACATTCATTAAGAAATTCAAGACAAGAAAAAAAGTCCCTCTGATTGCAGTAATGGTTCAGTGTGGAAGATGCAAAGATACAACATCTCACCCGGAAAAAGAAAGAAAAAAAAAAATTAATAAATAAAAATTACAATAAAAACAAATATATCCAATAACATACTTAAGGAAATCACTGTTAAAAAAACCCAAAATTTTACCAATCAGCTGAGTTGAAAAATACATTAATCTAAAATTCTTTCCATGATAAAGGTGAAAACCATGAGTCAATAAGTTACTATCACAATCACACGCTTCAGCACTCACGTGGATGATAAAAATGTGTCTGCCAAGTGGAAGAACCTTGCTCTGTATTTCGCACCAAACACTTGGGGCTCAAACATTGAATACATTTTCTTGTAAAAGTCAGGGTAGTCTCTGCAGAAGTCCAAGTAAAAACTTTACAAGTAAATGTACATTAAAGACAAAAAAGAAATAATTGAAACAACATGCCAACTATGAAAAATATATCCATTTTAAAGACAGTTTTACTTCATGAGAAAAAATGAGCATGCCAGTGATGACATCCAACTGAGAAACATCCATAAAATAAATATACAGTCGAACCTGAGTAAGACGGAATCGCAAGGGAGCCTGAAAAAAGTTCTGTCTTTGACAGGGGAATTTAGTGGAGAGATGTAAAGGGCGGTGGGGGTCCAAAGACCCAGTCGGTGGGATTAAGGGTCATTTGTCCGATCGGCAAGCAACCACAAGTGGTCAAAACTTTACACCTCACAACCGCTATCCTCTCTGATAATGACATGTGTCAGTCTTATTTATCCAATTACCACCAGTGCTTGCATTTCATAGGACCACTGTTCGACCTATTAAAAACAGAAATGTTTGAACATCTCCTTTGCTTCCATCCTAAGCTCCACCCATAAGCACAGTCAACCAATGCCACCTCTCACTGCCAAGTAACAACGATTAGAGGAACTTTTTTCTCGGCTGGCAGTACAATCATCACAGCAGGCATTGTTCAAACTACTTTCACACTTCTGGCCACCAATGAAAGTTTCAATGCTGGAGCGCCACTCAATCATTTTCACAGGCACTCGTGAGATTTCACACCCACATCGCTCAGGGCTCACATCTACCCTCAAAATGCACCCCTACTCCCCTTTCTCGCCCGGCAGCATGGTGTTAAGATTAGAGCCGGTGGACAGAACCAAACTTGCGAGTTTTGTTTCAATTCAGGACTGAACTGGCAAAACATCCTGAATTTAATATGCTCTCTAAATCTATAAAAATGTCTAATTTCTGAGACAATATGATTCTCCAATCTTCAATTGACAAACTTGAATTAAGCAAGGACGTGATGCTGCTACGTGTTTGCAAGTACAAATCCCTGTAATCAGGATTAGAGTTCTTGCACATTCCAAGGATAACAACAAAAAAACGTTTAAAACAAGAGATATAAATAGAACACAAAAAGCATTTAACAAATGACTCACAGTGGCAGTGCCACAATAATACTTAGTTTAGCTTTAGTAAGAGCTTTACGGCACCTACAACACAATAAAGTCATATGTGCCGAACATTTTCGAGGTGTTACAAGATAGTAACAAATTTACATAAGCAGAAGGACTGATAAATATTTGAGAGAAAAGAAGGAGTAAATCACAACAGGGAACGTGCCAACCACCCACACAGAAATACTTACAAGTTAAACTTGTGCATGAGAATGAAGAGCCCGTGTAAACTCATCAGACTGATAGCGCCACCTGCCAGAAAAATGACAAATTTATTGTTAACATCTCACAGAGGACATGGATGGTAGTAAAGATAAAAAATACTTCAGTGGTATGAGTACAGTACACCCACGGAATAATAAAGACCCAAAAAAAAAATGCGTTCAAAGGTGATACCTGGCTTCTCAGATCCCTCTGAACAGATAGCAAACGCAAGGACTCAAAATTTATATTAGTTATAGTAAAGGGTTTTACGGCGCTCGCAACTGCATAAGGTCATATGAGCGCCAAGGGGTGGGTGTCAACAGAGAAGTCTTTACAGGGAATCAGACTTAGACTGCTCACCTCTCTAGCTTCAACAGCCCAAGGTCTGCTTCGACTATCAAGGCATCCTAAAATAGCAGGCCACAACATACAAAAGAAGTAGAGGGAAATGACAATAGTAAGGATCAGGAAAGAAAAAGCAGCAGTTCCCTGTTGTAGATCAGGCACAGTTGTGAGCGTGACATGAGTCAGCCCATTTACAATTCTACTATGCTTGAACGAGAAATGTCCCTCCTCCTTTGGGAATGGTATAAAGACACTTCAGTCAGTGGCACTGCCCCGGGAGGGGGGGTGGCCTCAAAATTTACGGTTTGGAAAATGCAAAATGTGGACAATTTCAGAAATCTGTATTTCTGGATCTATCCCCAAAATTTGCACCCCAGCTGTGTACGTCATTATATTTTCCACTTCATTGTGTACGGTAGGCCTGAATAGATGTACATCCATCAATGTCAATATTCACTTTTGATATCAGAGGTGAGCAATGCGACTATAATCTGACCAAACACCCCCCCCCACCCAAAGGTCAACATCGCAGGCAAGCCAGAGACTTGATGATAGCTTATTATCTTTCCCTCCACAGAAACAAACTGGCTGTATTTCATTATCAGAAAACATGGCCATATATTTTGAGGTTTAGGTGACAGGGAAGCAGCAGCATGAGACTATTATCATTTCAGGACTTTCCTTCTGACTCCCGACACTTTTCAAAGCGTAAAAAGAAGGAAACTTTTATATATGACAAATAAATATGGAGAAAGAGGTATCCATTATTCTAAAACCCTACAATATACGAGGGGCATACCAAAAGTTTTTTACTTGACCATGAAGGAATAAAGGTAGAAGGCTGAAATTTGGGGTGAAAGCCAATAATCATCTTCCTAGAATGCATGTCAATTTTAGGGAATTTCCAATAACTGATTATACCATCAGCACACTGTGAGTGAATGGGGGTATGTTGTTCTCAATTTTCAACATAAAAATGAAGAAAATTGAGCACAGTGCAGTAATGAGATTTTTGTTCTTGCAAGGCAAGCAACAGCATGATATTTTTACGATGCATGCCGCATATGGAACTGATTGCCCATCCTATTCTGTGATGAAATTTTGGGGTAAACAATTCAAATGCAGATTCGTGGGCATTAAAGGGCTGGTCTCCTTACAGAGAGAGGACCTCTATTCTCAAGGTCTTTCCAAGGTCATACACTGATGGCAAAAATGTGTAACTGTGGGAGGCGACTACATTGAGAAAGACTAAGCTTAGTATTAAATTTCAGCTTTGTACCTTTATTCCTTCATGGTCAGGTTATAAACTTTTGGTATGCCCCTCGTAGAGAGCTTATTAGGGAGCAAGATGAGCTTTCAGAGTGACACAAAATTATAAATAATATAAGCACTTTAGCTACTGCCTTTAGTCTAACATAGCCAGAGACAAAAAAGAAGAAAAGAGCTTCAAAGGAGAAGCCACATAAACAAATACCTATGTTGAAAGACTCCGACAGGAAGTCAGCCAGTCGTATGGGAGTCGACATTTTCTCCATTATTGATGAAATCCCAGTCAAGATTTCTCTGTACAAACCCGTTGGCATCTGAAAGAAAGTTAAAAAAAAAGAAAACAATGGAAATAGATGCTCTGCAATTGTCTAGACAAAAGGGACCATTTGCTCAAAAAATGTACAGAAGTTTTTTTTAACAAAACATTCTAATCAAGTTAAAATTACAGGCAATGTATACGAGGAAAGAAACAAGAAATAATGTTTTGCATAACGAGTAACTGATAAATTTACAGATATTTCATACCTTATGCTTCAGGAACTGACAGACAACAGCAGTGAGCATTTTCTTTGACTTGTCATCTGTAGAAAAAACCCAAACAAAACATGTCTGTAGTTAGAATAGCTAAAGATAATTCATCACCAAGAGAGGCATCAGAGAAAGAAAAGCATGTTGACACATAAACTTCCGTTCATTGCTGTGAAAATCAACATGAATAGAACTAAGAACTAACGTAGCAAAGAAATGGGATGCACAAGTAGCGTCTTGCAACTACTCGGCCAGGTACTTCATATTTCTTAAACGTTCCTTGGACAATATTTTCCCTTTTCAATGGATATTACACAAATATTTTGTGACGTTGTGTAATTCGTCAGAAGGTAATACTTGAATACCGGTATTAAAAAACTTCAAATGGATGTTATTACTGTTAAGAACTTTGAAATCAAAGATTCTATCAACGAAGATATATGCACTGAATTTTCCTCTCTCTATATTCTTTGAACTTACTAAAACCAAAGAGACCAAGATTTCTAAGATCACCTACAAGTGAATTAATAGTTACCATCATAGCCTAGATTAAGGACATACTGTAACAAGTGAATTGTGTGTTTGAACCAAGGACCAGAAAATATGAATATTTCAACAAAAAAATAAACGTATACATTGGGAATTGTGATTTGAACATACTTTCACAAACCAAAACATATTACTCAAAGTAAAAAAAAAGTGACCCTGAAGATACGGTTCAGACAAGGACCCAGTTATGCATCTAAACTACATAATTGCAATAGTCGGAATTGTTTTAAACTGCCATCCACTGTCCAGAAGAAAAAAGGGCCATCTTAACTCTTTCAGGACGAAACGGACACATCTGTCCGACCAGCAGCAGAACAAAGTCAATGTTCAACACATTTCGAACAACCACACTCAAATCAGAAACACACATTTGCCAAGTTTTTCACAAGCATGATGTTGCAGACCGTTTAAAGTTTCAGATAAATTAAACGAAAAAGTCTACATGATTAACGAAGTTAGGCTCTTCTTTAAGTGCCTTCAAAACAGCTTGTTTGCTTACATTGTCGAAAATGCGTCCTCAAAGAGTATAACAGGTGTCATTTTACTGTAAAAAAACCCCCCAACAACTAAAGGGCCAAAGTGGAAGTGGCTATTTGTACAGGTTATTGTCTTAAACAGGTAGCACTGGAGCAGGTTCGACTGTATACTGCACAATATATAAAACACAAAAGCCATACCTATTTCTTGTTCTGCGATCTGCTTAATTATCCTCCAGCAGTTGAAAAGAAAGATGTCAGATGGCGTCTGAAAAGAAAAAGACCACCAAAAAATTTTTTTTCTTCGAATTTGTCAACTTGTAGATCCACTTATATCTAGCATACAGTCAACAACCTGTAACAGTTCTTCTCCCCAAACAACTTGATATTTGCAGATCAACTTTGCCCATCCTTCCATATAAAACTGCATGCATTCATAAATTTAGCCTAAAAGATTCAGGCATAATGTAAACTGAGAAGAAATAAAAATCAATATACCCCCCAATACAGAGAAGAAAACCTTCCTTGCTAAAACTTAAAAAGACCATGGAGACCCCCCCCCCCCCCCCCCCAAAAAAAAAGAACCATATAGAAAGAATATAATAGGTAAAAAGGTAGGAAACTGCTGCTCTGATAAAAATGCAAGCTCACAAACTCCCTTTTCACTTACCGAGTCCAGTGTCTTTATGCAAGCCTTCAAGTGTGCCAGACAACATGCTGTGACCTCCGTGCTGCCCTCCCAGACACTCAGAAGAAGTGGGAGTAGTTCAATCAGCTGGGCCTGGTCCTGCTCAGTGCTGAGTAGTTGATTCATTACATTCTGGGAGGACACATAAATAATATGGATCTAGCCACATATATAAACCTAGCTTTATCTATCATTCTGTATAAATATATATATATATAGATACATATTTACACATACATATACATTATATATGTGCGGTCTAGATTGAACATAGTAAACATAGGATATCTAAGAACTTCGGTCAATATCAAAAGAGGTAGACAAGGTTGGACAAACTGGTCAAAATTTTATATGAATTATGTTCCCTGTGACACTCTGGGGTCATTGTCTTGCGCTGTTTTTTTTAAACGATTAAAATATATTTGCAAACAACAAAATAAAAACAATGTCAGGATATTATAAGTTAAAAAATGTATTAAATTTAGAGCCTCTATAAACATGTTATTATTAGGATATTATATTCATAATTTCTTTCATCAAACCTGAATAAGTTTGCCACATAAGCCTTGTGTAGAGTGACTTTTCTCCGCTTGAAGGGTGGTAACAAGAGCGTCCATCGCAGAAATCTGATGATGTACATAATACAGCATAAAATTAAGCATAAATCAAATAGGAATGAATACAATTTGCAGTACAGTAGTTGTCTACAGGTGTAAGACAGGGGAAAACACTGAAACTTCTAACATCTTTCAAGTTAATACATTAGGTTTACAGATTAGTTGTGCTAATCATCACAAGTATTCCTTTGAATTAAATTTTTTTTAAAAGAAGAAAACTTTAGTTTCAATGATAGAATTGTACTCATTCAGAAGCTAATCATCATTATGAACTATTTCATATTTCATTTATAATCGAGAGGCTGCGAAAGTACCAACAGAGTGAACAGTACATTCATAAGACTCAGTCACGATAAGTCAAAAGGTCCAGACCTGTACTGTAGATTGATCATGGTTCAAATTGTCACACAGAACATCACACGTTGTTGTGAACTGCTCCTGTAGCCATGATGAGAACTGGTCCTCTTTGCTTAAATCTGGCGACAAAGAACAGATAAAACAAGATACACTCTATTGACTTCATAATGGAGAGGAAGAAATAAAGTGTGTTTACACCTGCTTCTGTATCAATATTCACAGCATCACATCAACACAAAAGATACCTCCCCCCCACCCCCACCAAAACAAAACAGAAAGAAACCCAGCAGATTAAACTGACATGTCATAAATCTAGAATAATTCAATTAAGCACTTTCAAAGTTGACTCTTTATGTCTTGCCCCCATGAGCTACTGGATCTGTGCATCAGAGAGCTTTTGGGTCAACTGCCTGATATTTACAAAATCCTACCCTTAAGACAGGCATTTAGTGCATTATAAAAGGAAAGGAAGTATCATTTAGGCATGTACTCAGTATGCATGTGGTAAATCCTGCAGTAAATTCAAACTTCACATACGGTAATAAAAAAAAAAAAAAAAGAGGATATATATCGTCTGCCTTGTGATATAACTGACCAACCCACAAAATTTGAAATTTTTTAAAATTGTCCCGTTCGATAGTAAATTGTCCATTTCATATGCCCACTCAAAGGCAGATCTGAATTTTGTCAAGAAATGTCTTTAAAACATTAGAAATAAAACCACACAACCCGGCACTGATTGGATAGCTTGATAATTCCAACTATCCCACATACGAGGGAGGGAATGAGGGTTGGATGTTTTTGTCGAGCTAACAACGAGGGGCCACGTGTTACGTTACCGACTAACCCAGACTTCGACTCGTCTCCGGACTTCGTTTGACATCCCATTCAGACCTGTGATAGTCCAGAATTCGCTAACGTAAATGTGAGAGCTCTCCAAAAAGGAATACCTGTTGTTGTTTCATTGGGGAGTTATATAGATCTAGTTGTTTCCTCTTTATAATGCTGCTGATAATGGTATTGATGACTAAAACTACCCACTGTTCCCACAGAGATGTTTATCTCTTGACCATGCCGGTATTTAAAATGCATCTTTTTGGATTTTTTTAATATGACACTTTTTTTCGTTACAGACTAACCCCGACTTCGACTCGTCCCCGGACTTCGTTTGACATCATATTCAGACCTGTGATAGTCCAGAATTCGCTCACGTAAACGTGAGAGCTCTCCAAAAAGGAATAATTTGTGGTTTCACTGGGGAGTTACATAGATCTAGTCGTTTCCTCCTTTTTTCTTCGTTTTTAATGCTGCTGATAATGTTATTGATGACTACAACTACCCACTGTTCTCATAGAACTGTTTATCTCTTGACCATGCCGGTATTTAAAATGCATCTTTTTGGATTTTTATTTTATATGACACTTTTTTTCCTGTCCATGTGCTCTTCCTTGCCTTTGTACTGGAAAGTCACCAAATTGCGAAGGCATTTTCCCCTATTCAGACTACTGTCTCTTCTCCTAATCAATCTTTTTCTTAGCAAATGAATTGGCGAAGTTGAAAGCATTTCATTCCTTGCTAACTCACTCAGAAAAAAAATTGTGTGACCTGTCTAGCACATCGCCTGCCTCCAACAATCATTGTTGTTTTAAGTGCTTCTTCCTTTTTTTTCATTTGCATTGTTTATTGAAGTCATTTTTTTATAATACCTTCTGAAACATCTTTCGACTTTCTTTGATAGTTTATTTCGTTTGTGTTTTGTATAGATTATTTTCTCAGTGTCATATAATGCTCTATCCTTAAATCAAACCCTAACTTACAAAACCATATAACATTCCATGACATGATGCCACTCTTCCTGCGTCACCGCTGACCCTCCGCGCAGTAGAAAGTGATCAACAAGACCAGGCTAATGTCACACCAGCTGATGATACAACCGTTATATCACCCTTGATCTCTGCAAAAAGGACACGCGATGAAAACGGTTGGAAGGGTAACAAAAGGAAGATATTGAAAGAACTGGGGATGCCTCTACGCATGTCAAGTCACAAGAGAGCAGGGTGTGAACTTAACGACCGTTGCAGTTGTCAACTGGTTAGTACAAAAAGCAATGACATCGCTGGTCACTCTCTTGGAAGATAAAGAGAGCCTACGTATATATGCCATGATAAACAGTCTGACCAACTGGGTCAGAAAAAAAAACCAAAAGCCCCCCAAGAACACATCATGCCCACCACGAGAGAGCCAAGGATTATATGTCTTTCCATAAAGAGGATTTTTTAAACAAACTTTCGAAGATACCCTCCTATATGCAGATGTCAATCCAGAACACGTCAGATCTGCATCAAGTGTCAATGGAGAAATTTGCAGAGAGGCTGAAAGCAACATTGAGCTGTCAAGTGTTCTGCCAAAAGTTCAAGAAAAACAATTTTAGTTTACTTCCAACCAAGAAGTACCAGTGCGACATTTGTACCAGCTTCAAATCTGGAAACCTCAAAGAAACAGAATATGCAGCTTATGAAATATGAATATGATTAACGCTGCATCTCGAGCAGAAAAGGAGAAGGACAGGGGGGCTGCACTGAACCCAGAGAACAAAGTGTGTGTCTTTTGTATGGAGACCCAGTGCGTCCTTCTGGCACCATTTCCAAAGACATTTGCCTTATATTATAAAACAAAACTGGCAGTACACAATTTTACGATTTAGGATCTTGCTACCAGAGACGCCAGTTGATACGCCAGGGATGAAAGTGACACTGGTCTGAGCTCCAACAGTTTTCATCATGTCTGACTCACTACCTAAGATTGCGAGCGAATGACTTCAACCACTTCATCATCTACAGTGATGAGTGCAAACACCAAAAAAGAAATGCCACTCTAGATAGTGCAATGGCGTCGCTGGCCAAAGAGATTGACATCACAGTTGAGCAATAATTCTCGCCGAGGGCCATACCCAAATGGAGGTTGATTCAGTCAATGGCACTATAGAGCGATCGCTAAGAAACCGCACTGATTTACATCCCAGTGGACTACGTGAACATCCTGCTCCAAGCCAGACGCATCCCCAGGCCCTATGAAGTTATGTATCTGGACCACAGCTTTCTCAAAGATTTCCCAAAGGCCAGAGAGTACTAAACGATTCGCCCCGCCCGGGGAGAAAAGCAGGCGACCCTACTGTCACTGACTTGCAGGCATCAAAGTACACTCCAGTCTTTAAAATTCAGTACAAGTTGAACTTTGATGATGAATGGCAGGTGCTGCAGGGACCAACAAAGCTGAACACCCTGTGAACCACAATTACTGCTGGACCTCTCTACAAAGAGAGTGAAGATAGCAGCTAGGCAGTATAAGCATCTACAAGAGTTGAAGGCTGTTGTACCACAATGCTACCACAATTACTATGACACTTTGCCTCAGTAAGAAGCTTTGAAAGCGATCAAGTCAAATTTGATTATTGTAGAGTCTGTCAAAACAATGGTGGCTTTTTGTTGTATTGCTTTGTTATGGCCATAGGGCACAGAGAGAGTGAGACAGACATGCTCTTCTATTGTTGAGAAAACTCAATAAAGTAGTTGTTGTCAAGCCACACACCTTGAAGAAAGTTGGCGCATTCTTCTTTGATACTTACAAAGTTTTTTTGCATAATAATATTATAGTATTACTATTACGTAACCAGCTTCCCTCAAACCATTGCAGAGGTAGCTGAGCTTTTGTGTGGCTTTCTGCTTTCATTTCTTTCTAAGTATTACTTTTCCCCCCATCATTTGAATGACCTGCCAGTGTCAATAGTAGCGTGTCAGACACTGTCATAAATTCTAAAGGCCTGCTGCTGCTGCTACTACTGTAGTTGTTGCTGCTGTAGCTGCTCTCCCTTACCCGTTGAACCTCCTGCTCTTCTAATTCAAATGTAGTTAATAGACCCATTACTGTGTTCTGCTTCTGGTAAATGGTCAACCTTGTGACTGCTGTTTTTGCCTGAATTGACTCCATGGCACTGAAAATACAGCAGCTGACAGCATGGTGGTAGCGACAAAATTGTCGTCCTCCTCTTCCTTTTTCTTCTTCTCCTCCACTTACCCCTCTTTTTTTTCTTCCCTTCCTCCTCCCCCTCCTCCTTCTGATGATGATGAAACATGTAACACAAAAGATCACGACAATTGAAACAATAGATCAAATTATATGTTACCGACAAGTGCGGCTTGGCTGCACTTAAGCCCAGCAGTGGCTTCCTGATAAAAAAGGCCAACCCACAAAATTGAGGATTGGTCGGTTTTATCCGGAAAAATTTGAGCGCCATAACCGTCCAACCAACACAGTTTCATTAAAAGCAATTTTTAAAGTAAAAAAAGGTCTACAGTTTTTCGGTATAGTAAAGTGTTTTTATAGGTGTTTACAGCACTGATTTATCGTTAGACACCTCTGTTTTGAAATAAAACAGTTTTTTCCTTCTCCTGTAACATTTACCCTGCTGGGATTAGTTGATTTTATCACAAGGCTGAAGATATATATATCGATCGACATGCGGTTTTCACCAAAAAATTCTTTAAGATATTCTCCAGATCATGATGCCCTTGGTTTTTTCAGTTTTGAGACGATTTTGTTGCAAAAAGATAAATTTCTTTATTTCGCCGATCGCTTTTTTGTAGGCCGACGCTTCTGTCTCTGAAATTTTAGAAACTCCGGAAGTGATATTCCGCTAGGCGCATTTTGTTTTGAGAGTATAGATCTAGACCTTTTCATTTTTTGAATCTCATGATTTATTTCCCCATTCCAGTAAAGTGTAAATATAGTAGGTCAATTACTTTTAGTTGATATTAATGCACCGATCATTCCTTTCATCGAAAGGGGGCCCAGCTAGTATATATATACTATATATATATATATGTGAGGCAGCGTGGTGGAATCAGGCTCTCGTCAAAATAATCAAAGTGAAGAAACTTGCATTTTTACGCAGATTTGTGAATTTTTATCAAATTTTTGTTTTTTGGCTCAACACCTTTCAAGCCCATTTAACAACTAATTTCTGTGTGGATTTTTCTGAAAAACGTTGATTAAAGGCACAAAAAATGTAAATTTTCAGTTACCACGGACTCTTAAGCTAAGGAAATAACTAAACTTTGGCGGTCATTTTCTCACTAATTTTACCTCTGAAAACAGGTGACCCCCACCTCCTTCTTTCATAAATATCTGAACTTGTATTCAAGATAAATGGATATTGTTTTCATCCAAATAAAGACAAGTGAACAAGCTTTAAGAAGATACCAATAACTCTACAGGCCCAAAAATTGACGAGAGCCTGATTCCACCACGCTGCCTCATATATATATATATATATATATATATATATATATATATATATATATATACACACACAGTCAAACCTGCCCTGACGGCCACCTCTATAAGACGGCCACTTTCCATTTCCCCCCTTGCGTTTTTTCTATATAATTTAACTGTGTAAAACGGGCACCTGTCCAACGCGGCCACCCTATTTTAACACACAACCCCTATTACACTAAGCAATAACACCTGTCTTTGACGGCAACCTTAGTGACTCCATTACGTTTTGTCACAAATTGTGCATTGGCCCCTGGCGTTGTGGGCGAGTCGTCATAATTCAATCACCTGTTGTTGTTAGGTAGTCCTGCAACCGATCATGTTGTGTAGGCCCTTCCCACTGTTGACCAACAGCTACCAATTTTCAGCTGCTGGTGAGGTAAGCGTTTGATCCCTCATTACCCATAAGCCCCGCCCAGAACTCAAACACAAATCGTAAGTGAGATGAGTGGTCACTGTTTACCCAATCTGTAACAAAGTAACATTGGATGTCAACATGAACATGTGACAGAAGCGTCGCTCGTTCTCCGAGTGGTGGCGACCCATGTGTTTGTTTTAACATTGCACTCGGTCTTCCTTGTCTGATACATTTTGTTTTATTGTCACCCTTGCGCAAAATCAGCAACAAAATAAAAATTACAAACAAAATGCAAACCAACAACAACAACAACAACAAAATCAACAACAACAGTGCGGCTACTTTCGATTAGGACCTCAGATGGGAATGGTTTGTTTTCTTCATCTGTATCAGAACTGCCTAAGACGGCCACTTTTCTCCTTGACAATGGGTGGCCGTCTTACACAGGTTTGACTGTATATATATTGTCGAACCTGCCATAATGGAAACCTGTCTCAACAGGAATCTCCCCCCCCCCCCGGTATATTTCTCTTTAATTACCAGTATAACAAAAACTCGCAAGTTTGGTTCTGCCGGCTCTATAAACGCCATGGCCATGCCGCTGGGCGAGGAAGGGGAGTAGGGGTGCAATTTGGGAGTAGATACTACCCCATCATGTGAGCCCTGAGCGATGCAGACGGCCAGGGTAGTGTGGGCGTGAAATCTCACGATTGCCCTAGAGAGTGCTCGAGTAGCGAGCCACTATGGAAACTTTCTTGGGTAGCCAGAAGCCAATGGTGTGAAATTAGTTTGACCAATGCCTGCCACCCTGATCGTACGCCATCCGAGAAAAGAGTCGAATCGTTGTTACATGATGGCAGTGAGGGGTGGCATTGGTTGACAGTGCTTGTTACACCGATGGGTGGGGCTAAGAGTGGAAGCAAAGGAGACGTTCAAACGTTTCTGCTTTTAATAGGTCAAACAGTGGTCTTATGAAAGGCAAGCACTGGTGGTAATTGGATAAGTAAGAGTGAAGCATGTCATTATCAGACAGGATGGCAGTTGAGAGGTGTGAAGTTTTGACCAGAGCTTGCCGATCGGACAAGCCATCCTTCATCCCACCGGCAGGGCCTTTGAATCTCCCCCCACTTCCATCTTCCCCATAATTCCCCTGTCTAAGACGGAATTTTTTTCTGGCTCCCTTGCGATTCCGTCTTACACAGGTTCGACTGTATACAAAACAGAAGCGTACAAGATCAATGTGGCTGGACACAAATATCCTTTAAAAATGGTTAAGTACAAATTATACGTCTCAAACATTAATATATTTAGCATATATTCTATCAGATTGTAAACTGAGCCTTTTACCTTCCTCAGCTACAGTCGTCTTTCCGGGATCCAAAAACTGTTTTTGAGACAAGAAGTGTGCGAAAATGTCCCCCAGGGCTTTGCAGCTGGCACTTATCACCACACTGTCATCACTCTGATAAAAAAGAAGTATGAAAATTAGTTACTGGTAACGTATTAAGTTAAAGAGCATCTTTAACATGTGTGCAATAAATAATAAGTCAATAACTCAGGTCAATTAGATGAGAAAAAAAAGTGTATTCAATTACAGCATTAAAATTGGCAGTGATAAACTTGTAGAAAATGGGCGCTATGTCCTTGAACTTTCATCCCGAGATTGCCTAATGCCAAATAACAGCTGTTCTGTGTTTGCCATCGGCAGAAACGGGAGCCATCTTTTCAATAAAAATATATCAGATGGCAGGACATTATTGAGCTTTTGTATTAGTCAGTCATAGGGAGGAGCAGGACATTCAAAAAATCATCTGAAAGTTTCGGGTTTTGAACAGTAGATTACTTAAGCATCTGTGAATGATTCTCCCTCGCGCCCCGGAATAATTTGTTTTGTGAAAGTCACATTCATTTCACAGTGCTCATTTCCAGGCTTTGTTTATAAGGAAATTCCTTTTTCAGAATATCTTAATGAAGAATACATAGGACCACGCTTTTCAGAAACTTTTCAACCAGACACTATCAATAGACATGTTCTTGTTCTTAAAGAATTAAAGTTGTTTCAAGGGCTCCATTGTTTGGAAAGGCATCCATATCTCTAAACTTAACGCCATGGCCATGCCGCTAGGTGAGGAAAGGGAGAAGGGGTGCAATTTGGGGGTAGATGTTACCCCAAAATGTGAGCCCTGAGCGATGCAGATGGTCAGTGTAGTGTGGATGTGAAATCTCACGATTGCCCGTGAGAGTGCTCGAGTAGCGAGCCACTACGGAAACTTTCCTGGGTAGCCAGAAGCCAGAGGTGTGAAATTAGATTGACCAATGCCTGAAACCCTGATTGTACGCCAGCCGAGATGGCGAGAAAAGAGCTCCTCGAATCGTTGTTACATGATGGCAGTGAGGGGTGGCATTGGTTGACTGCTTGTTACACCAATGGGTGGAGCTAAGGGTGGAAGTAAAGGATATGTTCAAATGTTTCTGTTTTCAATAGGTCAAACAGTGGTCCTATCATGAAAGGCAAGCACTGGTGGTAATTGGCTAAGTAAGAGTGACGTATGTCATTACCAGACAGGATAGCAGTTGACAGGTGTGAAGTTTTGACCACTGGTAACCGATCAGACAAGCTATCCTTGATCCCACTGGCAAGGCCTTTGACCCCCCCCCCTCTCCATCTCCCCCTAAATTCCCCTGTCTAAGACGGATTTTTCTGGTCCCCTTGGAATTCCGTCTTATACAGGTTCGACTGTATTTAATAAACATATTTCTGCTTGAGTTTGGGTGCATTTGCGGCATACTTCTAGAGTCGCCTGCGTAGGTACTACACAGAAGCGTAGGCTTGCCTACCCTCATTCAAAACACGTCAAGTTGAAGTTGGTAGCTCTAGGGGTTCGTTCAATAAAATTAGGAACAAATTGACCCACTTAGACATGAGGAGCTTGGAAGGATAACCAGGAAACCACTCATTTTACTGTACATAATCTTTCAAATGAGTTTGAATTTATGAAAAATGATATTACCTAATAAAGTTTATAGATAGTTTTGAATACCATTTTGTGCAGGTAAAAAGAAGAATTAGAATGCAAAACATTCGCAAATTGACCTATACTATTTCTTTTCGACCCCCGGAATGTGTGTAACTACTTGTGACTTATCAACCTATGAGAGGGGATTGGATCTTGATCTATAACTTATTAATGTGTTCATAACACATTATGAATAGAAAGCTAAAGATAAAGTGTTGTTTTCAGACTTGGCATCGTTTCACTCGGTGGCAATTGACGCTACCTAAAAATATGGGGGGTTTCAGGGGGCATGCCCTTGTGTATGTAACCAGAATTTGATGTTTTGCAATTAGGTTTCATATTTTGCTTTGCTCACAGCGATCCAAACATCATATCGTCATGGGCAGCAAAAAGTAGTAATTTCCAACCATATAGAAAACACATGTAATCAGTAATTGTATCGTTTAGTCAAATTTGACAGTCTAAGTAGATCTAGTCTAGATCTAGATGTAGAACTAATAATTGTTGAGGCCAAAACTGAATTTCGCGGTTAAGTAGATTCAATAGTAGATCAAATGTAAGTCTCAACAGGGAGTCATATATAATATAGGCCCTTTAACTATTTCGAAGTGGCTATGGGTACGGCCCTCCCGTACGCATAGCATCGAGGCTATGTGTACGCCCCTCCACTTCACATAATAAGCTAGGCTGTGTATGTGGCACATAATAAACCTGACACTTCAACTACAAGTAGACAAACTTAAACCCAGGAAGTGCGCAGGCCCTTTATAAAGGGCGTAAGCCGGGCTACCCGGGAAGCCTTCTATATAGGGATGACCTACTTCGATTGGGAAGCGCGCAGCTATAAAGGGCATAGACGCTGACCATTTTTCAATGGAAAATTTCAGCATTCCTTATATGGAAAATGACATAGTATATTACAGGTCAATGTTATAAATAGTGACCAATGACTTTGCAAGTTATCTTGACCTCGTAGAGTGTCTCTTGACCAAAGATTGTACATAACAAAATAGTTCACTAAGCCAAAAAGGTGTCCACGGAAGAGGGCACCGCCGAATATTGAGGACACTTTTTTTAATTGGCCAAATTATAGAGGAGTGAACTATCTTGTTATACACGATCTTTGTCTTGGCCAAGATATTGATCGATAAAGTCACGCAGTCCAGCTGAGCGATTATCAAGGCCGTGAGCATACTTCTATCTAAATCTAAGGGCCTTTCCGTGCCTACGCAAAACATGCGATTAAACGTAGAAGGACGCAAGCTATTTTTAGGTGTAGTGCCCATCTTGTTTGACGTCAGACCAGGATACCCCTCCGATCATGTGACTACATCTAAGTATAGGCAACCGCATGGCACCAAAGATGGAAATGTATTACAGTAGTCTCCGCCTAAGATCCCACCTCCTACAATCCCGGTTCGCTTAAGATCCCGTTGTTTTAAGAAAACAGAATTTTTACTATACAAAAGTCACCCCTAAGATCCCGCTCTGATTCACTCTGAAGGTCTACATTCGGCTAAGATCCCGCATTTCAGATCATAATTTGAGGAAAAAATAGTTGAGATAAATAAACAGTCCGTCGCGTCAAAGATCAACCACTATCGTGAATGTGATCACATACACGTTGTACAACTCGATGAAGCGATACAATGTTAGCCCCAGACCGGATCACACCGTTTTTCTGAACATCGCACTCACACCTGAGCTCTCCACCTAAACTTACATCACTCGCTGGGTGGGCAGGGCCTACACGTTCGCTCCAGACGGGATCACATTGAATGTCCCAGTGAACTCTTCCCTGACCATTGCAGAAGTTGTCTCTACTCCCGAATTTTCGAGACAGGCTGAATTTAAATCGGTGTGTTCACAACGTAATGGTGTGTAACGACAAAGGCGGTTGGGGGGTAGGGGGGGGGACTCAGTCAGAGATGGAAAGCTATAAATTTTCAACAGGTAAGAGGGAGGGGCAACTGGTTACGCGTAGATCTTGAGACTCATGATAGGATAAAAAGCGAAAATGGCACGCCTCATCCCACTATGCACTGTAATAGATAAGTCATCAAGGTTAACCACTCTTTGCTCGCAATATGCCATAAACCCACCAAGAGGTCATGTCAGTTCATTTTAGAGTGGAGGGAGACAATTGTACCTATTGTGAGCCTTAACATGGATCACCATAGATTCTTCCCTGGGTTCATCGGTTAAGATCCCGGTTCGCCTTAGAAGATCCCGCATTTCCTTGCTCCCGATCACCGGGATCTTAGGCAGAGACTACTGTATATTAAGCTTAATCTACCTCTCGCTGTCAGAAGTTCTGATGGCCGAATAGACAGCGCGTCTGTGTTCAAAGTCATGCAAAGATTTTATGAGCGGTTCGATCCCGGTCCCGGCCAGTTTTTCTTTCTCTTCTCCTCCGCCCGACTGACCAACAGTTTGTCCCATAAATTATAATTTGTTACTTTTAGTTTGAAATTTTAAAATGTATTAGTGATTAAAAATGCAGGGGGGGGGGGGGGGGGGTTAGTGTAGTAGATCTAAATTTAGATATCTAGATCTAGATATTATCTAGTCCTCCTGCGTCTTTACGGCAATTTTCGTGCGGTCTTCCATCATGTCCAGGTAGGCCTAATAGATCTAGATCTAGAATTTAGATCTAGATCTAATCTAGAATCTAGATTTAGAGATCTAATCTAGAATCTAGATCTAGATCTAATCTAGAATCTAGATTCTAGATCTAGATCTAGAAAATCCGAAATGTTACCGAAAACACGTCGTTCCATGTTTGGGTATCCCAGGAAGTGATGACATCAAATTACTAAAATAAGCAGCCAATCAGAAAGATGCGTCATTTCTAAGTTTAACGGCATGTCAAAGCAACAGGCTATTTTAAGTCAAGACACAGACAGTCACAATCAACCACTAGAATTAGGGAAAAACTTCCGTAACGAGCAACCACCCCATCAAACACAATAAAGAAGAGGCCTAGACCTAACCCTACCCTTACCCCAAGCCCTCCCCCAAGCCCTCAATTCTGCTCTGTCTCATAGTGGTCGCTCTTTACTGAAGTCCTCCCAGAATTGGAATCTAGATCTATATCTAGATTCTAGATCTATATCTATGATAACAATGATGGCAATGAGGACTACCTTCTACATCTAGACTCTAGATTTAGATCTAGATCTATGCGTGTAGATCTATTCCAGACTCTATATAATGTGACGAGTCTCGTGTCGATATTTTAGTTATCTTGCACAAATTCTACTTGCAGCCAGACAGTAGATCTAGACTTATCCAACTATCATAGCATGGGTGCAAATGAAAATCAGTGGACGAAATTGTTTACCTGATTAAAACTCAAAATGTCCAGCAACAAATTGGCATTTTTATGATCACTCAGGATGGCTGCTGTTTTCTTCCGAATTGATTTCTCGGTGGTAGTGGAATTTTTCGTGCCTGCCATCATTGAATGTTGACTGAATTTATACCATGCTGCTTCCGGTCCAGTTATAACTGTGAGGAAAATGTCTAATAATAACCACCAATGAAAAAGTATCACTTCGAAAAGAAGCTTGAGAAGAGGTTGGTGCGCATGCGCTAATCGCGAAGACGTTCTCTTTGGAGGGAGAACCCTCGAGCACTCCACGTCTGAAAATATTTCATTTTTTGATAATTTCTTCCATGTGCAAAGTGGCCACTGGGTAAAAATGTTTAGCTAAGTGTCTGGTTCGGTTGGAATTGGGCTTTTTGGCCATGATGGAGGGCGAATGTGAGAGCATTTTGTAAAAACTATAGGTATGTATGACCAAATTCTCTTACTCAAAATGGCGTCAGTGTGAAATGTCGAACTCGTGCGCAGACAGGGTGCGCACACAAAACTACTACGTTCACTGGCAATGCAATGAGGCAGCTTTGCCTAGCCTAGGCTAAAGCAAGAAACTGGTTGTTGGATCGTGAACATTTTTTACAGATTCCGTGAAATAAATGATGACTAATGCATTTGTATCCTCAGTTAATGCGTTGGCAATGCTTTTGAGTCACTGTGTTCATGCATAGAAAATATTTTGTTTTGTAACTGACGTATTCGCGATTTTATTTTTTTTGGTCGCAGTCGCAGATCACCCCCACTGGCCTTTATTTCGCAGCATCATGCATGTTATCCACCATACATTGCCGCCCAGATCAGGCCCCGGCGCCAAGAAGCAAAGCAAAAGTTTATGCGAAACTTTTAGCCCTTGAAGTTATACAATGGGATTCGCTTCCTGGGACTGGGTATTTACATATCTAGATCTAGATTAGAATCTAGAACTTACCTTCTATGTTTTCAGTGACTCATCCTTTTTTCTTCTTTTTTTTGTAAGAGACTTTCAAAGGTGAGATTGGGTTACATGTCTCAGTCAGGGTTTTACTTGTACAACAGAGTGGTTATCCAGGTAAATTTTTACTTTCACTCCCGCACACAGATACACTGCTTCAGGGGTCAAACTGCTGTACACTGTTTGCTGCAGATCACACATAAATAATAAAGTCACTAAAACTGTCGCAAATCAATCATTTTCAGGAAAATTTCAAATCTAGGCCTAACTGTAAAATATCAAATTATGGGTTAAAACAGGGGGCATGCCCCCTGTAACCCCCCAGATTTTCTTTTACACCAGGTGGGCAGGCCCCCCTGGAACCCCCGATTGGTCCACAGCACGTCTGTCTCGATTAAGAACAATAAATTATTTCAAAAACTATTAATTTGCGACGGAAAAGAAGTTGATATTTGTGTTCAGCGCATCAATATCTAGTAGAAAATGGACAACTGGTAGCCTATTGTGAGACGGGAGGGAAAGTAAAAAAATACCGTTATCCGTACAATTGTGCGAACAACTCTGTCTAGATCTAGTTATCGGGAAGATTGAAGAATACCGGACCACCCATACATCATACAGTATTGTTCTCCTGACAAATTATTAATGAATAGATCTACTGGTCCGAGATTCTCCATTGAGAGATCATTAAAAAAACTGGGGGAAATCATGAATTCCTAAGGTTGAGACAGGCAAAGTCAGTCCGCTGGTCCGGTATTTTTCAATCTTACCTAGTTATCCGTATAAGTGTCCCCACTATTGCTACACCATTGTACGAATAATTGCTTCAGGTATCCGTACAATAATAGGCCTACGCCTAGGCTTTCTCAGTTCCAGGCCATACAGTACAGCCCGCACGACTGGCCTCAGCATTGGAGGCCTAGCAACCGCGTTCCCAAAGGGTCAATGCAGAGATGCCAACCAGTACGATTTTACGTATTTTAGTACGATTTTTGGCCGAAAATACGCGAATACGACTTTTCATGAAAAAATACGCATCCTGGAATGCGAAAACTACGAGATTCAGCTTGGGCGAGTAAACTTAATTATCTCAGGTCCCATCTTTTGTCAAAATAGTATCAGTATCGCAGAACTGGAATATTTGAAAGGGAGTGTATACAGACCCGGTAACCGGGAATAAAGTCGCAAAGTATACAGACCCGGTAGGGGAACTCTTTGTGATTTCGGAAAGTTTCAGTATTCAGTACCCTCTTGGCTCAGGGTAGAACTAGGTTCTTCTAGATCTATACAGACAGATATAAATCATTGATCTAGTTTCGAGGCTAGCCTAGATCTAGATAGATCTAAATCTAAATGAAGATTGTGGATGTCTTTTCGTTGAACGATGGTTTTTCACCCATTTTGGAGTTGGAGGAATCACAGTTTGAAGAAAAGGACATGTCATAATTTCAATCGAGCAGTCACCCTCTCTACTTCTCTCTCTCTCTCTCTCTTTCTCCCTCTCTCTCTCTGTGTATCGCTCGCATTCTCTTTTTCTTTGTTTGTCTCTGTCTTTCTTTCTCCCCACCTATTTCCCACTCCATCTTTCTCTCGTTCCCCCCTGCCCCTGCTCTCTTTCTCTCTCCTCTCTCTCTCTCTCTCTCTTTCTCTCTCTCTAACACACACACACACACACACTACCGGGTCTGGGCGCTGAAATTTTCCGAAACCACAAAAGAGTTCCCCTACCGGGTCTGTATACTTCGTGACTTTGTTCCCGGTTACCGGGTCTGTATACACTTCGTATTTGAAAACCAAGTCCGATGTGGTCAGTAAGTTTTTTTGCCGGTCGCGATCGTGATATTATATTTATTTGTTCATCTTTTCCCCGTCTGGAGAGTACGTTTCACTTTCACGCGAAATGGCGGCAGGCGGAAGCGTATGCGACACCGAGGCTCGATCGGGAAAATCAAGATCAACTTTCGCTTTCGTTACCACCGAGAAGTTGTCTGATAACGCAACATTTGTGGCATGCAGATTGTGCAGAAAAACGCAATGTCGCCGTTCAAATAAAATGTAATAAATACTCTGACTCGTCGCTGTGCTGTCACTTGTGGGAAAAAAAGAAAAGAAAAAACAAGCATCGTCCGATTTTTAGATTGTCTGGCTCGCCATCGTGACTGGTCACTGAACCTGCGCGCATTCTCGCCATAAATAAATGCGGCATCGTAGTGAGTAAACACCGTCTTTGGTGGGAGTAACGACGTTGCGAAGTATAGGACTACGGAATAGGGAAGGAGATTATTGATTTTTTGGGGGTTTAAGATACTATCGGGGGTTTAAGGCAACACCAGAGGACAAAAACTTGGAAGCACTTTTCAGAATTTTGATTAGAGCTTTCTGCAAAAGGCGCGTTGGTGCAGGCCGTGTGCGGAATCGGGACCCCTCATACTTTGCAAGTCTGTGTTATTGAAATAAAGTGTTCGCGTTTCATTGGATGGGTGATAGTAAATTATACCTACTTGGATTGGTGATAGTAAATTATACCTACAGAGTATGTTGTAGCTTTCTGTTCAAGACTGGCAGATTTTCAGTGTCACAGCATCTTACCCTACCACAGTTGTTACAATTCTCACAGTGCATGGGTCTACTTGAGCCATTCAAGTTATTGCTTTTCTCTGAGTTTGAGCAATAATTTGAGTCTGTCAGTTCATAATATGAATCAAGACACCCAGACTGGTTCTTGATAGTCGAAATTCTTGTTCTAGGCCCTTCCGAACTCTCAAAGCAGGATTTATTTTTTATATAATAATGAGAGGAAAATATTATATAATAGACTGAAATACGTAAGTCGAACAAGACCCCAGTACAACATTGACCACTGACATGTTGTTGACTGGATACATGTATATTGTACGCGTGTGTGCTCCCTTTTTCAAGCTGGTGAGCTAGTAATTTTTTTGCTGGACACCCTGAACATTTTACTATATCTGATTGGTCGACCATCAATGATTTATTTATAGAGGCACCAGCCATCCATGTCCAGGTGCTGGTTTAGCCTACTGGTTAGTCGGTCGGTCGTGGGGAATACACATTTTCACCTGAAAATACACATTTTCATATTTCCCAATACTCATTTCGGTTTTCTGTGGTTGGCATCTCTGTCAGTGGGAAAAGCGGCGATAGACTAGTGCGTTGGTGCTGGTGATTGAGCAATTTCGCACTACTCACTTGCAGGGCTTGAATTAGGTGTCAGGCAAAAATTGCCTAGGTATGGCCTAAAAATCAGAGGGCATCGAGGCAATTTGCTAGGGCACCAAGGCAAAATTCACAGGGGGATCCTTTTGTTGATTTAATGTTGGTAATACTGGGTCATGCATCACAGCGTTTAACAATACAATTTATTCTTACTCTCTACAAAAGTATAAAGTTATTGGAACATTATAAAATTTGTAAAATTATGAATGAAAAGTTTAAGTAGAATCTAAATCAGTCACCGTAAAATCACATCAAAACAAAAGCACTAAAAGTCACAGTTTTAAATCAGACGATCACGATTGCATTTGACATAAATGCCTTTATGACTACCCCTCATTGTTTGGATTAAAATTCATAATGTGTATGACTGTTGGAAATAGGGCACAATAGAAAACAGTGAATGATTTTTGACCAATTAGGTAAGACATTGATCATTAATGAGATTCAAACAGAGTGGTTTTCAGGCGGTGTAGTGATAAAATAAAAACAAATTTTGAACTTGCATGTAAGAAAATGAGGAGTGAAAACAACTTATGAGTTTGTATGGAAAAAAAAGAATGAATAACTTAAAACAGTTGTTAAACAGTTATGAGGTTATGACTATGATAAGTGAAAACAAGTTTTGAAAATATGTCTTAAAGTGTGTTGTATAAAAAAGACCTAAACAATCAGCATGTCATATGACTTAATGACTGGATCAGAATATTGAAAATATGTTTGGCACACACAATAAAGAAAAAGACTGGCATACTGAGGTTTGGTTATCATTGGTGTGAGTGTGTTTGCACTAGCCTTGACAAAATTGACACAATTGTCAAGCTGAGCAGTGTCTGAAGTTTTGATGAGATTTCAGACAACTCTGACAGGATGTCTTAATTCCCCCCCTCCTCACGTGTATCTTAAAAATAAAAAAAATCCAATAATTTCCCCCTATTCCGGAGTCCCGCACTTCGCGGCGTTCAGACTTTGAATGAACTTTGGTGACCCCAACAACCGGTGCTCACACGATGCCGTATCTTGTGATGTAGGTTCAATGACTGGTCACGATGGCCAACCCGACAAGACGCTTTAACATTGTATAACTTTCTTTTCTTTTTTTTTCCACAAGTGACAGCACAGGACAAATTATATTGATTTATTTTCATGGCGTCACATTAAAAAAAATTAAAAACAAGGGCACAGCAAAAATTGCTGCGGTTGACTGCAAAGGCACCAAGGAAAATTGCCACGGTCTATTTCAAGCCCTGCACTTGACTGGCCTACAACGAACCTTACTTAAATGCAGTGCATTTTTGTTGTTGCAGCTTTTTTGTGAGAGTTTATTGTCTCTTATAACTAAATAAAGTTATTAATACTGATGCTCAACCCAGGGGAGAACCGGATGACTAGATAGATATAGATAGGCTTATTTTTACCAACAACCTCCAAAATTCGAATAATTGTACGAATAAGTGTCTGGTTATTAGTACAATTGTAAATTGTACTTATACATATTCTTTTTTACCGCTGCTGGTTTACGATTTCCTTCATGATCCTTTTTTTTTCATCATCAGTGCAGTTTTTGTCTTTAATTTGTTATGACTAGATGTAAATCAAGATTTTTTCATTCAGACTTTGTGGACTTTTTATTGCACACCAAACTTTTCAAATATTGAAACATGAATTTTTGTTGGTGTTGTTTTCACTGCAAAGGAGTTTTTTGTTGTTGTTGTTTTTTTTAGTTCATTTTGAAAGGACGGAATGAAGGCTTCTTGCATTTAGTTGATTTTTTAGTCATTTCCTTTCCAAATGTGCAAAGTGACTGCTTAGTTTTTTTTAAGACTATTTTGAAAAGTGAGGATGGGTCTAACACTGAGCAGGGGAGGAATTCCATTGGTCCATTACGAGCGACCACTTTGAAACAAAGTAGAATAAAGAGTTAGGGTTAGGTCTTTTCTTTATTATTGAGTTTGTTTGGGTGGTCGCTCGCTGCGGAAGTCCTTCCCTATGCAGTTGGAAAAAGGTCATTGGTTAATCGAAGGACAGTTTCTTCAGTTTTGAGGGAGGTTGATTCACTGGTTATCATTTTTTACTGCCTTGTCTTTGGTTTTATTTACTTTAAATGCCTTGTAATAGATGGTAATTGGTGAGTCTGTAAATTAAGAAAACTCCATGTCTGAAAACCCAAGAGTCAATTTCATTGTCCAAGTACTAGTACATCTCTGAGTGTCTCTCTATTTTGAAAGGTTCAAAATGTTTCCCCTGATATAACAGGGTAAAGATTATCTAGCTTCCAACATTATTGCGCTGATCACAGATAACATCGGATGTATGAGAAGTAAAAGTTTATATTTTGGGAGTTTAAAACATACTCATGATCCCGAGCCCCCTCTTTATTCTTCAAAATCTATTTATACCGAGTGCATAAGAGATACAAGTAGGGGGTTGTGGCCTAGAGGTTAAGGTGTTGGCCTCTCATTCAAAGGTCCCGGGTTCGTTTCCGGGTAGGGACTGAAACATTTTCTTCTCTAAAATTGTCTCCTTTCACCTCCTTTCCTGCTCTCTAGCAATGTTCTGTTGTCTGCTTTCATTTCCACTTTCTGCCCCCACCCCCTCACCTCCTTTGCCCCCTCCTCTGGGCTCCTGACTCTTTCTGCAGCCTTTCTACTGCCGCTCCTTGGCTCCTCCTTACTGCTGTCGGCTCCTCCTTACTGCTGTCTTTCTGCCACACCCCTGATCTTCTGGTAGGAAAGATCTACACCTAGCCTTCTCGGACAAGGGCAAAAAATCTTGGAGGGCCCGTGAGCAAGTTGCGCATGTTAAAGATCCTTTGGTGGTCTAAAATCGATAAGAGTAGGCTTCGGCCGCCACCCTGGCAAAATTCAAAATTTACTACCAACTGAAAATATTACGTGTGTCCCGCGCGCTCATATGACTGTATGCAGTTGCGAGCGCTGTAAAACACTTTACAAAAACAAACAAACAAGAGATACAAGTCAGCCCCTGAGGCGGTGCTACTGACTGAAGTGTCTTTAGGCCATTCCCAAAGGAGGGGGGGAAACATTAACATGTTCTTATGCTCAGTAGAATGGACTGGCTCATTAATGTCATGCTCATTACTGTGCCTGAACTGCAACAGGGAACTGCTGCTTTTTCTTTCCTAATCAGTACTATCATCATTTTCCCTCTACTTCTTTTGTATGTTTGTCACTCTTTTGAACCGCTATTTCCGGGGTGCCTTGATATTCAAAGCAGACTTTGCACTGTTGAAGCTAGAGAGGTGAGCAGAGTAAGCCTTTGGCGCTCATATGACCTTATGCAGTTGCGAGCGCCGTAAAACCTCTACTAAAACTAAAGCTGAGAGATACAAGTACACAGTGTTGTTGGAATGCTTCTTTTAGTTTTGGATTAGTCTTTAAGGTTTGTTTTCTTTATACTACAGGTGACCGGCAAAAATGCAAAAAGGAGACGCAGAGGACTCTACTAAGCGGTCACCAGCTGCTGGTAGTGTAAGCCAGCCCCAGCAAGCAGTAACTGTCACACCAGCTGTACTTGCATCAGGTCGTATTCAAGCTCTGACGGGTCTAGGTGGACAGCAGACTGCTATTGGTAACTTTTTTGTTTGACTAAAAGGTTAAGGGTTGTAGTTCATGAAGTTCATGAGAGAAACTTTTTTAACAGATGTTTGCAGAATATATAGCAATTGATTTCCATTTTCATTTCATCCCAGTACTTCAAAGTCAAATACCTATCTGGGCGTGATTATCACATGTATTTAATGTAAAATGAAGTATGGAAATTGTATCAACTTTTATCTGATTTGAATATATGCAAGGTTTACTTTGTCACGGTAATTGAATGTCAAACCTGCTTTTCTAAAGTTTGGGTAGGACTATGCAAAGGTGTGTAATGACTCAGTCATTGTACTATGCAGTCTCTTAACTCTTTGCGCCTGGAATTTTTTTCCACTGACCCTCCCAAAACTCCGGAATTTTTCGGGAGTCGCCTATTACAATGTGGTACCTTGTTCAAATTGATTCTGTTGCGATATTTTTTCAATAAAAGTATATCTTTGATACTACTGGAAAGGTAATTGAATAAGTTATCACAATAGATGGGTTGCATGGTTCTTTGTGTTATTAGTAACAATAGTTACGCAATAAAAGGGGATAATAATGTCTGAAAAAAATAATGAAATTGGCTAGTTTGACGAGTTTTATCCAGTTTGCTGTCACCATTACCCATGAAATACAGACTGATGCTCAACAAATGTTTATATGTACGTATGTAAATGATCTTTGTAGTAAAACCACACACGTAGGTATTCCAGCACAGATCTTGTTAAATAATGTGGAGTAATTGAAATACACGGAATGCTAGCAAGCAACAACATACCAGTCTCCACTGATAGTAGACCTAGACCTGCAATCAGCTCCTAATTCTATCTTTATAATAAATCTAGGACTAGCTGTTGTACCAGCTTACACACATTGCTTGTACTGGATCTAGACAAAGTGTGGTCTGTTTCATCTCCATTGTCAGTATCATCACTGCTATTCTAACCAGTTGGAAGTAACTACTGAAGTCTTAAGTCAGTGTCGCTGACAATGTGATCATCATGAAAAAGCTTCTGTCAGTCATGTTGACCAGCGAAAAGCTTTATGAGGCTTTTTTTTCTTTTTTCGTGAACTGTTTCCCCAGGCCATTGGTGCCGTTGTAATCAATCGGGTTTGGTTTATTTCGATAGACACTTGAGACTTTAAAAAACCATGCAAAATCCTCTTTAAAAAGCTGGCTAATAACGAAACTTACAGTGAAACTTCTGGTCTTGACACAAGTACATTCGGACGGCTACGGCTGAGTTGTCGCTCTGGGTGCAACGAGTTAAATAGACCTGGTAGTTAAAAGAGTTTAGTTGTTTTGTTTTTTTATTTTTTATGAATCTCTGCACAACACATTGTGCCTGAATACCCAATTGCTGTCATTAAATTACCTGTTCTTTTTTTTTTTTTTTTTTTTTTTAATAAATAAAAAAAAAAAAAGGTAATTAGCAGAGAATTTAAATGAATGTCAATATGTAGCTTTTCATTTTCCTGACTTTGTACTTATACAGGTGTTCTGCCCGCAGTAAGTGGAGTGAATCTACCAACTGTGAGTTTCACTCTTCCCAGAACCATTTCAGCAGCACAGTCTTCTGCCCAAACCTTGCATCTGCCAGCATCTTCTTTGTCTAACAGTCGTCTTGTTTCTCCTCAAACTATCAACATAATTCAAAGACAACTTTCTTCAGGTAGGTGGTAGCTATTTGTAGTGTGAGCAAGGTGTTAATTTTTGTTGAATTGGTAAAACAAATTTTGATTGTGTTAGACCTGCATGTTTGCCGACAATCGTCTGAAATCTGACAGTCGCGACCCAGCCCGCGAGCTGGCCGATGCTTTCGCTAGACCCACCTGTATTCGCCAATGTGCTAAGTGTGAGACCTGGCGACTGCCGGTGCCCCCTTTTTCACCCATTGGCTTTGCACTTTCATTTTCGTGCCGACGTAGGCGTTTCTGACATATTTGTCGGAACCTGAGTAGAAATACAAATACGAAAAAGGACAATGACCTAAATGATCTAAAGTCAAACCTGTGTGGGACGGCCACCCATTGTCAAGGGGAAAAGTGACCGTATAAGACAGGTGGCCGTCTTAAGCAGGACTGATCAAGATGAAGAAAACAAACCATTCTCATCTGAGTTCCCAATCGAAAGTAGCCACGTTGTTGCTGTTGTTGTTGTTGGTTTGTACTTTGTTTGTAATTTTTATTTTGTTGCTGATTTTGCGCAAGGGTGGCAATAAAACGAAATGCATCAGACAAGGAAGACCGAGTGCCATGTTAAAACAAACACATGGGTCGCCACCACTCGGAGAACGAGGGAAGCTTCTGTCACAAGTTCATGTTGACTTCCTTTGTTAATTGTTACAGACTGGGTAAACAAAACAGAGACCACTCATCTCACTTACGATTTGCTTATGAGTTCTGGGCGGGGCTTATGGGTTATGAGGGATCACACGCTTACCTCACCGGCAGCTGAAAATTGGTACCTATTGGTCAACAGTACAGTGGGAGGGGCCCACGCAACATGATCGGTTGGAGGGGCTTTCTAACAACGACAGGTGATTGAATTATGACGGCTCGCCCACAACGCTAGGGGCCAACGCACAATTTATGACAAAACGTAATGGAGTCACTAATTAGGTGGCCGTCTAAGACAGGTGTTGTTGCTTAGTGTGATAGGTGTTGTGTGTTAGAATATGGTGCCCGCGGCCGCGTTGGACAAGTGCCTGTTTTACACAGTTCAATTATGTAGAAAAAACGCAAGGGGGGGAGATGGAAAGTGGCCGTTTTTACAGGTGGCCGTCAGCGCAGGTTCGACTGTGCTTTCAGTTTCGTGCTCGAGTGGCCATTTTGAATTTCATTGTCAAGTCCGACTAGATTAGATCTAGATTTATACTAGGTGAGTCAAAAAGTAATGCAAGTTTGTTTATAAATTAAAGAAAAAAGAACACACTTGCAACTATGATACCTCATATTGGAGGTGAGCATCTGAGGATCTACTAGAGCCATTGAGTTTGAGCAATAATTTTTGCCTTTTATGTTCATAATATTATGAGTCATGACACCCAGATTGGTTCTTGGCAGTCTGAATTCTTGTTCAAGGCCCTTCTGAACGCTCAAAGCCGGATTAATTTTTTAATATATCATAATGTAGCAATGCCAATCGCCCGCTGCGCTTTGGGCCGGAAATCGGCCTCCCTGTGAGGGGTAATTTTTGGGCCGCTCGGAATCAGAAGTGATTCTCTTCTAAGTATAGTTACGGAAAATCTCCTGAACGAAAATAAATGAATTATGGAATTATCATACAGTTATATGGAGTTGTTGTTACAACGTTCACTTATGATGATTGATATATATATATACTATAATACGGATAGGTTGAACACAGAAGACTTGAAATCAGGCTCCCGTTGAACTGTGCCTGCGGCCCGTTTTTTTTTTTTCTTTTCCCCCTTATCTTTTTAAGATATCCCTCGAACTACCGAGGCCGGTCCCAACGAATTCGAGCTATCGGTGTATACTGTATGTTGGGAAATATTACATTCCCTGCTACCAACATAGTTTAAGGTAGTTTATGTGGTGACTGGGAGTTCTAGCTGGAGATCATTGCATTAAACAGGGTTCCTGCGACCTCCTTGAAAACTTCTTGAATTTGAGGAACCTTGAATTTCGTCGGATCGGACATGAACAAAATTTTTGTTGGGTTGCGAAAATAGCATGATTTTCTTAACCAAATCTCCTTGAAATAAAAGAATTTTTACTTGAAATCTCCTTTAGGTGGGGTGTTCATGGCAGGAACCGTAATAGAATTTATGGACTTCTGTGTGTGAAAAGAATTTCAATGGTTAAGTGGGGATGTTTTAGTTCTGAAAAGAAAACTTTTGTTTCTTAACATTTAGTGATTGTTCTGGTTTAAAGAATTTCAATGATAGACTAGGGTGAAGGAATGAACATGATAAATAAGATATCACGCATTTACTTTTATATTGCAGGTGTCGTAGGTTTGTCCACTGTCTCTGCTCAAGGCTTGCAACAAGTTCTTCAGGCCTCTGGCTCCCCTCTCACATTTGTTACTGCAACAAGCCCCGAAGCTGCAGCTGCCATTGAGGAGCAGCAGCGGAAAGTGCGACTGCTTCAACAGCAGCGGTTAAAGCAACTGCAGCATGCTGGTAGTGCGTCAAGCAGCAGCGGTGGCACCATCCATCACTTGGCCCAATCTGGCTCAACCAACCCTGTCTCCAACCCCAACCAGCTCAACAGCATATCACTGATAGCTACAAACATGAGTGGGACACCTCACAACACCTTGCTGTCAGCAGGGCTCAAACGCTCCCTGACTGCTCCCGCAGCAGTGTCAACGGGTACCCCCTCATCAGCTTCGGCTAACGTGGCCTCCATGTCTCTCATTTCAAAACTTGTGCCCCAACAGAACGTGACTGTGGTCACTGCTGCTAGTGGTGTGCGGGGTGCCGGGTCCTCCTCAGCAGGTGGGCCTTCACCAAAGAAGATCAAGTTAGAGGAAAAGCCGGCTCCGAACAAAGAAATAGAGAACCTACGAAAATCTGTGATCAGTCACAAGAGACAAAAGATGAAGATGGTTAAGTCCAGATATAGAGGACATCTTACTGAACTGTTTTATTTGCAGGGTGGGGGGAACATGATTGAATTCAACACGTGGAAAAAAAGACCGTCTCAGCCACTTTTGAATTTTTTGGAAGGAAGTAAACTGGATAGTGATGATGATGATGAGGAGCTTCAAGAGAAGCGGATCAATGATGAGGTATGTCTAAGGTTGTTTTTTTTGGGGGGGGGGGGGTTGTTTGAAACCAAAATTTCCTACCTAAGACTTAGATTTGTGGGTCTGTAAAAGATAATTTCAGTCTTGGTTATTTATTTTTAGGACATGGAAGAAGAATGAATTTAGTCGTTGTTATAGTGAAAGCAGGTTTTTTTGTAGTGTCTTTTGTACCATTCGTCAAATATGGGAGGGGAGGCTAACGGTAGCTCTGGTTACTTAATATTTGTTTTGATTTTTTAGCCCTTTTGTTTCTCCTGTCTGATTTCCTGAGTCTACGTACTTATACAACTTTTTGACACAGTTTTAGCTGTGACCGTTTATGATGTATTGTTTTCAGAGGAAATGCAAAATAAACTGTTATAGCTTTCCATAAGTGCTGGAGAATCATTGAATGTCTGTTCACCCTCTCAAATAAATGCTAAGGTTCACCCTCTCAAATAAATGCTAAGCATTGATCAAATTATATGAAAAATGTCTTTTTTTGTGTAAAGTGAGCTTGCTTTGGTATTGTTGGCTCTCAATATTGATAAAATTGGTGTCAAATTTTTCTGTATGCCTCGTGTGAATACACCAGGTGGAAGTTAATTATTTTTCTGTCATTTCTTTCTTTACAGGTCAAAGTGTTGACCAGTGCTGGCAGTAACATCCCTCTGGCCACACCAGTGGCTATTTCCACCACTCTCCCCCCATCTGTCACAGCCCTAAGTCAACAAGGTAGTAGCGAGTCCGTAGCCTCTTTCCCATCATTCACCAACTACAACACTAACCCCAATACAACACTGGGCTCTCACGCTTCTGGGATAGACGACTTTCTCAGACAGCTCACTGCCTACGTCAAGGGTATCGAGGGTCTTTTTTCTGTGTAATTTTCTTGCCCTGCTGACTGTGAACTGTCATTAGTATCTTTTTTTTTCTTTCATTTTTATTTTGCATTGGTTTGCTTTAACCAGTTGTTGTAACAATAGTTTTCTAGCTCTGTGGCTACCCTTTAGGACATTTGCTGGCAGAGGATCTTCCAGCTTTCCACTTGTGTGTTCTTTGTTTTGCATGGATCTATTCATAATGCTGCCGCTCGAGGATAACCATGTTCTCTCTCTGACTTTATTTAAAGAGTTGGGTAATTGATCTGAGTTGAGTTGTAGTTTGGTTCTTATGCTGTTCAGCTTTCGTGGCAGTATGTGTTGGGGCTGTGACCTGCTTCTGGTGCTGCCCTTTTGTTTGTGTTAGAGTTGTGTTTTCTCTGTTGCGGCACCATTGCGCCTTGTGTTGCTTCACTTTTGCTTTCTTGTCAAATTGAAGCTGCAATTACCAAGGTGTACTGCCATATATTTTGTGGTCTAATCAGTTGTCTTGGTTTAGCATGCATGTCGGCTTACTTGCCGAGGATGGACTCTTGTGAGCACACCTAAAACATGCACTTTTCTGCTTTATAGTCTCCATTTTTTTGTCTCCATTCAATGTTCGCTTTCGAAAATTTAAAAAGCTGAAAGTTAATACAAGGGGTAAAAATCATACCGTTTTCAAAATTGCTTGTCTGCTGTAATGTTGGACCTTTTACTGGTTTATTGCTGCACAAAGTATATTATAAAACACTGGCAAGTGTTGTGCTTTTTGTTCACCCTTGTAACTGTTCATCATTGATTGTTTTGCAGTTTGTTCAATATGTCAAGCAATAAGCAATTCAATTTGTATTATGGTAGTCAAAAGGCTATATTTGGTTTCAGGCCTTGTTCTTCACGCGCATCCATGTTTATTCCACTGTTGTGCTTATAGGTACTGAAAAGAACGTCGTGGTTGGTGGCAAGCATGTCACTGTGTTGCCATCTTGCTCTTCATCTGCTCGCCCCATCTCACACCTCTCAGGTATCTTGCTGTTGGTGTGCAGCTTTTGAAGGCGTTTATGATTGTTCTGCCTAGTCGTGTTCATTGGTTTGATGTAGAGAAGCTTCCTTTGTTTTCTTGACACATTAGGATATATTTGTTTCTTTTTTCTTTCTGGGTTTGTTTTGTTTATATTTTTAAAGATGATGCGATTTTAAATTTTTTTTTTAAATGTAGGAGCTTATAATAATGGTGTTTTTTATTTGGTGAATTATGTGGAATGGCATTTTTGCAAATATTTGTCTTGTCTGCTTTTCAGTGGTATTGCCAGTGTTTGATGTTAAATGATACGTAGTAAGATGTCAGACAAATGCATGGCTGTGTGATACATGTGCTTTTTAGATTGCAACTTGTTTACAGTTAAAAGACCACTGCTGTGTCATAGTTGCAATGATAAAAGACATTTTGAACGGATAACACTATGGGTTCATGGCAAACGCATATATTCACAAATTTACCTCCACTGCTCAAGTGTTAATGATCTGAAGTATACTCACTTAAACAAGTTGACATGTGTAAACCCAGTACATCTGTATTATATCTAAATGTGCACTTGATCAGCAGTTTGGAACAAGTAATGGTCTCGAAGTTGGTACTTGTGATCATATCTTTACCTGTATGAGTAGTTTGTAATACCACCTTCTTTGTGTATTGCCAGCTATGAATTCATCAACCACAACCACTGCCAGCCTGACAACAACACCTCTGACCACAGCCACAACATCGGAGTTGCAACAGCACTTATCAGGCAAAAGTACAGATATCAAGCCCAACTTACATGCTTTGAAGAGTGGAACTGCTTTCAGGTTAGTTTTTGCTTTTTTTTTTTTTTTTAACGCTGTGTCGTTCTCTGTAGGTAGTTATTGGGATTATATAATGACAAAATACTGCACGTCTATAGTGTGATCTTTTGAGTATGCATGCATGCTTCATATCAATACTCATGTTTCCCATTGCATTGCTTTTGAATACTGTGAGGAAGAGAGAAGAAATGCTGATTTAATTGATTTTTGTTTATGGGGTCTTCAGGTGTATGCAAGGAAAAATGAAGTTACTTTTGCTTACCATATTGTTGATTATTGTACTTCTTTATTGTTTTATGTAAAATTATGTGGACAGGATTAACGTGTCTTTAAATTGGCTATATGTAAACACTGTACGTTCGAAATTAATGTCTACAAGAAAAACTGAGTGTCAAGTGTGCCACAAAATTGATATAGATCTAATACATCTTTTGTTTTAGTAGTGTTTTGTAATTTTTGCTTGATAAACTTTCACTGAATTATGGTTTGGTGCAAGAGGGTTTGCTAGTGATCTTTTTGTAAAAATAAAACTAGACGAATAAGAGCAAAATAAGCTCTTCAGTACGGTATTAATGTAGGAAGTAATCGAGAATTTTATGTAATGAAATGTGATTGAAAGAGTTAGGTTTGAAGCTGTTTGCGAAATGTTATATCAGTCACGGCCATCAACATCAAGTATAAGGACTTGGGTGTGGGGTCACAGTATGGTCAGGAACTCAGGGTTCAAAGACTTGATGTTTAATTAGGTCACCTCCTATGATATTCTTTTATCATTGTTCTTAATTAATTCTATGCCTCATTTTCTGGATGAAATAGGTGGGTTGCCCTTATAAGTGCCAATTTTTTTTTGCATGACAGATCATGTGCACAGCTTTCAAATTATACTTGGGAATTAACAATATTTGCTTGGTGGCTGATACCGAGATGCATTCGTTCATGTTGAATGATGTCTTAAACTGCAGCCACACATCAACCATTAGTATTAGGTGCATCATGAGCATGTCTACCGCATGACCAATATCTAATGTTGATTACATCTATGCATATATGGCTTTTGGGACTTTATATATTTTTATACAGGAACTATAACTGTAATGAGACCTTCCACTCTTCCCGATTTAGTCGGGATATCCCGATTTTTTTTCACTTGTGACAATTTAGCTGGAAAGTAACTGATTGGGTAATGTTTATTTCATATTATCCTCACTGTATCTCAGACCAGTCTTTTTCTTTTGATAAAAACTGTTACGTTAAAGGCAAGGTCAGGCAAATTTCAGAGAAATCTTTTATTGGAAAATGCTGGAATAGTCGAAATTGTGAATAGGATCAGCGTGCCAGTTAAACGTTCTTTTATCAAGAAGGAAAGGATTCAGTTTTAAATTAAGATTATTTGCTGCTTCCTGCAATTTGTTTGTCCTATTAGATTTGATTTGTAAAAAGTCCATTGTTTTGGGGCGAAGTTTTTGGTCAAGGGATAGTGTGGCTTGTGTTCGGCAAATGAACACACATTAGGACTCAATTCACTTGCATGTTGGCTAATACTGAGATCCTTTCGTTTATATGCTGAATGACTTCTTATACTGCAGCCACACATTAACCATCAGCATTAGGTGCCTCTTGAGCTGCATGCTTCAAGTCTGAGGTTGATAACATTATGTTTGCGATTTGTGGCCTAGACCATTTTTTAATGTGGGAAAAGAAAAGACTTTTAATTTGTTTGTTTGGATTGGTCTTTTCAGTCAACAAATCCCATCCAAAGGCATCAAATCAACAAATGTGTCCCCTGGAAGAGGAAGGCATTCCATTTCTTCTGTCTATGAAAATGTGACAGGCGGCTCTCAGGATGTCATTGTGGAGAGAGCAAAGCAGGTCAGTAATTTTTGTTTTTGTTTTCCTATATTGTGTCCGAGATGCGATTTTCCAACAGAAACCAGTATTAGTATATTGGAGATAGTTTCCTTGTAGTACTTAAGTGCTGGCATTTTAAAAAAGTGTTAATTGTCATGTTTAAATTCTATTTTCTACTAAACTTCAGTAGGAACTTTAATTTTTGTTATGTTGATGAAGTGTTATTGCTTATTTGTGTGTGCATGCCGGTACATGCCATGACTCATTCTAAAGGTAATCCTGATAATTACTTTTAATTACACATTGGCAACAGAGAACTGATCTACTTTTCATAGCAGGAGGATTACATTCCTTTTTTGCTTCGAAGTGATCAGACAATTGTCCAAGGAGCATTGTGGACTTTTGTACTCAATGGTTATGATTGAAAGTAGGGAACTTACTCAAGGAGTTTCATTAAAATATTCCAAGAATATTAGCGGATGTATCGGGGAAATTCTGTTGACTATCTAATTTTAACATGAAATAAGTAATTTTGGATTGTTATAGGCTGGGTCTGAATGAACATTTAAACTGTGGTTGAACACACGTTAAGGTTCAATTTATTTGGTCGCTTTTAAGCACAAGGGGGCTATCCCGAAAAAATTCTGTTTTGTGAAAATGGAAGGTAAAGTTTTTGGACTTTTCTTAAGTTTCTTTAAAAGACAAGGAGAGTTTTCTCTATAACCAAACAAATATACACACCAATGAAACCAAACTTCTCCTGTAGATGCCCACTTTTGGTGTAGGTCAAGATTTCTGGAAACCCCCGAAATCTGGGTCAGCTTGCTTGTCCTTAAAAGCGACCATTTGTATGTTGGCTGATACCGAGATCCATTCGCTTATATGTTGAATGACTTTCTAAACTGAAACCACTCTTAATGTATCTAATGTTGATGGTTAATGTGAGGCTGCAGTTTAAGAAGTCATTCAATATATATAAGCGAGTGAATCTCTGTATTTCCTATTGAACTTAAGTCGTTAAGTATGAACTTTTATTTTTGTTAAATTGATGAGGCGATACTGCTTGACAGAGTGAGCCCGCAGGTTTGTAAACATGCCAAGACTCATTCTGAAGGTAATCCTGATAATTACCTTTAATTACACATTGGCTACAGAGAACTGATCTGCTTTTGATAGTTGCAGGATTACATTCCTTTTTCGCTTCGAAGTGATCAGACAATTGTGTGTGTGCCTAAAGAAAGGCACCAACAGTAGGATTTTGACCATTTTGAGTTGAGGGTTGTACCTTATAGGAAGTTCAATGCTGTGTTTTATTTTTGTTAAATCGATAAAGCGTTATTGCTTGATTGAGTGTGCCTGCAGGTATATAAACATGCCATGACTCATTCTAAAGGGAATTCTGATAATTACCTTTAATTACACATTGGCTACAGAGAACTGATCTGCTTTTGATAGCAAGAGGATTACATTCCTTTTTTGCTTCGAAGTGATCAGACAATTGTCTGAACTCTAGGAGCACTCTTGTGGACTTATGTGCTCAGTGGTTTTGATGGTGGTGGTGATGGGGGGAGGCTTACTCCAGAAGTTAATTAAAACATTCCAAGAATATTAGGGGATGTTTCGAGGAAATTCTGTTGTTGACTATCTAATTTTGAAATAGGTGATTTTTGGGTTCTATTATAGACTGAATTTTGGCTTCCTGTCCCTTTTGTTCTTTTTCATTCTGAGCAGATCACGTTTTGAGCCCTGGGTCTGTTGTTTCTATGAAACATTTTTTTATTACTTAAGTTGTCATGTATTGGCACATTTTCTTTGCAGGAAGCTCAGGTGCTTCAGAGAGTGACTGAGTTAAGGAAAGAGGGCCTTTGGTCTGCCAAGCGTTTGCCACGTGTGCAGGAGCCACCACGACAAAAAGCCCACTGGGATTATCTGTTGGAGGAAATGACGTGGTTAGCTGCTGATTTCATCCAGGAGCGCAAGTGGAAGAAAGCTGCTGCAAAAAAAGTATGTGTATTCTATTGAATCAGTCTTGCAGTGCTCGTACATTTTGCGTCCCTTTTTATTCTTTTCATCCATTAGCATGTTAAGTACATTACATACTATTTATATTGCTGTTTGATTTTTATTTTCCTATCTTTGTTGTGTTTTAAATTTTTTGACCCCGCGGACTGAAGTGTCTTTAGGCCATTCCCAAAGGGGGGATATTTCTCGTTCTAATTCACAGTAGAATTGTAAATGGGCTGTCATGCTCATAACTGTGGTGTTCCGAGGTTGTGACATGCGACATTCAGGCGTGAAAATTTGGGTATACGCTGGGAAACTGTATTGTGAAGGTACATATCTATTCATTATTCCCAGGTTTGCCTTCTATCAATGGTGCGATGACAAATTAATTGAATTATAGTAGCAATGGAAGGGGAACTTTTTTAACATTGCCGGCAATGGAAAGATATGTTTGTGAAGAAATCAAACAAGACGGTACCTTGGTGAAAAATAGGTAGTATGGGTTGTTGGCAATCTCTTCAAACAGGCTCCCAAATGCCATTTTCAACCCTCTAAAAGTACTCAATTTCAATTTCTTCGGGGGCTTCTCCCCCTGGACACCCACCACCCTGCTGGGGGCCCCAGACCCCCCCCGCAGAATTTTCCTTACTTTTCAGCTTCAGCTGGTGGAAGCACTGCTTATGCAGTTGCAAGCGCCGTAAAACCTCTACTAAAACTGAATAAAAACTAAAGTTAAATTTTTTTATTTTTCGGATGTGTTTTTCTTTTTTGTGTGTGTGTGTTTATATAGCGCAATGTAAATTAATTTGATGTTGTTCCTACCCTTTTAAAATTTATATTAAAGTGTTTTGTTAGAGCATGTCTCCACCATAACGGAATACTGTCACTGGCAGGCCCATTGTGTGTGATTCCATAGTACTTTTTCTTGAATTACACACGTTTAGGTTTAAAACGCCCAATCTTTGGATAGGTGAACATATGCCCTTATTGGTTAATTTTTGTGGTTGTATATGTGATGTTCTAATTTTGATTTCATTCTGTTGTGAAATCTCTATTTTTCACGTTTTTACACTCTGTATGGCTACAAATGATATTCTGGATGCTTAGAACAGGGCACAAGAAATTGTGGTGCTTTAGATTAAGTTACATTGTTGCTACATACTTCTTTACAGAGTTGAAAGCTTGAAATTTAATGACAACAAACGCAAATGCTAGACAGACTCAAGAAGCTGTCTTTGTCTTTTGAGTTCTATTTTCTATGACAACGTACACATTATTTTAAGATGTTTTTCACCTTTATTTTAAGTTTGACTTTTTATTACCCCCGAGGGCGGTGCTACTGACTGCAGTGTCTTTTGGCCATTCCCAAAGGGGGGACATTCCTTGTTCTTGCACAGTAGATTTGTAAATGGGCTGATTCATCATGTCACGCTCATAACTGTGCCTGATCTAAAACAGGGAACTGCTGCTTTTTCTCTCCTAATCCTTACTATTGTCATTTTCTTCTCTGTTGACACCCACTCCTTGGCGCTCATTTGACCTAATGCAGTTGCGGGCACTGTAAAACCCTCTACTAAAGTAAAACTGACTTTTTATTTCCAAATGAAATTAATGATCTCTCTCTCTTTAAAAAAAATCCAGACTAGCTTAGAGAACTGAACTAAGACATGTTTTTATGTTTATTGCTATGTGTGTTTTGTATTCTATATGTCAGATTGATAACTTATTCTTTGTATTTTTCTGTTTTAGCTGGCAAGAATGGTCTCAAATCACTTCAAAGAGCAAGAGCAAAAAGAACTTCGAGCAGAAAAAGAGGAGGGTATAAAGCTGAAGAAAATTGCTAGTCAGATGGCCAAAATGGTGAAAGAATTTTGGACAAATATTGAGAAGGTGAGAAACAGGTTCTTTTCTTTTTTTTGTTGTTGTTTTCTGAATCATAAACATGTTTCTATAGCTTAGCTCTGGACCTGTGACTGAGCACCAGGCACCTTTTTCTGTCCATGAACCACTTTGTTAGCGGGCGAGTGTTTGAGCATGCTCCATGAAGATCAGGTGGCAGTCGTGCATGGAAATGTGCATTGTTTGTTATCAACACAAGGGTCACTGATGAGAATAAAGCATTCTTTCTTTACACCAGACTATAAGTTGTTAACAGTTCCTTTTCTTGAACATTTGCTGGTATTATAATAATAATAATAATAATTGCATTTATATAGCGCATATCCATGCTCAAGAGCATGCTCTATGCGCTTTACAACCATTGTTACCCCAGCAGACCCTCTGAGAACACTCAGAAACATTCTCGGCTTCCGCGGAAGCATACAGTGCAAGCTGCGGATTTCACGCGCTCAAACACTTTATCAAACTGACAAGATCGTTCACTGTCTATAGCCGGGTACCCATTTCCACGTGGGTGAAGTGAGAAAAATTTGTGCGAAGTGCCTTTCCCAAGGACGCAACATCGGGCCCCCATGGGATTCGAACCCACGACCTTACGGTTGCGAGTCCGAGAGCCTAACCACTAGGCGACCGATTTATACTACTAAATTACAATGAATTCCAGGTACACAACCATTCTAGAGATAGTATGAGTTAACGTTTCGGTTGAAAGATACGGTCGTGTTGTTTCACGGTTACTTTTGAGCTTGGTGTGTCTAAAGAAGTCATGCATAGTAATTTCAGCTGAATAAACATAAATAGCTTCATTGTTGACGCTGCTTACTTTGAAAATCTTGTAAAAAAAATTTTGTATGTACTCAAACACAAACAGACTTAAGCGCGCGCACATGTCCCACTTCCCTTGCGCAGATATAAGGGACCCAGGGCAAAGTGGTTGAGCAAGACTGTAATATCGATGCACAACTGTGGCTCCCATTGAAAAGCAAGGGTGCTTGAGCGTGCTTGTCAGAGATGAAATGTATGGGGACAAGTCAGATAGGGATTAACAGAATGACTGTCTGGGCATTTGATATCTTATAGGGTTTATGACTCGTTTTTATGTAAGGACGTGATGTTGTGTTAAATTTTGTCACTTTTTGGGATTTTTGCTCCTTTTTCAATTTCAGGTTGTACAGTACAAGCAAACAACTCGGCTGGAAGAAAAGAAGAAAAAGGCCTTGGATCTCCACCTCAGTTTCATTGTTGATCAGACAGAAAAATATTCTTCATGGTTAACAGCAGGTCTTCAGAATACTGATGGCAGTCACACGCCGTCTTTGGCGTCAGATGCAGAAAATACAGTGGACAATGGAGATGGTATACATATGTCATAGTGATTAATTTATAAGAGGCATAGCTGGTGAAAATAATCTTATGTTGTACCCCTGCTATTTATTTTTGGAAGGTTAACTTTAGTCAATTTGAATTTGGGAAGGGTTTCCTTGTATCGTGTATATACAGGGCTATCCGAAAAAAACTTAACAACTTTTTTTCTAAATGTCTCTCACAAAATTTGTACTAGAATGCTGTAATTTTGAATAGATATAGTTCATTCAAAAGGAATTTGTTTGACAAAAGCTTCACAAAGAAACTTATTTTTAAAAACGGAAATGGCTTTTATAAAAACCACCTAAAAGTGCAAAATGCACCAATTTAAAAGATCTTGAAAGGGAGTTCATGAAATGATTGGTTTGATCTTTTATTTTCCTTTTATTTTAAAAATCGAAATTTTCAATCCCTGTAACCTTTAAACAATATGTCTATTCTTCTACAGAGTTTAAAAATAATTTTTAAATTCTGGAATTCCAAGACTCCACATTTTAACGTGTTTGTAATGTTCAAAATGACCAAGCACAAGGATCCTTTCAACCATGAGTACTCAAAGCCACATATACTGTAAACCTTACAGTATGGAGCCGTTTCTACAGACAACAGGGGGAGGGGTGAGGTTGCCCAAATAGACAGCATTTGTGTTGATATAACCTGAAAGGTGAATATGTGCTTTGCCATGGAACCAAAATGTCAGGGAGGAAATGTCCACGCTTTTCAAGACGATCGAAGAATCATGAAAACACTGTTATCCTCTGATAGTCTCGCGAACGGGAAAATGGTACAGCCGTAGATGAAGATATGCCTTTAGAGTGCGGACAGTTGAGATGAAGGAATGTCATTGCTGCAAACATCGTCTACAGACATTATTTCTGTACCTTGTGCGATACTTACGAAACGAGTTGGTGTGGTGGTGAGGAAATGTTCAATACAAAAAGCTCTCTGCTCTATACTAATCTTAACCATGATCACAGCAAAGGAAACTTGAGAAAAACTATATGCAAACTTGTTGGCTTGTTAGACTACTGTAGTATGCAATATGGCTCAATCGTTGGGATTTTTAGTGGTAGGCCTTATGCGAACTAATGCGCCATGCTACAAAAATGGGGACATATCTGAAAATGGGTTGTTTTTTTACGCGCTGGGTAAAACAGGGCTATTTTGTGGATTTTTCAAATGAATATCATGCAACTTCCTTTAGACTTACTTCCAAATGTTATGTACAATTTTGAAGCGCAAAACTTCTGTGTGGAGGACAATATTAACAAAAAGAGTTTTTTTGGGATCACCCAATTATTCTGAGAACATAAATATGAAAGCTTTGCAAAAATATTATGCTGAAGTCCTTTCAAGTTTTAATAATGGTATGGATTTTGATGTTAGAGTCATGCTCTTCCATATTTGTTTTTACTGTTATGTGTGAACTTCGTGGAAGTTTGAATGATATAACTTTTGATATTAATTATGATGTATTCAGATGTATGCTCATATTTTATTGTCTAACTGAATGCATTTTAAAGTGCCACTTTATTCTCTTTTGGTACTTTCTTTTAGTCGAGTTTCACCCTGTTGGCACAGCCAGTGATGATGAGGAAACCATAGAGAGAGAGGAGATAGAATCAGGAATTGATGAGGTAAAGTTACCAGTGAAGCCCTTTCGACAAATTTAGAATGTTCCATGTTTTTGTACCTTGTATGCAAGTAAATATCATTTAGAGTATCAAGTTAGGGTGTATTTATTTTTTCATCATGCACATGTATTCAGATGAGGGAGTTCTGAGGATGTAGTATTGGTCTTTTGTTGTTGGGAGTACTGTTATGGAATATTTGAATGTTTATCTCTGATATGTTAAGCGAGTGTACTAGAATAGTTGCGTTTGATCCAAGAGACCACCGTGGGTGGTTCGCAAGTGCTCTGGTGTGGTTTGCTCCTTCTTTCCTATTGAACAACTCTCTTCTTTGTCTCCCATCCTTTTTTATGTTTGTTGCTCTCTTGTAACACCTCTAATCTTGGGCACTCGTATGACCTAACCGTTTGCAAGTGCCTTAAAACGCATACTAAAACGAAAGGGACCACTCGATGTTGATTGATTAATTTTCATTTTCAGGATGCTACAAAGAAGGAAGTTGAAGCACTACAAATGGAGAGTGAACTTCCTCTTGAAGAATTGCTAAAGACTTTGCCAAGAGAAATGCTGGATAAGCCTTCTGGGGAGCTGCCATCTTTTGGAGAAGAGGATAATGTTAGTGATTCATTGTCTTCCCAGGTAAATTAATAAATAAAATGAAGAATAATTTACTACTTTTATTATTCCTTGTTGGCAGGTACGATTAACACTAGCTTTCCCACTAATATAGACAATGTCGCACACCATTTCTGGTAGCTATTATGCGGTGCACAGTTTTAGGTCTAGGTTTTCATGTCTTGCTTGAAGATATACCTTAATGACCACTCATCGAAATATATTGCAGCCACATGCTTGTCATTATTGTGAGTCTCACTAAGCACTTGGCCATGAAATGATAGTTTCTGAACAGGCAGAGGAATATTATTTTTGTAACAAACTCATTTGTCAGTGTTATGCCATGCCGCATGACTGGGTTACATACTTGTCATTCATGTTTTATTCAGCAGTTCCAGATCTACTTATGTGGTTAATCTTAAGTTTGGTACATTCTTGTTGTGTTGGATGCATTCTTTACTTAAACTTTCAAATGAATTTGTGAAATACTTTTTTTTTTTTGTTGAATGCGTTTTTGCTTTACTGTTTGTGCTCCCATGTGTGTTATACATTTTCATTGAGGTTAAGTGTTGACATTTTGTTTCACTAAATAGGGGAAAGATGGAGACTTCAAAGCAGATGATGAAGTTGAAGAGGATGCTGAGGAAACCATTGAGGAACAAGAAAAGCATGAAAAAAAGGACTATTCAGAGGAGTTGGGCGATCTTAAAGCTGAAGGTAATTGCTACTTCTTTTTTCTATCTGTTATCAAGAAGTTTTGTGTTGTTTTTCATATTAGTCCTTAGCTGTTACGGTCAACTTGTTTTTTTTTTAGGGGTATTGTGTTATAAAAAATAATATATTTTACTAAATACAGTACTTCTTACTGTTTTGCTTTTGAATCAGGTGAAATGAGTGTGGAAGAGCTCATGAAAAAGTATGCAGGAGCATATGATAGTGACTTTGAAATGCCAGAGGAAAGCTCAGGAGAGGAAGACAGTGATGACGAGGATGATGAAGAATCATCAGGTATGTCTTTCTTTTGTATAACTCAAAATAGTTCAAAGGTTTTGAGCAATTTTACAGGTCAAGGAGGGTGGTTGTAGAACCTACAAATTCTTGTGAAAGTACACAAAAAGTGGGCATTGCTCTACCTGTAGGAGCAGCTCGGTTTCATTGGTGTGTGTATATTTGTTTGGTTATAGAGAAAACTCTCCTTGTGTCTTAAAGAAACTGAAGAATGGTCCAAAAACTTAACCTTCAGTTTTCTCAAAACATTTTTTGGGATATACCACTTGTGCTTAAGATCGACCAATTAATCCCTTCAATGCCGCAGGTAAATAGGCCCCTGTGCCGCAGGAAATCCCATGAACCAAGGCTGCTCAGGGTGACACCCCTCTTAACCTCCCATAACTTTTTTATTTATGAATATTTTTCATGAATTTCTGCATATACATTCTACATTTAACCACATTTCTTTTGATATACTTTTGTAGGGAATTGTAACATGATGCCCAAAACACCACCAAATAACATAAACAACACATTCGAGTAATGATAAACTGGGGCCAAAAAAGGGGAAATGCATGTTGTTTGAGTGTTTGCAGGTAAAGAGGAAGTGACGCTTTTCCTACCTTATACAACACTCGTACAATCCATATATATATACACACACACATGTAAGCCCATCTGGGTTTATGACATATGGCGAGCAAAGAGTGGTTAATCTTGATGGCCTATCACAGTGCATAGTGGCATGAAACATGCCATTTTCACTTATTATCCTATCGTGAGTCTCAAGATCAACGCTTATCCAGTTGCCCCTCCCCTTTACCTGTCGGAAATTTATAACTTTCCATTTCTGACCGAGGTCCGCTCCAGCCTTTGTCGTTACACACCATTACTTTGTGATTAAAATTCAGTCTGTCTTGCAAATTTGGGAGTAGAGACAACTGCTGCAATGGTCATTTCGATGTGATCCCGCCTGGAGCGAACATGTAGGCCCTACCCACCCAGCGTGTGATGTAAGTTTAGGTTGAGAGCTCAGGTGTGAGTGGGATGCGTGGGGAAAACAAACCTGTCTGTCAGTTCACACCCCGGTGCTATCTCGTCTGGGGCAAACATTGTATCGCTTCATCGATTTTTACGATTGTGATCACATTTACTATAGTGGCTGAGCTTTGACGCGACGGACGGTGGGGAGAAAGTTTCTAGTAAAGCTGATGTTTTTGCAAATCAAAGAATATTAAGTTGTACAGCTTTGAGCAATTGGAAGACCAATTGGTAGGGATAATAACTATATTATAGGCATTGTCTACTGGTTTAAATTCTAAAAGACTTGATTGCATGATTGACCTACTTTTGGTATTACTATAAATGGTAACATAGGAAGTGTAGGGCTTTTTTCTTTGAGTTATCTGGTAAGAAATCTCTGAGACCTAGAGTCACTACTGAATCTATCCACTGATACATTAGTGCTAAGCGTCTCAGACATTGAATCGTCAGTCCTATGCGCCAATTCATCTTAATAATAGATGGGTTGGTCACCTTTCGTACTGGCACATATTCATCTTATGCAAGTGAATTGTGAGGTGAAATTTGTCGTACCACAATTAAAGCTTTAGATCTAGCTGCATTGCAGTAAGGAAGTTGTCAGGGGACTGTACCCTAGCGTTGCTTAGATTTACTCGTGGACTTTGCAGTACTCCCGTGTTCCGCACTAGGGGACTGCAAAGAAACAACCTTTGAACTTTGTGTCGTGGTCAACAAGCCATCATCAACATTTACATCCCATAGTAGTAATTCTGGTTCTATGTTACGTCGACACCTTTTTGAGCGAAACTTTAAATATTTTTTTTCCCTGACATATGAAAAAACGGCTTGGGTTTGGGGTAAAAATATGAGAAAATTAGTAAAGGTAGCTGTTGGGGTTGGCAAGTCTGTGCTAGGCCTAAGTAGGTGGTCTTGTTGTTGTTGCTGCCGATCAGAGAATTATAATAGATGGCTAACCCTTTGACTGGTTGGTAATATTAGTCTTTCCAGTGTAATGTGTTTTAAACTGAACACTGAAGATTTGAAAATTGAGAATTTTGGCCTGAGTATATCATGTGTATCGGTATCGGTAAATGTATTCAAGGGTACTACTTAAAGTAGAATCCTGGATTCTTCAAATCAAAAAGTATTTTTCAAATCTTTGAAAACAGTATTGAAAAGGATTGATGTTATTTTTATAGACTAAAATCTAAAAATGTCATCTCGATTGGAATCAGCCTTTTCCTGTTCAGAGCGTTTTGTCATAAAACATTAGTAACAGTGAGAAAAAAGTCAATAATGCTTGGATTAGGGTGTGATGTGCTAAGAGGATGCACATTCAAGATTTATTACAACAAACATCTCAAACTGTCTTAACAGTCCCCCTGTGCGGAATGCTAGGGGACTGCACAGACGCCGAGTAGATCTAAGCAGCGCTAGTCCCCTTACAACTTCCTTGCATTAATTTGTGCTTCATTTATAATTGTGCTGGTTTTTGCACAGTCTGAAAATTGCTCAAAGCTTATATAACTGAACATTCTTTGATATTTTTTTTTTTAGGGGGGGGGGGATCAGCTTTCTAGTTTGAGCAATTTAAGACCAGTTAGTAGGGATGATAACTATATTAAAGACATTAAACCTACTGGTTATTGTTCCAAATGAATAAAAATTCTCACACTTATTTAGACTTAATAGCATGGTAGACCTACTTTTGGTATTACTATAAATGGAAACCTAGGAAGTAAACTTTTTTTGATGTGATAGTTTTCTGATAAGAAACCACTGAGACCTAGAGTCACTACTGAATCTATCCATTGATACATTAGTGCTAAGCGTCTCAAACATTGAATCGTCAGTCCTATGCGCCAATTCATCTTAATAATAGATGGGTTGGTCACCTTTCGTACTGGCACATAATCATCTTAAGCTAGTGAATTTCGAAGTGGAATTTGTCATACCACTAGTAATGCTTTAGATCTTGCAGCATTGCATTAATTAGTGCTTCATTAATAATTGTGCAGGTTTTAGCAGTCTGAAAATTGCTCAAACCTGGACTACTGAACATTCTTTGATTCACAAAAAAAAATCAGCTATACTGATTTGCACAAAAAACCCTTGCTAGAAAGCTTTTTTTTTTTTTTTTTGCAAATCAAAGAATGTTCTGCTGTACAGGTTTGAGCAATTGAAGACCAAATGATAAGGATGATAACTATATTAAAAGCATTACCTACAGGTTAACATTCCAAATGAATTCAAATTCTCACATTTATTTTGGTATAACTATAAATTGGAAACATGTGAAGTGAACATTTTTTTCTTTGTCAGTTTTCTAATAAAAAATCTCTGAGACCTAGAGTCACTACTGAATCTATCTATTGATACATTAGTGCTAAGCGTCTCAAACATATCGAATCGTCAGTCCTATGTGCCAATTCATCTTAATAATAGATGGGTTGGTCACCTTTCATGCTGGCACAAATTCATCTTATGCAATTGAATTTTGAGGTGAAATTTGTTGTACCACATGTAAAGCTTTAGATCTTACTGCATTGCATTAATTAGTGCTTCATTTATAATTGTGCTTGTTTTTGCAGATTCTGAAGATTGCTTAAACCTGTACAACTGAACATTCTTGGATTTGCATAAAAATCTGATTTATTGATTTGCAAAAAAAATCAGCTTTACGGTAAAGTTTTTTTTTTGTTAATCAAAGAATGTTTGGTTGTACAGGTTTGGCTTTACGGGAAAGTTTTTTTTTTTGGTTAATCAAAGAATGTTTGGTTGTACAGGTTTGAGCAATGTAAGACCAATTGGTAGTGGTGATGACAATATTAAAGGCATTTAACCAATTGGTTAATTTTCCAAATGAATTTAAATTCTCACATTTATTTTGGCATTACTATAAATCTAAACATGAAATAAACATTTTTTTCTTTGACAGTTTTCTGATCAAAAGATAAAGATCTCTGAGACCTAGAGTCACTACTGAATCTATCCTTTGATACATTAGTGCTAAGCGTCTCAAACATCAAATCGTCAGTCCTATGCGCCAATTCATCTAAATAATAGATGGGTTGGTCACCTTTCATACTGGCACATTATCATCTTCTGCAAGTAAATTTCAAGGTGAAATTTATGTTACCACAAGTAATGCTTTAGATCTTGTGGCATTGCATTAATTAGTGCTTTATTTATAATTGTGCTGTTTTTTGCAGATTCTGAAGATTGCTTAAACCTGTACAACTGAACATTCTTGGATTTGCATCAAAATCTGATTGATTTGCAAAAAAATCAGCTCTATGAGAAAGTCTTTTTTTGTTAATCAAAGAATGTCCGGTTGTACAGGTTTGAGCAATGTAAGACCAATTGGTAGTGGTGATGACAATATTAAAGGCATTTAACCGATTGGTTAATGTTCCAAATGAATTCAAATTCTCACATTTATTTTGGTATGACTATAAATTGGAAACATGTGAAGTAAACATTTTTCTCTTTGACAGTTTTCTAATAAAAAATCTCTGAGACCTAGAGTCACTACTGAATCTATCTATTGATACATTAGTGCTAAGCGTCTCAAACATCGAATCGTCAGTCCTATGCGCCAATTCATCTTAATAATAGATGGGTTGGTCACCTTTCACACTGGCACATATTCATCTTATGCAATTGAATTTTGAGGTGAAATTTGTCGTACCACATGTAAAGCTTTAGATCTTTCTGCATTGCATTAAGTGCTTCATTTATAATTGTGCTTGTTTTTGCAGAGTCTGAAAAGGAGTCGGAGTCTTCGGAGGAAGAAGCTGAAGCTCCAAGTGATACGGAGCCAAAAGAGGATGGAAACGATGAGCAAAAGATGGATGAGAAACAGGAAGACATGGGGTTGGAGTTCCTTGTCAAGAAAGAAAATGCGCAGCCTAAGGTAAGTTGAGCTTGACCTTAATTTTTTTTTTTCTTTTTCTGATTGATTGATTTGTTGTTTTCATGAATTGCTATTGAGGATGATATTTTGATTTTTTTAAATTTATGGATTGCCCAGTTTGGAAATTTTTGCCCTGAGAATTTTGTGTACTAAATACATAGCTGTGTTGGTTACCATCAAATTACAAGGTAGGATTGGGTACAGTTGTTCCTTTTTCATACCTTTTCTTAGCAATGTTCTACTTTGTCTCTGACCAATTTACGTTCTTTCTTTTTCTAGGGTGATGAGTCCAGTACAGAAGGGCCTGGAAAGGAGTTCAATGATATTGCAGCTGCTGCCCAGAGCTTACAGCCGAAAGGATATACTCTGGAGACCACTGAGGTAGTGACACTGAATATATTTGAGGAGTCCACAGAAAAAACATGCATAGTCTCAGACTGAAAATCGTGAGGGTATCAATTTTTAACACTTGTTGACTCATAACTGTATTTCTGTTCAGCTCTTGATTGATTATTGTTGTTAGATTTTCCCATCAAACAAATATGAAGTTATAAGTCCACAAGCTCTTAAAATCCTGGCACCCTCACATTTTCCAGTTTTTGACTAAGCCTGTTTTTTTTCAGTGGACTCATTTGTTAATTCTCACTTTCTGAGCTTTTGGTATTTTGACCTCAAGGTTAAATGGAGACCTTCTTTAGCGTAACTTTTTTTGTGTGTGTGAACTGCTGCACTTTGGTTTTGAGTATGATATAACACAAGGTGTCTTGTTTTCAGCATATAACCTGCACTTTTTAGAAAGCTGCCTTGAAATACTTGTTAAACTTTCGTTAGTGGGTTTTAGAATCTGATGGCATCTTTTGAAAAAAAAATTATGCATTTTGACTCTGCTGTTCATGTTTTCAGTTATCTTTTGCCCATGAGACCTTCATAGTTATTTGTTTTCGCTGTTGCTGTATGTTTTTTTGTTTTTGTTATTATGGATGTACGGGTTATGTCATTATACTCATTGTTTTTGTTTTCATCAATAGGTGAAGACCAAAGTGCCTTTCCTGTTGAAGCATACACTAAGAGAGTACCAGCACGTTGGCTTGGACTGGCTTGCCACAATGCATGATAAAAGACTCAATGGGATCCTTGCTGATGAAATGGGTCTCGGCAAGACCATCCAGACCATTGCCATGTTGGCTCATCTTGCATGTGACAAAGGTTTGCCAAATTTTAAAACTTTCCGTTTTTTTGTTTGTAGATCAGATTATATTGGTTTAGGTACACCTCATATGGGTGTAATTTAGTATTTAACAAGAAATTAAAGAATTTTTTTTTTTTTTTGGTGTGAGACTAGTTCGTGCAGCAAAGGATCTCTTTGTTCTGTAGATTTTCATTAGATTACAGGAATATTTGAAAAAGCTGGGCTCACTTCCACAAAGACTTGGCAAAATTAAAATTTTTGTTTTAAACTCTTTGAAATGCTCTTTAAATCCTTTCAAGACAGGATCGTGTTAAGTCTGTGGATCCCTGATGCTGTGAAAATTTGGACTCGATTAAAGGAAATGGATTCTGTATTTTTGATTTATTATTTGAAATCAGCAAACTAGCATGTATTCACCCAACACGGGATGAGCAAACTTGGGGCTCTAGCAGGGTGAATAATATGGCCTCACACATTTTTGGATGTATTGAACATTATTTCCTCTATTTCAAGGGTTCTGGAAATGGAGACTTAGCAGAAATGCTGATTTGACACTGACAAATTTTCTCTCTGGCTACTAAATGGTGCAGTGATAATCATAGATCTACTTAGTCGTCTTATCCACCATCCTTTAAAACATCTTTTAAAAATAGTTATTCTTTGTGGTTTGTGCCATTGCCAAAAGAAAAATGTGTTATTACTTTTGTGGCTGCAAGAAAGAATATGCTGAGAACTATAAAAGTGTTCATGTTGTGAGCCTGGTTTAACAAGAATTGTTCAGTAATATTGGTTGTTGGGAAAGTAGACTCCCCGGGGTGGTGCCGCTGACTGAAGTGTCTTTACGCCATTCCCAAAGGGGGAACATTTCTCGTTCATGCACGGTAGAATTGTAAATGGGCTGATTCATCAAAATCACGCTCATAACTGTGCCAGATCCACAACATGGAATTGCTGCTTTTTCTTTCTTATCCTTACTATTTGTGCTGTTGAAGCTAGTGAGGTGAGCAGAGTAAGTCTGATTCCTTGTAAGGACTTCTCTGTTGACATCCACCCCTTGGCGCTCATATGACCTTATGCAGTTTTGAGCGCCGTAAAACCTCTACTAAAACTTTCCCATAAAGTAACCATTAAAATTGTTATTTGTTTTATGACATATAGGTGTCTGGGGTCCTCACCTCATAGTTGTACCCACAAGTGTAATGCTCAATTGGGAAATGGAGTTCAAGAAATGGTGTCCGGCCTTCAAAATACTCACTTACTATGGCAGTATCAAGGAAAGGAAGCTCAAAAGACAGGTATGTCAAGTTCAATTATATGCAATGCTAATACAGTGGTAAAAGAATTTTTGTTTTAAAAAGCAGAAGAAAGGGAATTTTTTGGTAACATCTTTTTTTTTTTTTTTTTTTGCAGTTGATATTCTTGAGTAGTGGAATCTCTTTCAGGTAAACCAGGTCTACCAGACTTTTAAAAAAGTGCGCTGGAAAACTAGGCTGTGCGGAGCGCTGGCCGGATTTCTATTTTGTTCAATACAAGACATCCAATACAACCCATTGGTTTATTGATGCTTAGAATACATACACTAAAGAAGTAGAGACAATAAGCTTAAAGTTATAAAAGCATGTTTAATTTTCATTGTAGAGTTCAGTGAAATGATTAAATTTGTTTGTTGACCAAGCTTTGTTGCATCTTCTGAGTTTTTTCCCCTGCGAGGTTGCATGGCAGAGGGCAATAGTATAGTGACCACTGATGTAAATGGATAGTGCAACATTTAAATTTTGATTAAAAGTTGTAGATGTTGCACTGTTTTTCTTTTAGATTGGACAGGAATCACTCATATTTATTGCTTTGAATTCTGTCAGGGATGGACAAAGACGAATGCATTCCATGTTTGCATCACCTCTTACAAGTTGGTCGTGCAAGATCATCAGGCATTCCGAAGGAAAAAGTGGAAGTACTTTATTTTAGATGAAGTAAGTGGTTTAACAACATAACTGGGTTATAGTTAGAAATATTTATTTCTAATTTGACTCTTTGTTTTTTAATGGTATCCTTTTAAGAAATAATTGATTGTTGTCTTTTTTAAATTCTTGTTTTCTGTTTAAATATTGCTCTCTTTCCTTCTCCTTGTTGAAGTACCTTTTTGCTTCCATAAGACATATTTTGACCTAGCAATTTTCTTACAGGAGAAATAATTTTTTTTAATGTCCTTTTTATCTGTTTACTTTCAGGCTCAGAACATAAAAAATTTCAAGTCTCAGCGGTGGCAAATGCTGCTCAACTTTTCCAGTCAGCGCCGACTACTTCTAACAGGAACTCCGCTTCAAAACTCTCTGATGGAGCTCTGGTCACTCATGCACTTCCTTATGCCTAATGTGTTCCAGTCTCACTCTGAGTTTAAGGAGTGGTTTTCTAATCCTCTCACTGGAATGATAGAAGGGAGTCAGGAGTACAATGAAAGTTTAGTCCGACGGCTGCACAAGGTGATTTGAGAAAATTGCTACTTTATTTATTTTTTTGTTATCGTTATTGTAAGAGGTGGTAAAAGTAATACAAGTGTTTATCTGTCAAGTTTATTGGGTTATTAGTTTAGTATTTGTGTTTCATGTGATTTTCAGATTTTGAATTTATAAAAAATTACTTATGTTTATTTAGTGCCAAGTGTTTTTGAAACGTTTTTCAAGTTTTCTTTTCTATTCTCTCTACTCTTTAGGTTTTGAGGCCCTTCCTTCTCAGGCGTCTAAAGAATGAAGTAGAGAAGCAGATGCCTCAGAAGTTTGAGCATGTTGTCATGTGCCGACTGTCCAAGCGCCAGAGGTATCTCTATGATGACTTCATGTCACAGACAAAGTGAGTACTTTGACTATGAAACAATTTTAACAGGCTATGTTGTAATCATATTATGCATTTTAGGTGTCTTGCTTGCTGCCGGGTAAAACTTCCAAAGGGTTGTCCTTCTATTCCTTTTCTTGTGGAGATAATTTTCTTCATGCACATTTTGGAATGAGTGCCTTATAAACCTCTGAGATTTTTCCATTCATAGTTTGGTCTTTTGTCACTATTTTGTCACTCTTCACTCATGCTACACCTAGATGGTGGGGCGGTGGCATTAGTTTTCATCAGACTTTTAGCCAATGCCGTGGTATTGTATTATGACCATATCTTTCTCTTTAACTCGGTCATAAGCGCTCGGATACTTTTGATTCCATAAGAATATTGACTCACATATACTTACAACCTCAACATATTATGTTTTGCAAGTCACAGTAAGAGGGTAAGCTATTTTTATTACTGCCCTTCCAACCGAGTGAATTCTCAATGCTTACCTAAAATGTTTTTCAGAACTAAGGAGACTCTAGCCACAGGCCACTTCATGAGTGTGATCAACATCCTGATGCAGCTGAGGAAAGTCTGCAACCACCCAAATCTGTTTGACCCACGGCCCATTGTTTCACCTTTTAAAATGGAAGGACTTGTCTACAAGACTGCTTCTTTGGCTACAAGAGTGCTTGAACATGATCCTTTCAATGTGAGTGTTAAATGTTTAGCAAAATTAGCCCTATTTACATGTGCACTTTCATGATCCCTGTAACAGTGATGTGAGCTTTCTCCTGTTGGACATATTGTTGACTATTTTTTTCTTTATAATGAATTTGTTGAGATTAATGATGAATGCAAAACTTTTTTGTTACTTCTATAGAGTAATAAAAACGATTATGTTCTTAGTTTTAATTGTAACGAGGCATGGTTTAATATTTGCTAAACTCAGAGTGCAGGATGCTATTTGTTTCTAAATGAGGGGGATTATGTCTTATTATTTACAATGGAAGGGAAACACAAGTGGAAATATTGTGTCATTTTTCCTTCTTTTTTTTTTAAAGTTAAGTAGAACAATATCATATAAAGTTGTTGAATATGTTGTAGCATCTGTCATTATGTTTATTCTTTTCCTTTTCCCAGGATATTGACATCTACTCCTTGTATCCTAACTTGGCTGAAATGGAGTCAGATCTCCCTGCTTTTGTGTCACAACGGGTGAAACAACTGAAAGCCACAGGCAAATTGATTGAAGAGGTGGATGACGCTGTTGACCCTCCTCCCCGGCCACCGGTTGGTCAACTGAAAAATGTGAGAGGGGCTGCATCAGCGTTTTTACAGGTTGGTGTTACTGCAGCTTGATATAGTCAGATTATATAGTTGCAATGCAGCCGTTAAATACTTTTCTGTTGGGCGTAATCATGAAAATATTTGTACTTCAAGATATTGGTTAGAGATACTATGTCAGTGCACCATATGCGCAGAAATGAGCAAATTTATAATCTCATTAGGTCATAGATCAGTAGTTTTTGTGTCTGCACACCCTATAAGAAAAGTCGTATATTCTTCCTAGGAAATTGAAATTATTTCAGAATGCTATCAGGTCTGCTGGGATACTGATTGTAAAGCGCATACAGCTTGCGATTGAGCGGCAATGTGCTATACAAATGCTATTATTTCATTATCTACTTGGAATTTTTTGGCAACATTTAAATCAACTTCAACTAGCTGCAGTGCTTCTTATGACTGATCCATTTTAAAAGGTGGAAATGTTAAAGACACAAGAAACAATGCAACTGGCAAAATGGGTAATTGAGCTGTTGGCACAGAATCACATGGAGTGATTAAGTCAAAAGTATTTTTTTGCCCCCCCCCAGATCAATTTGCTGTTTTCATTTTTGTAATAACAGTACATGTCACTTTTAAGTGAGAATGCTTCTTCATTTTAACAAATTTGTTGTGAAGGGACATTTGCATTTTCAAAGGAAAAGAAAAGGACGTTTGTTGTGCTATTTAGAGGGATGTTTGAAATTATACTATCAAAGATTTTATGTTTGTTGCATCTTGGATCAGACTGGAAAAGTATCACCAATGGTGGTCTCGTCTGCCTCACAGTCCAGGCCAGCTTCACCCCTTACATCAGCAAAAACTACGGCTTCAAGTGTGCAATCAACACCCAGTATGTATTATTTCTAATTTGCATGGATTTTGTTAAAACGGTACTTTCTTACTGCTTTTAAAAAAATGAGTTGGAACAGTTATTGTTCTTCCCTTTTCCTTCTCTTTCAAGTGATGCCTGGCTCACAACCATGCAACTTTTTCCTTACTTGTGTGGTTTCACTATCAAGGGCTACATTACTGCATTTGCTTAAAACCCTGAGTTGTCCTCAACTGTTTGACTTCTCAGTATCCTGTCGCAAAGAACAATACTTGATACTCCATTTTACTTTGCCGTTTCATAAATTTATTTTGATATTAACTGTGTTTGAAAGTATATATGCATGTTAAAGATCAGTCAAGGGTTGTAATATCTTGTGAAGAGAATGGGGCTTTTTGTGCGTATTTAGTGTTACTGTTTTTAAAGAATGAATTTGAGTTCAATATTTTTTGTTCACTGTGTCTGCTGTTCGAACTGTGGGGTTTCGCACTACCAACCAAAGTAAAGCAGCATTTAGATCATTGTCACATGATTTCTCTATAAATTTGTTGAAATTGAATAGAAAGACAAAAGTGTGATGTTTTGTCCCCAGCCACTGTAAATAGCATCAAACTGCTGCTCCCGCCCCCGTCATCATCCTCCTCGGGTACTCAGCAGTCCATCCTCATCCCTAACCCCAGTGGATCTGGGCCCCCTCTCATCCTACCCTTGTCTGGATCTTCCATCACATCGTCTTCATCCTCTCCTACGTCGGCAGCAATTGCTTCTGCAAAGCTCATTTCATCTCAGCTGCAAAGTGAGTTGGATACCAGTATAGAGACTAATTTCAATAAGTAAATGATGAATGAATGAATTTGTAACATATAGGATGATTGCTGGGAAGGCTGTGAAATGATTTTTTGTTGTGTGTTCAGGATTTGGTTTTTGCACATGTATGGAAAGCAACGAATCTTTAGAGAAAATCTCCTGGGCAAGGTCGTACGTTATGGGAAGTTAGTTTTTCTTCCCAGTAGAACAAATTGTGTCTGTGGTGGCTGCAAATTCTTTGTAAAGACGTATGGGAAAAGCTGCTAATCTGAAAACCATTTTGATGGACAGAAGCAATATTTTTTAAGCTTGCTAAGGCCACCTTGAAAAACATTACCTGCAGAGCAGCAGAGAGTTAAGAGTAGTCCTTTAACACTTGTTTGCTTCTTTGTAATAGTCATGTTCACAGATAGGTATACATTGTATGCAAATAGTCTCGTTTTTCTTTTCTTTGCGTCATTTGTGCTCCACTGTCGATACAATAGAAATGTTAAAAGAAAGCATTCAATTCTATTTTTCAGGTGGTGTTTTGCAACTTGTGCAGACTTCCTCAGGTCATCAGATTCTCACCTCTGTTAGTACTACCTCGGCATCTGCATCAACAGCATCAGCTGTCACCACCACGTCCTCAACAAGTACCAGTCTATCACTGCTGAAGCTGTCTTCGGTGCTGTCTCAACCCAAGCCTGTGATGCGTGTGTCACCTTTTGTTGTATCCTCTAGTGAATCGAGCACTTCATCTGCTGTTGCCTCACAAAGTAAGAAGGCTGCTGGGTTTTGTAGGTGCTGCATCTGTGTTTGCACCAACTTTATGTGCACATAGTTTTCTTTCTTTGTTAGTTTATGAACACTGTAGTTTGACCAATTTTTAATGTTTCCATTCTGTTGACATGTTAAGTAATGTGAATGGCTGAGAGAATTAAAAGTATGCTAGGGAATCTGCCCCCATTACATTGAAGTAGTACACTGGTAAAAAGTCATTGTTGGTCTGCTGTGTCGATGGGTGGTATAACAAGGCCGACTAGGTTTTGTTCCCCCTCTTTGTAGTTTTATTCTTTTCAGTATTATGTTCCTGGCACCTTTACAACCATTGGTATTATGACTTATCGGGTTCGAGTTTTTGTTTGTTTGTTATTGAATATGTATTAAGTTTAGAACAGCTGATATGAAACAGATTGTGTGGATAAGAGAAAATGTTTGAAGATTTGACGGAATTATCTGAAACATGAGTTAAAAGTGAGAAAGGTTTTCACTTTTATATTTTTTTTGTTAAACTAGAATTTGGTTGTTCTCAATTTTCTTGTTTTATTCTCATGCTGGGGTTTTTATTAGATTGTTTTTGTGTTTGCTTTTTTTTGCTCCAGGTTCCTCAGTTTCCACCTCTGTGATGTCCACAACCACCACCAGCAAGTTGTCAAACTCTTCTAGTGTAAAGCCCGTCCCAAAGAAGCCCATAAAGCGCTCAGAATTGTTTGTGGTAGGTTTATGCTTCATAATCATTTCTAGCTCTTTATGAAAAACTAAAGACCTTGGGTTTTTGGGGGTGTTTGAAGTGTGCCATTGGTAGGCTCTGCTTCTCTTTGTGCTCTTTGTTTCGATCAGTTTTGCTTTTTCCTTGCAGTAAATGATGGTTATTTTGTAGATATGCTTCTTTTTACTCAATCAAAAGCATTTTTAGAAAATCGTGTTTGTTTCTGTTAATGGTACACGTCCTTGGGTTTATGTGGTAAGATTGATGAGACAATGGCTTTGTTGAATCTGGTATGTAAGTTCTTTATGTTGTTGGATCAGTTTTATTTTTCTCAAGCAAAGAGAAACTTCATATCTCTTTTAAAAGTGGGTAGTTGGCGGGTGCTCTGGTGCGGTTTGCTCCTTTTCAATCTAAAGCTATCGTCCTTTTCCCTCCTCCTTTTTTATGTTTGTTACTCTCTTTTTACACCTCTAATCTTCTGCACTTATATGACCTTATTGTGTTGCAAGTGCCGTAAAACTCTTACTAAGACTAAAGTCTCTTTTAAAATAGAAAAGTAATGTGATGAATTTGTTTACATAGTGGAAGTAACCAGTGAAACATAGTGTCAAGAATAAAGCAAATTGGAAAAAATGCCTTTAACCCTATGTTTGTGATTTTTCAGGAGTCAGTTTACCGCAGGAAGCAAGAGCGTCGTCAACATGTCCTTTCTCACATGGCAAAGCTTAATCGTATGCGGTGTGATGCTTCTCCTCCTTTGGGACCAGATGTACAGCATGCAGTCAACTGTATTGGAAGCCTTGATCCTTATGACTTGTCTTCCTCCTCTTTGCCCGCCGGCTCTCACCCTGTGGAAAGGAGCCCGGCTCAGCGGCATTGTGGTTATGTCGACTGCTTGTTCGCTCAGAATCGTTGCTGTAATCATAGTAGGCCAGATCTCTTCTGGAGAGAGACCAAATACCTCCAGAGCTTGGTGAAGTCTCCAGAAGAATGGCTACATCAGTTACAGGACATCCTGTCACGGTAAGGTTTGCAGATCAGAAGTTAAAAAAGTCAGAGTATTATATTCACAAGATGTAGTAAAACTCTGCTTTCTATTACAATGTTATTTGAGCTGAACTCTGTAGCTTTTACATGAAGCCTGATGTGTTACAATGACGTGTAATGTCTGCCCTTGCCAACATATGTGAAAACTACAGAAGTGATTTCCATCAATAAAGTTATAGAAGGGGATTAATTGCTATTCATCTTGATTCGTTTTTGTCTGCTTGAGACACTTGGCAAAAAGAAAAAGATAGTTCCCTCTGTGTGTTGATTTAACATTGAGATTGTGGTGCATTTTTGTGAAATGTTTCAGCATGGGGCTGTTGTATTTGGTTGAATGTAAAAACAAAAACAAAGCTGTAGTTTCCTGCTCATCTATGCAAACAGGATTTGAAAATGTGGTGATGCTATTTGGAGAGGTAGTAATGGAAATTAAAAAGAATATCATTGGTAAGATTGCTTTATAAATCCCAAAACTGGGAATCTGACCCTTTCCCCCTGCCAACTCAACAAAGTTAAGGTTTATTTATTAGAGTTCCCCTCTCCAACCTTTGGCTGGAGCTTTTCATGGCCAATTACCAATGTCGGTCTCCATTTTTTGAGACTGTTCAGTGACCTTGGCCATACACTAATATTCATTGATTGGTAGGGTTTTAGAGACCTGTTCTCATGACCCTTAGACTCTTCGGAACATCTGTACAAATACAAAACTTTGACTTCTTGTGGTTTTCTTTTATTTTTGATCTTTTCTACTTGTTTCTGCGTGTTTTATGTATGCATAAATCCTTTTTAACATATAATTATTAGCAGTTAAAATATTCAAATTGTCAGGGTGTACTTCATCCATAAAAGAAATGTACAATGTATGTTGGCACACTTCATCATGCTTCTAATTGTATTATAATGGAATAGAAAAGTTATTCATATTAATATTTTCATCTTCAGCTTGTGGTGCTTTTTAAATAGATCACGTTTATTTTTACCATGAACTAGACTTTATTCTTTTGTAATGATTTCTGTAAGGAAAGGACACAAGTCTACTTCCGTGTCTCAAACCGCTTCCATAGTTGTATGTTTACTGGACACTTGATGATTGATCTCCAGGTTTGTGTTTGTGACTCCGCCTGTGATCTCCCCTGCTGTGTGTATGCGAGTCTCCCATCCCTGTCAATCTTCCGAGTCCCACAAGCAGTGGCTGGAGACAAGACTGAGGCCGGAAGTCTTAACGCGCTCTGCCTTGCTGCATCCAATACAGTGTAGAACAAGTGTTACATTCCCAGAACTCAGACTTATACAGTATGACTGTGGTAAGGCTTCTTGGTCTTTTTCACTTGCAGAGGAAATTAAGGATTTGATGCCTTACTTACTCTGCGAGCACTCAAGTATTTTTTTGTGCTTACCTCAGGGTATGATCCTGTGAAAAATGTTTTGCAAGCTTCTTTTTGTGTTTTCTGCAATTTTTCCAATGATGATTTTTGTGTGTAATTTCAGAGAGAATGGTTTGAAATTTGGCCATATATTTATATAAGAAGACTATTTCGATTTCTTATGAAATTGTTCTTTGTCATTTGGCCATACATTATAGTCATCAATGATAGGGTTGTCGGTGTATCCTTTGCCTTCAACTTTGAGAAAGACTGAAACATGCCAAGAATTGTTTTAAAATTACTTTAGCATGTGAAGAATGATGTGTCAATTTGTTACAGAACATTTGCATGTACTCTTGCTGTTTGAATTGACAGCCTAGCATCCAGCAAAATTATGGTTTGTTGCAAACTTGAAAATGTCTCGCAATGTAACATTAGTCAAACTACTCAAAACACTAAAAGCAGATTGACATTTATTTGAGCTAAATGTTTCCCCAAATTTTCAAGAACAGATTTTTTCATGTTCAAAGCACATGTCTGCCTAGTTAATAGGATGGTTTTCCTAGATATAGCTTGCATAATTACTCTATGAGAACAAGTGTGTTATATTGTACGTTAACTGGATATTTGTTGGAAAGCTGCTTTGTTTCATTACCATGCCAGTTTCTTGTGTATACCTCTCCCGTACCATCTCTTTGCTGGCTGATTTGGCTAGATATAAAGTTAGAAGACAGTTTCAAATATGGAATTGTTCTTTGTCATTTGGCCAAACATTGAAGTCATCGATGATAGGGTTGTTGGTTCACTTTTGACCTTCAACTTTGAGAAAGACTGAGACAAAGGATACATATTATACTTTCTGTAGGAATGTTTTCATCGTCTCTTTGCATGTTGAATTTTGATCAGATATTTATTTGGAAGACAGTTTCAAATAATATGAAATTGTTCTTTGTCATTCGGCCGAACATTGAAGTCATCGATGATAGGGTTGTTGGTTCACTTTTGACCTTCAACTTTGAGAAAGACTGAGACAAAGGATACATATACTTTCTATAGGAATGTTTTCATTGTCTCTTTGCATGTTGAATTTTGGTCAGATATTTATTTGGAAGACAGTTTCAAATAATATGAAATTGTTCTTTGTCATTTGGCCGAACATTGAAGTCATCGGTGATAGGGTTGTTGGTTCACTTTTAACCTTCAACTTTGAGAAAGACTGAGACAAACGATACATATGGTACTTTCTTAAAAAGTCTTTCCATGCTGAATTTTGGTCAGTTATTTAGTTTGAAGACAGTTTCAAATAAAATTAAATTGTTTTTTGTCATTTTGACGAACATCGAAGTCATGGATGATAGGGTTGGTTGCGTACTTTTAACCTTCAACTCTGAGAAAGACTGAGACAAATGATACATATGTAAGACAGCGTAGTGAAATCAGGCGCTCGTCGAAATGATGAAAGAGAAGAAAGTGGCATTTTTCCGCAGGTTGGGGAATTTAAAAAATTTTTTTGGGTTCAACATCTTCCGTGTTAATTAACTCACTGACTACGGTTCCTGTCACAGGTACGGGACAGGTGGCCGGTCAGTTCGCTGGTGTGGATCCCATACCCTAGACAGGATGGACTTTGCGGTTTTGTTCCGAAACTTGTGCTCCCGCCATATGTACGGAAACACTCCAGTTCTAGTTTTACCACTTTTTTCGTTTTGTGCCGAGTGTGGCGGAAGTTGCGTGGTAAATTTTTTAAGTAATTAAAGGTGAAGGACAGTCACCTCAACTTGGGTTGAACAAACCGGAACTCGTGCTATGTTTTTTCTATACTGCTGATTGTAATTTGACTGCCACGTCGGAGTAGCGGTTGAAGAAGTCGCATGAACAAGAATCACATAATTTTGCTGTTTTCGATGCTTCTGTTCATTTTACTAGTTCTATGATGTTTCTGATAGTTAGGACCCTGGATATGTACCCAAACACAGCCCGAGTCGTAGTTTGAGAGCAAGATCTAGCACTAATACTGGTGCTGTTGTAAGCGCAACGAAATCACTTCGTCCCTTCATCTGTCTCATGTAATTCAGTGTATTGGCCTGAATCAACGCATTGATCGGCTTTTATATTTTCACCAAACACTCACAAGTGCATACAGATCAAAACAGAACACTTAAAACTTTTATTTTTGTTGTTGAGAATTTAATTCTATCTGTCACGTCTTTGGAAATTTTTCAGAAAATCAAATTCATGCCAATTTTTTTTAAATCATAAAAATTGATGTATTAGACTTTAAAAACTTAAGGTTTTTAGGGTATTAGATTAAGCTTGAATGTTACTTTACTGTGTCAAAAAATAATTACAATAGGGTAATTCTGAGAGTTGTGGTACTGTTTTGAAATGTTCACTCCCAAAAACGCCAGTATTCAGCGCTAGTGACTGGTGAAAGGGCTCAGTAGTCAGTGAGTTAAGAACAGATGTCTGTGTGGATTGTACTGAAAAACGTCAAAGGCATAAAAATGTAAATATTCTGTTTCCACGGATTCAAGCTAAGGAAATAACTTTGGCAGCCATTTTCTCACTAATTTTACCTGTGAAATCAAGCTACCCCTACCTGTTTCTCAATCCCAAATATCTCTATAATATATTGTATTTAAGATAACAGATTTTGTTGTTGTTGAAAGCAAGGCAAATGAAAAGGCTTTAAGGTGATACCAATAACTCCACATGCCCAAAAATTGACGAACACCTGATTCCACCAGGTTGTGACACAAGTTATATTTTCTGTAGGAATGGTTTTGTTGTCTCTTTGGATGTTGAATTTTAGCCAGATATTTGTTTGAAACACAGTCACGAATAATATGAAATTGTTCTTTGTCATTTGGCCGAACATTGAAGTCGTCAATGATTGGTGTACTTTTAACCTTCAACTTTGAGAAAGACTGAGGCAAACAATACGTATTCTACTTTCTATAGGAATGGTTTCATTGTCTCTTTGCATGTTGAATTTGGTCAGATATTTATTTGGAAGACAGTTTCAAATAATATGAAATTGTTCTTTGTCATTTGACCGAACATTGAAGTCATCGATGATAGGGTTGTTGGTGTACTTTCTACCTTCAACTTTGAGAAAGACTGAGACATGTAATAAAAACCAGAATAGCTAAAGCAGTTAAGCATTGTGGTTTTGGTGGTGGTGGGGGAGTGGCTATCATGAACTGTCTTGTGACTTGTAAAACTTGATTTTGGGGATTTATATGTGTACATACATTCTTTTATAATTATGTCATTTGTCAAATTCAATGGGTTGTCTGGTTTGTCTGAACAGGTAAACTCCAGACGCTTGACCTGTTGTTGCGACAGTTGAAGTCTGGACAGCATAGGGTTCTTATTTTCACTCAAATGACCAAGATGTTAGATGTATTAGAGGCTTTCCTGAACTTCCATGGCCATAGATATCTCAGGCTTGATGGGACCACCAAAGTGGAACAACGACAGGTTTGTACATATTCAAGAACCTTTAGAACTGATGCGTATCGTCTGGCACAGATGATTATATTGAGAGGCGTTGGAATGTGCTTTTTGTTTAGGTAATTTAAAATTTCCCTGTTCGAGGAGACCTTAGTACCTCTTTCTTTTGGATGTAATGTGTTTTTTTTAACTTTGAATTGAGAATATGGCCATTTACCAATGTCAGTTTTTATTGTATGAAACTGTTCAGTGACCATGGCCATACACTAATTTTCATGGAAAAGTAGGGATGTGGAGACCAGTTCTATACAACCTTGAGAATCTTTGAGACATTTACTACTATAACTCTTGACATGGTGCCGCAAGGTTCTGTCGATGGTACTTTTATGTAGCTTTTATTTTCATCCAAGGTTTTGCCTAAATCCTTTTTATCTGATTTGTGGGCGTGTTGGTTTAACTTTTGATCTTGCTGTATCTACCATTTTACGCTATGCCTACTTGTTTCTATTGCCTGTCCTGATAATATAGAAAATCTTGTTACGAGTAACTGAAGTACGACTTAATTACGTGCATGTGCACTGGTATGACTCATAAACTTCTTCCCAGTTTTTGAATAATCTTAGTTTGTTGCAGTGAAATATAGATGTTACAAGGGCTGAACTACCATTTACTGTGGCTCACCATCATATTGGGAAGGCATTGTCGTTTTGATTGAAGTATCCTGTACTTGTTTGGGATATTTTTATTTTTTTTTCGTATGGTTAAGTGAAATACTCATTTTTTAATTTTCTGCTCCACAGTATTTGATGGACCGCTTCAACGCTGATCCCAGAATCTTCTGCTTCATTTTATCAACACGTTCCGGGGGTATTGGTGTGAATCTGACAGGGGCAGACACAGTCGTCTTCTACGATAGTGACTGGAATCCAACAATGGACGCCCAGGCTCAGGACAGATGCCACAGGATAGGCCAGACGCGAGATGTCCACATATACAGGTACGGGCGTAATGCAGCTAATTTGGGAGCTTTTTCCAGGCAAGAAGTCTGCAGACACTAGCACCTGGAGCTCTCTACTTATGCCATTATTTTTGCTCTACGACTTGGGGGCGCTTTCTTGTGATTGATAATTTACCATCCACTTTCTTCGAGCTTGTTTGATGTAACCCAGTGTTGTGAAACCCCTGGCTCTTCTGAGCACCAAAAGAAAAATGGGTTTTTATTTTTCAGCATGTTCTTTCCTGTCATTGCCAATAATGTGGGGTTGTGTTTCTCTTTTATTTTATAATCACAGATTATGTGTAAACATAATCTGTGATGACTGTGCTGTTGAAGCCAGAAAGGTTAGCAGAGTGAGCCCAATTCCCTGTAAGAATTTCTCTTCTGACATCCACCCCTTGGCGTTCAGATGACCTTATGCAGTTGCAAGCGCCGTAAAACCTCTACTAAAACAAACGTAATCTATGATGCGTGGCGTTCTGAAAATAGGGCCAACTAATGATATGTGGACGATAAAGTTTGTACATGTAAATTAGCCTATATTTTTGGTGCCACAAACACTTTCGTATCGGGTTTACCGTAAACTGTTAGGAGCTTGATTTTCAACGCTTAGTAGGTAATAGATCTATCTTTCCTCTCTAGGTGGGTGGTTGGTGGGTGCTCTGGTGTGGTTTGCTCCTTCTATCCTATCGAACATCTGTCATTCTGATCTCTCCTTCTTTTTTGTGTCTGTTACTCTTTTGTAACACCTCTAATCTTCGGCACTTACATGACCTTATTGTGTTGCAAGTGCCGTAAAACTCTTACTAAAACTAAAGCATGTAATGTTTCCTCTATAGCGTCCTCAAATTTGAACATTGTGTGTCAAGTAATTGTTTAGAATTTAATATAAATGCACGGCTTCCCCCCCCCCCTGTCCAAAGCGGTTGCTCATGGAGACGGCCATTTTCTCCTCACTCCCTGGGCAAATATATGTGACCTACAAATCCCTGCATAATTATTACAAGCCTGTTCATTGGTCACTTGAAATTGGGCAATGGTGGGCGCTCCAGTTGTTTTTCTCTGTTTCCCTGTAACATCGCAATGGGGATATTCCGAGGAGAGCTTTTATCTCGCCTCAGGATGATCGTGTCTCAACTGGAAAAAGAGGTTTTTAATTGTATGACATGTTAGATTGAATGGAATTATTTTTTATGGTTGGCATGGTCTAAAGTCATCAAAGAAAGCTTTGCCTTTATTTAGTCACGCTTCCAATATCAGAGATGCCAACCAGAACGATTTTACGTATTTTAGATGGCGCTTAAATGACCAAAATTGTGTCGATAGTGCCGTAAAACATCTACCCAATCAATCAATCAAAACGTATTTTAGTACGATTATTGGCCGAAAATACGCGAATACGACTTTTCATGAAAAAATATGCATCCTGGAATGCGAAAACTACGAGATTCAGCTTGAGCGAGTAAACCCAATTATCTCAGGTCCCATCTTTTGTCAAAATAGCATCAGTATCGCAGAACTGGAATATTTGAAAACCAAGTCCGATGTGGTCAGTTAGTTAATTTTTGCTGGTCGCGATCGTGATATTATATTCGTTCTGCTTTTCCCCGTCTGGAGAATACGTTTCACTTTCTCACGAAAAGGCAGCTATGGCGGCAGGCGGAAGCGTATGTGACACCGAGGCTCGATCGGGAAAATCAAAATCTACTTTCGCTTTCGTTACCACCGAGAAGTTTGCCAGCTGTCTGATAACGCAACATTTGTGGCATGCAGATTGTGCAGTATAAACACAATGTCGCTGTGCAAATAAAATGTAATAAATACTCGAGTTGCTGTGCTGTCACTTGTGGGAAAAAAAAAGAAAATACAAGCGACGTCCGATTTTTAGATTGTTTGGCTCGCCATCGTGACTGGTCACTGACCCTGTGCGCATTCGCATCATAAATGAATGCGGCATCGTGTGAGCAAAGACCGTCTTTGTGGGAGTAACGACGTTGCGAAGTATAGGACTGCGGAATAGGGGAGGAGATTATTGATTTTTTGGGGGTTTAAGATACTATCAGGGGTTTAAGGCAACACCAGAGGACAAAAACTTGGAAGCAATTTTCAGAATTTTGATTAGAGCTTTCTGCAAAGCGCGCGTTGGTGCAGGCCATGTGCGGAATCGGGACCCCTCATACTTTGCAAGTCTGTGTTATTGAAATAAAGCGTTAGCGTTTCATTTGATGGGTGATAGTAAATTATACCTACAGTGTATGTTTTAGCTTTCTGTTCAAGACTGGCAGATTTTCAGTGTCACTGCATCTTGCCCTACCACAGTTGTTACAACTCTCACAGTGCATGGGTCTACTTGAGCCATTCAAGTTTTTGCTTTTCTGTGAGTTTGAGCAATAATTTGAGTCTGTCAGTTCATATGTCAGTTCATAATATGAATCATGACACAGTCTGGAAATTCTTGTTCTAGGCTCTTCCAAACTCTCAAAGCAGGATTTATTTTTTACATAATAATGAGAGGTAAATATTATATAATAGACTGAAATACTTAAGTCAAACAAGACCCCAGTACAGCATTGAACACTGACATGTTGTTGACTGGATACATGTATATTGTACGCATGTGTGCTCCCTTTTTCGAGCTGGTGAGCTAGTAATTTTTTTTCAGGAAATATTGCTGGACACCCTGAACATTTTACTATTACTGCTTGGTCGACCATCAATGATTTATTTATAGAGGCACCAGCCATCCATGTCCAGGTGCTGTTTTAGCCTACTGGTTGGTCGGTCGGTCGTGGGGAATACACATTTTCACCTGAAAATACACATTTTCATATTTCCCAATACTCATTTCGGTTTTCTGTGGTTGGCATCTCTGCAATATATTCTTAAAGATCCCATGTTGTGATACTATGCTTAAATAAAATGCTCTCATCCCGACTCCCCTTTTACTCAAAATCGTAATATATACACCAAAATTTTAATTATAATAAAATAACTAAGAAATGGATAGTAAATCTGACTACAGAAATAATTTCTCCACCCAAAAACACATTTGGTAGCCAAGTTTCTTTCTAACACTCCAATTAATTACGATGTCGTAGATTTTCTTACAGAGTCTGCTGTTACGTGGTCCACTGTTTAGGGGTATATTCCTTTATGTGGGTCATCCATATTTTGCTGACCTTTACAACCCCGTAACTTTTTTAATTTATGAACCGATTCTTTTAATTCTAAGAGCATAATTCTTAGAATTGAAAACTCTTTCTTAGGTACCAAATGAAAATGGGCTAAAGTGAAAAATCAATTTTTCATTGGTATTGCTAAATGTATGTTTTAATGATCTTTGCATTTTGTCCTGTTTAGACTTGTCAGTGAAATGACAGTGGAGGAAAACATCTTGAAAAAAGCCAATCAGAAAAGGTTGCTTGGAGATCTTGCCATTGAGGGAGGAAATTTCACCACTGCTTTCTTCAAAGAGGTAAATTATCTTGACATTCTCTTATTTTTGGGAAAAAAGTGCCCTGCATTTGAAATTTTAAGAGCCTTTATGAATTTTGCACATTTTATCATAGCTCTCAAATGGTATTGTCAAACCTGCTCTAGCTTTCACCTAAAATGATCTCAAATGACACACCCTGTGCGTTTTTTGCTAATATTATAATGACAGTGTCCAAGAGGACCACCTTAGATGACTACTGTTCTACCTGATTATGAATGATAGTTTTGGACAGGTTTGAGTGATATTGAAGTGGTCTTTATCCAAGGGAACTACTCTCATGCTTGTCGTTTTTTAGCTTGTCAGCATGTTTTTGGGTGATGCAGTTATTTGATGTGTCACCACTGATTATGCTTATCTTCTTCTACCGAAGAAAATATTTTTTAAAAAGCAAAAGCAAAGCTACCCATTCATTAAACTACATTTTTATTTTAAAATATTTTCCATCAGCAAACCATCAGTGACTTGTTTGCTGAGCCATCAGGACTCGAGTCGCTCATGGAAGATAAAGAAAAGCAGCAGAAAGAAAAGGACAAGTTCAGAGAAGAAAAGGAGAACGAGAGAATGAAAGAGAGGGAAAGACAAAAGGCTGAAGAAAAGTCCAAAGCAGAGCAGGCAGCATCGAGTAAAGGTGAAACAGAGAAAGAGGAGACGAAAAAAGATGCCGCCATGTTGTCGCAGTTTGAACAGGTATGTTGTTGTATCACTACACAATTCGAAGTATTTTCCTAACATGCCAATTTGAACTCCCTTCTTGGTACAGCAGAGTCCACTTATAACGAGTCCTGAAATAATGAGGTCTGTTATAAAGACACTATTCTAAAACCCCGTCCCCCCATTTATCTTTGTAAATAAAATACTGCTATTGCGCAATCAGACAGTCGCACGGGTCAGTTATAACGGAATATTGCTGCTGCTCTGCACAGCGCACAGATCAATTACACATATTATAAAACCTTGCCAGTTGAGAAAGTTGTTGATGATCCAGCGAAACAAAGGATGGGAGAGCCCACGTGAACCAACAATGAAGGCCGGAGTGAATGAGTGGGGAGGGTGTGGCATGCGCTGACAAGCAGAACACATCGCGTGATAGGCTAGTCATTCCTAGATTATCTCTTCTCCCACTTCTCTGGTGCGGAATGGAAAGGTCACAATGCTGTGATAGATGGAGTGAATGTGTGACGTGTGCAAGCAGCCGAGCTGTCAACATTGCTAGTGCTAGAGAAAGAAACCTGGTTAGATTTTTGATCAAGTAAGACCAAGAGATCATGTTGAACAAAATTATCATCAGGGGCAATACAAAAAGGAATAAAGAGAACACCAAACTCATACATTAGGCCTACTTTACTATTTCCCTTGAATTTATTACTGGATCCCTTATAACGAGAATCCTGCTATAACGGACATTTAACACTGGTCCCCTCCCTCTCGTTATAACAGGATTCCACTGTACTTTGATTTGTAAAATAGTATTGTATTTATCAAACCATGTTTCAATGTGAACGTACGGTGTTAGAAAAAACAGCAATTTTTCCACGGTATCGAAAGCAAAACCAAGCTCTATCGTATTTTAAAATTGCGTTCTTATTTTGCATATGAAATTGATGAAATAAGACTGCTTTGATTAACACTGGGATGCCAAAAGGCTAGACTGTTCTAGCGTGGTCTTAACTTTGTTTAATAGTGTTAATATTTGAGAACTCAACGTGTATTAGAATGAAAGCTTGATCTTTTTTCCTTGTTTCCTTTACTTAACATTGGAGACTGTTTTGTTTTTTGTATTTTAAAAAATTTTCTTTTTTTTTTTACATACAAAAGAGAACAATCTTTAGATGTATCGATACAAATGGATTTTCCGAATCATAAACAAATTGGGAGATTTTTGTGTTAAATTGGTTTGCTAGGTTGGGCTGTTTTTCAACCCTTTTTGATTGTATCTTAACTTCATTTTATCAGTATTAGAACCCTTTGCTCAGGATGGAGTTGAGATGTCTGTTGTTAGCCTTTAAGTTTGTAAACTCAGCTATTACCATTTTATTGTTTTTTCAGGCTCTTTGTAAAGCAGAAGATGAGACAGATGCACAGGCCGCACAACTGGTCCAGGCAGAGCAGAAGGCAGAGCTAGCAGAGTTTGATGAAAACATTCCATGGGATGAGCGAGAGGCTGAGATGAGGAAAGATGAGGATGAAGTGTCCAAGGTGGAGATGGAGTTGGCAATGCTTGATAAAGAGGTATTTAACCCTTACAATTTTGGTGGGGGGAGGGGGGGTTTGTCTACCCATCTGTTTCTTCTTTCTGTTATATAGAATTAGAATATTCAGTGAATATTCAATATTCTTTGGAGTGTTACTATTTATTTGTCCTCTCATCTGAGAGTTAGTTTAGAAGAAAAAAATGTGTTGTTACGAAGAATGCTGTAATATGTATGAGAGCTGCAACGGTGCCACAATAAACACTTTATCTGGGGAACATTTTGGCTGTCATAGTGTGTGATTTGGGCCTTCAGTTCACATTTGCAACCTCTTGGTGCAGAAGATTCGAGGTTTCTTTGGCTGCTGAGAATCTGAGAAAGCTATTCTGGCTTTGATCTGCCATGCCATAAAGAATGTATGTATGTCTGTCTCTGTTCGTCTGTTCGTTTTGTAAATTTATGTGCAGGTGCATGCCTCTTTAAATGCGGTTTTTCTAAAATCTTGAATTTGTAGGCTTACCTTGTTCTGGATTTTACATATTTTTTATGCAGTTTAACTAAAAGTTTTAAGGGAAGTAATTTTTTTCAGAAAAGAATCCTTGGGTCCAAAAGATGTAACGCATGGCTAGAATATTATGAGTTTTTAGGTTGACTTTCTTGTTTAACTAATTCAGTTTGTATCTTTAGTTTTTGCAGGTAAATGCTAGAAAATTAGATGATTGATTTGTCCATGTGTAAAGCCTGATGGCTGCATCGGGAAGAATAATTGCTGTCTGCCAGTTGTTGTTTTTTTAAATAATGAACAAACTTACCCACACTGTTGCATTTCTGTCCCTATTCCAGCTCACTCCCATTGAGCGCTATGCAGTGACGGTCATGGAAGCTCAGATGGAACCTGAGACTGCTGAGGAACTGAAAATGGCTGAGGTAGGTCTCGTCATCATTAGTGTCTGATTCTTGGCCCCATGAATTCTTAAAATTTAATTTTTTGGAAGATAGATGTTAAAAAAAGAAAAGAAAATAAGAGTGGCGGTTTCTGGTCATGTTACTTTAACCAAAGATTTATAATTTGAGTTTTACTTATCTAGGGGAAAACAGTTTTTGAATGACCTTTTGTTTACTGTAAGATGCACAAGATATTATGCATTGTTTTATTACTTTGAGCAAGCAAATTAGGAAAAGTATTTGTTAAGACAATATGTTTGCTTTGTTTTAAAGGAATTTACCGTGCATCCTCATTTTTTTCCAGCTGGTTGTAGCGTTGTTTATCCTTGCGTACATCTGTTCTTTGAGTAAGCATTAAAACATTCCCGTCTCATCACTAAGGAAGGTTATCATAAGCTGCTTTTTTTTTTCGGTTGCAAACTTGCTTTTCGAGAATGTACAATTTTTTTTTTCTTAAATAGGTATATATTGCTTATAAAACGCTTATGCTGAGCTGATTGCCTTCCCTCAGGAGGACATAGAAAATTCCAAGAAAGATTGGGAGCTGGCCAGGCTGAAAGCTCTGAAGGAGGAAGAGGAACGTAAAGCTGAGCTGGAAGAAGATGAGATGCTGTACATTTACTCCAAGGATGACTCTCAGGTGAAGAAAAAAGGAAGAAAGCCACTCAAGAAAACGCAGAATGCCGTGTCACCAAGGGGAAGGGGCGGTAAGGCCTCAGTGTCAGGTTCTGATGCTGATGAAGGTTTCCCTAGTAAGCCTGGCAAGAGAGGGAGACGAGCTAGCGAGAGGTTGTCTCCTCAGAAACTCTCACCAAATCAGATAGTCCGGGGCGCTCGTGGCCCAGAGAAAAAGAAAGTCTCTGTGGTCAAAGTGATTCGAACGGGCAAACCTGGTAGACCTCCTCTTGCAAATAGTAAGAAGAAAGTTAAGGCTGCTACAAATGTGCTGCAGAAAAAGGTTCAAAATGGTCCCAAGGGTAGAGGGAGGGGCGCTAGTTCTGCTGGGAAGAGTATCAACAATGGGGAAAAGCCTCCAGCAGCAGGGAAAACAAAAGCTGAGGTAAACGGGTCAGTAGGAAGGGGTAGGGGTAGAGGTAGGGGGTCAAAGGTGGTCACAAATGGTTCCTGCGAACCTCCAGGGGGTCTGGCTAAAGAGAAGAAGGGCAGAGGTGGTGCTGCGGTGAAAGTCAGCAATCCCACCCACCTGCACAATGGTCACACTCCTGTATTGGTTTCTGTGAGCCCAAGTAAGATTGCTACACAAACCAAAAATGCCTTACTCAAGCAGCAGGCCCAGCAGGCAGCTCACATTACTATCAGCCCTGCCCCAAGTGCCCCATCCCCGAGAGCTCAGCTCAGACTCCAGTATCCACCCAGTAGCGTAGTTGCAAATATCATCACTAGTCCTCCACAAAGACCACAGCTGAAGCCCACCACCCCCAAGAGTCCACCAGATCCAAATGTTCCACCGCCATGGTCAAATCCAAACCTGGTGATCCGCACTCGGAAGGCAGCAGTGCATTCTCCTGTGGTCATTGCCCAGACCAGGGCCACACTGCCGCAACAGTCTCCCACCTCTGTTTTGCAGCAGTCTTTGAACCGCACGCCTTTGGCGGCTAATGCCATACCAGTTTCCATAGCTGCTGCGGCGGCGGCTGCTGGGGGTATCGCTAAAATACAAGGTACTCCAGATAGAAACATCTTTCAGTTGTTTACATCCAACACTTCAGGCATTGCTTCTCTGGGTGGTGTGACTCTCACTCCTACCATAAGGCAGGTTGGTCCTATTGTTGGTGGTACTTCGGTGCAGGGGAACCAGCTTCGCACAGCCACTCTGATCAACCCTGCCTCACTGGTCAACTCGGCCAACCTGGCCGGTGCCAGGTTCATCACTACGGGTATGGGGGGTCAGTCTTCCGTGGTGGTGTCAGCACCCAAGCCTGGTGCAGCTGTCAATGTGGGCGGTAACGTCTCCAACATCACCCTAGTGCCCACTGTAATCAACGCCAGTGGAGGTCAGACCATCATCAATCCGGTGAGTGGGGCCACCATTTTGAACACTGGTGGGGCTCGAGCAGTGTTGAACACAACTAGGCTGGGCAGCCCCATCACTCTGCAGGGTTTGGGTTCCCTCCCAGTAGCCGTGAATCTCTTAAAGACCAGTACTGGTTTGAGTCTTCCGGTGCGGCCTCAGCAAATTCTGCAGACCTCCTCCCTGGCTCAGGTGGCTGGTCAGTCTGGCTATGTCCTGATCACCCCGCGGGCGGCCCGAGCTCCGACCCCAGGTGGCACCAGCATAGCTCCGGCGCCGGCCACTCTACAGAGAGTGCAGACCCCCATCTCTCTGGTTCAGACCCTACCCACCCAGAATTCCCAGGCAGCACGGGTACATCTGTTGGCCCAAGTGCCTGCTGGGGCCACCATAGTGCAGCAGCCTGCTCCAGCACAGAAAACTGTTAACGCTCCCAGCAGCCAACCCCAGCCCAGGACAGACGGCACTTGAACAGCTGGGTTGAGGTTATTGGCAATAACACAGTAGTCCCCTCTCAACGACTCGCTCACCCGAGCATACTTATCTTCTCTGATAAGAGCTCCAAGGTTTGGGTAAATAATTAGAACCTGTCTCTGAGTATAGGTTGTGCAATTGGGAGGGGCAGATCTAGAAAATTAAAAAAGGTTCCAAACCACATGAAAGTCTTTAAGTGTTGACTGTCATGTTTCAGTCCATGTGATCTCTTTCATCTGTAATTCCCTGTTACTTGTAATTTTTTCTACATTTTTTATTCCAAAGAGAAGTTGTGGGGACGGAGGGAGGGAAGCAGCCAAAAAGTGACTAATGGTAGTTCCATTATGATTATACAATGACAATGTTCTGCGTCAGTCTTCATTCCTGAAGAACTTGGTTTTTTTAAGTCATAGTTTTACATTACCATTATCGTTAAAAGTTGCTCTGTCTTTCATCCACGATAGTGTTTCTGCTAAGGAGGGGTACAATGTGAGGATATTGTTCAAATCTTTTTCATTTTTTGAGTGTTTGACTTAAGATTGGTGTTGTTTTGAGAACAGTAAGTGTCCATTGGCTTGGCTTGCATTTGTGAATGTTGAGAATGAGAACGCAGAAGGGAGGATTGGTTGCTGAGAGCATGGAGAGCGGAAGTATGCTTACTTAGATGTTGATGTTTTAGTTTTTGTAAGTTTTAGATCTGGACTTAAAATTGTGCGTTTCAGAACAAAAAGTTTTTGTAACGGTCACTTGCTTTTGTGAATGAAAGAAATAATGATGTTTACTGTACATGTGAGAGGCTGGAGAAACTGTACATGTCTTAATCTTGAATCATTCATTCCATTCGTTGGAAAAGATCTGTGCTCAGAATGTTGACTTGATAGTGTTGGTAAATTTTGTTAAGTCTTTGCCACATGCATGCGGTATCCTGGATCTAGAGACCCCTTTTTCAGTGACCAGTCCATCTGTCTGTTACAGTGTCCTTGTTGCTTCCTGTGTCATAAGCTGGTTAAAGTGGGTTATTGTGGGCCATACTTATATTTAGTGTACAGCACCCTGTCCCCTCTTTTTTGTCCTTCAGGAAAGTAAGTTGCCTGTTGCATTTGACCTAGTGCTGTTTTTGCCAATCAAACTTTTGAGTTTAGTGTATTAGGTACAGATGCTCTTTTGCTACTATTTTTTAAAATGAGATTTTTCTCTTGGTTGTTGTAGTAGTTCTTGTGCTTTGTACAGCAAATGGAAATCATTGTGAATGTTTGGAGTGAATTTTATTGTTTGGAGACAATGAGGTGAATTTATCAAAATAATGTGTAAGTGAAATAAATGCAGATAAAAAACATCCCATGCATTTCCTTTATTGTGTTGTGTGTCATTGTGCAGCCCCTTGGGAGCTCATGTAAAGGGTAATGGTGTCAGCTTTTGACCTTTTTTTTTTTAAAGATGTCGCCTACCATTCTCAGTAAGAATACCTTGGAAAATATAATTTTTAAAAAGAATGACAACAAGAATATGGAAGCAGAAATTAATTTTCTCAAGGTCAGGTGGATGCAGTAGCCTGTGAGCATCATTTCTTGTTCCTTTTGGTGATGTGCATCATTCATTTTGAGAGAAAAGGTTTTTGTAAAAATTACATGATTCATATTTGGAAAGGAAAATTCAGTAACCCTACAAATTTCACCCATAGGGATTGCTAATAATTCTGAAGACAAAGCCCAGCACATACACTCTCCAAAAACACTTTCCCCTCAATTGTAAAGATTATTTTTAATTCTGGCACCATTACCTAATGAATGGCACACATCACCAGATGGAAATTGCAATGATGTGAGGTAAAGGGCAATGATTACGGACTTCTGCGAATGTTGTGGAAATGCTGCTTTTTGGTAAATGTTCTTTTTTAAAAATGAGATATCTGACTCTTTAGTTCTCTTTGTTAAAGTTTTATCTCAACACTCTTCTTGTGTGCAAATTTCGCTCTTCCAGTTAAAGCCTATTATCAGCAGTTGCTCAGTTGCTATACTTGGAACAAATGTTTCCACAACTGATCCTTATGGTAGGGATAAATGCCCTGCTAAAGTGAAGGGCTTCAATAATAGTACTTGGATGACTAGAAACTGATACCCTGGAAGAATTTTCCGGGGGTCTACTTTCCTGGTGTTGAACTTACTTTCACCCCAAACTCTTTTTTAATACATACTTGTAATACATACTCTTGGATCAGACCTTCAATCTGCACTTAGTTCCTTGATCTGAAAAAAGCAAGCAAGTTAATCCATCCATTTTTAAAAAGTATAGAGGTATGATAGTCTCAAGCAAATTTGAAATCTTTTCACACGACCCCCTTTTTTTCTACAAAGAGTGGCAAAATGCTGTGGTTTATTGTACATAAACAGTTTCAGTTTGTGTGAGTGGGTCGCCAATAGTCCATTGTTGGGGGAAAAAGAAAAAAAGGCTGAAAGTGAAGAATTTATTTTTGTCCCCGTAGTTTGAACTATCCAGGCAAGAAATACGTTTCTGTGATGCCTCGATCTGGTCTGGGAAATCAGATAAGGCGGCAGTATTTTTGTGGATGACACAGATGATAGCCCTGTTTTGATGTTGAGGTTCCGTCTAGCTTAACATGTTCCTAGTTTACACCTCCATTCTCTCTTCTTAGGCTTTTCAACGGCAGTGCCAAAAGGTCCCTTCTTTTGCTATAGAAAGTCATTGTGCAAATATATTGTGAGAAGAGGTAAATACGACCGTATAATACTGTCGATAAAAAAAGAACAAAAAAAAAACAAAAAAAACCCCAACAAAAAACAGTTGCAAGCTTTTGAAATTTGGACTTCTACAAATGCACATTAACTCGTTTGATGGAATTGACTAGTGAAGGAGAAAGAAATGTTTTAGAGAAAAGGTTTTATGTTTATCAAGTTCCAGTGATGGGATGCTATTTCAAGTATTGCAAGAGAAGGTCACAGGAACTACATACGTAAGGGTTTCAAGTCCGAAGGGTTATACTCTCGTGTGGGAACTATATTGTGTGATTGTTCTTTTAGGGTTTTTACTAGGTAGAGATGTTTTACTAATATGTTCCTTAGTCTATGAGTTATTACTTTCATCCTTGCAATCATGTTTTGCCTATCTCCTCTGGTCGCTAATTTTCTTATGAATTGCCAAAAAGTACTGCTGTTATTATAGTCAGCACTGTTGCAGTGTAAATATGTTTGCAGATAATTTTGTCTCCGATACCTGATATTTTTTACTTGAACAAGACTATAGGAATAGTGTAACGCTGATGAGCATTGGAAATGTATTTTAAAGATGGGTTACTTCTGACTTCAGAAAACAAGGTAAAATATTTTAAAGATGGATTACTTCAGAAAACAAGACCCAATGTAAAAAAAAACAACTAAAAAAACTAAAGCACACTCCATGGAACTGTTAGTTGCAAACATTTCTAGACCCATTCTTGCTCATCACAGCGCAGAACTCTTATAATGGGTTGACAATACAGATAGCGTAATTCATTTTGATTGGTGCAGGTGCAAGTGCCATAATGTCTCATGGTAGAATAAGAGCATTGACTCCTTATTCTGTAAAATGAAGTGGGTTTTTTTTTTCTTTGTCAACTATATATAACAATTTAGAGGACAACACCTTGCTGAAGGTCAAAATTCAGTTGTCAACATATACTGTAGCCTAGCTTGATAGTCCTCTACTTCACACTTGATCGCTTGGTCCTCAAAATGCAGAATGTGTTTCCCGATTCTCTTCTAGATGTTTTCTCTGCACTTTTGCCAAATGCCATATATCACAGTGAATTTATTGGCCCTCACACACACACACACACACACACACACACTTTTAACACGGATATGCTGCAGGCCACCACACGATAAAGGCTTTGTTTATGCCTCATGGAGCCTGTTTGGGGTTGCTGCTTGACGTTTTTCTGCTGAGCGCGAGCCTTTAGAATGTTGTCCTCGCTGATATGGATGATGGAGGAGCAAGAATTTGGAGACCGAGGAATGCAGACGTGCCAGAAATATGTCTTGGATAGTTGGTTCTGAGATCGCTTTGATGGTTGGGTTGGTGGTGGGAGGGTGCCATTGGTAGGCCCTACTTCACTGCAATCGCCTCACATTCATCAGCTATTTTGTATCCAAGTCTTGAACTGCAGCTCCCCTAGATTATACATAGAGGAAAAAAGGCTTAACATAACTGATAAAGTGGAGAAAATATGTTTTCAGGATAAGCATTCTTTGGTTTGTCCTGCATTGAGTCGTTGAGGGTTTGTTTTTTTATGTCACCAATTTTTGTTTTCAGTCATTTTGGCTGAAGTATTCCATCCTTGATATGATAGGTTGATATTTTGAAGAAGACGTGTCCAGGTTCGTCCTGGCAGGTACACTTGAAGCGGCCTGCCTCTTAATTTGTGTTTGTGAGGTAATATGACATTTATAACAGTACAGTGAATATAATGATTTTGGCAGCATTTGTTAATAGTACTACAAGAATCTAACTAATGTTCTTGGGGAGTGCCATAAGGCCTCAATGTCTACATCTCAGACCCACAATGATTATTATAGAAGGGTTGTTGTAGGTAGGTAACAGTTTGTTGCTATTCATTCTGCATTACACAAGGCTAGACACAGCAAGTTTTGTGCTTGCATTGTAAACAATGTCAGTCTCCGTTTTGAGATGTTGCACTTAAGAGTGTCATATGTGTGTCCACCAACACACATGCACATCATTGCACTTGGACAGTTTTTATGGGGCCCTGTAGCTCTTGAATAATAATTGACAGGAATCATGTTTTTATCTGTTCCAGATGTTCATATCGGATCTTAATGGAGAGGAAATGCCGGTAGGTTACGTTACATTCTTTGTGTTTGTTTTAAGGTTTTTGCATTATTCAGTTAGGGTTTGGATTGATCAGATGTTTGGGGGGGGGGGGGGGGGGGTTTGCTATGGTATTAATGTTTATCACTGAGGTCTGATGCCAACCATCTGTTTTCTTGCTAAAAACAGACATTGTGCTGTTAAAGCTAGAGAGGTGATCAGAGTATGCCTGATTCCCTGTAAAGACTTCTCTGTTGACATCCACCCCTTGGCGCTCATATGACCTTATGCACTTGCGAGCGCCGTAAAACCCCTACTGAATAATAATAAAATAATTTCTTGCTAACTCAGGCACACATTTTTTAAAAATCTGTTGTATTTTGTTCCGAGCAAGTTATGTGACTTATTTAAAAGTGAAAGGTGTGCAGAGATGAACATCAGTCCATGACCTGTGGCTAGCTGAGGTGATATTTCATTGGGGGTCTAAATCTTTCTGCTGGGATTAGGATGTGGTATCTCATACTGTGGCAATCGGTTCTGACAGGCAGTGGCTAAACAATTCATCTTGTTCTGATAGACAGGTAGTAAAACAAATGAAGCGTGGTTTTCCAAAACTCAGTAAGTCTAGTTTGACAAGCGTCTGATTTCACCACGATGCCTCAAACGTTTATAATATAAACATTACCCATTTATGTATTAATATGTGCACATTAGTATATAATGATTTAGATTTTGATAATGCCTTGAGTCCGGGATACGGAACTTTCGGCTGTGAGCTGTACATATATGGCTGTTTCAGACAATGTATGTGTCTGGCATCGTGAAGAAACCAGGGGTGTGTCAAAATTGACGTACTGAGTTTTCGAAAACCGCTCTTCAATTACACTAAGTGGTATGGTTCATCATGGCGCGCGCCGCCCCCCACCCCCCAAGAGTGAAAATGACACAGGTGTGTTCAGACACACACATGGAGATGAAGGGCTTATAGATTTATACTAAATCACTCCAGACAAGCATGTGGGTGGTTTTCAGGTGCTGCAGTGTGGTTTGCTCTTCCTTTCTTATCAACCATCCATCATCCTTTTCTCTCCTTCTGGTTTGCTACTTTAGTAACACCTGTAATCTTCAGCACTGATATGACGTACTTGTGTTCTAGAACTAAAACAACAAACCAGACAAACATCCGCGCGCACAGTTGGAAGACGCCACTGGTAGGTCTCACTTCTTCACTTTCCCTCTGTTGTTTCTGTCTGTCTTGCTTTTTCCAGCACTAAATGACCATTGTTGTGTCTGTGTGGTTCTCTTTACTCAAACAAACCCGACAAACATCCGTTATTGCCATGTCCTTCCTGTACAGATGTGGTGTCCACCAACGCCCCCTCAAGATGACAATGACATCTACATGGAGGAGACCCTGAGCTTTTTGTACGAGCCCCGAGTGATGCAGGAGCAGTCGCTGCCGCCAGTCTACGTACCGAAGGCTCTCAAGAAGCCCAAGATAGAAACCATCACCAGTATGTTTGCGTGTGTGGTTTTTGTTGTTGTTGGTGTTTTTTTATCCCGTGTCCCAATTTTGATGCCAATATTTATAAGTTATATAAAAATGTGTCAACATGGCACTTGTTATGCTTCCCAAAAAACAAAAACAAAAATCAAGAAAAAATGGTTTATGATGATGCTGTAATGTTTGTAATGATATGCAAGTTAATCTTGGTGTTAGTTTAATATTGTGTGTGTCACACCCCCCCCC